TCTGTGTTTGACTACGCCGGTAACGATATCAGCGCCTCGGGTGAACCAGGTGACCTAGTTTGCACAACTCCATTCCCAGCACAGCCCGTCATGTTCTGGCCACCCGACGCAACAGGCATGGAAAAGTACCGAAAGAGCTACTTTGAAGTCTTCGGGCCGTCCATTTGGCACCATGGAGACTTTGTGCGTGTGAACCCGCAGACGGGTGGTGTGGTCATGCTGGGCCGCAGCGATGGAGTGCTTAAGCCTTCTGGCGTGCGTTTCGGAAGCGCGGAGATCTACAACATACTACTCAAGCATTTCGCAGAGGAGGTTGAAGATTCTCTCTGCGTTGGCCGGAGGCGAGAGGGCATTGACACGGATGAGACTGTCGTGCTCTTCGTGAGACTTGCACCCAATAGCACCGTCGATGTAAAGGACCTTTCATCGCGAATCCAAGCTGTCGTTCGCAAAGAATTGAGTCCTCGTCATGTGCCTGGTGTCATTGAGGCCTGCCCTGAGATTCCGGTCACTTCGAATGGCAAGAAGGTTGAGAACGCTGTGAAGCAGATCTTATGTGGACTGAACATTAAGATCGGTGCTAGCGTGGCCAATGCTCAGTGTCTTGATTGGTATCGGAACTGGGTATCTGAGAATCCCTGATTGATATCAAAATTGGATAAATTGAATTTATGAATTATAATGTTAAATGGGAGACTCTTGTGGGCTCCGGTTTGCGGGCCTACCTCTGGTACTACTATGTCATCATGTTGGATCTAGACTATTGGAACTTGGTCAGCGATAGAAGAATCAAAGCTCCTCTCAGAACCAAGAATGAGTAATTAATCAAGACCAGGATATTCCTTTACGTGTATATGACAAATATATATCCTACAAAGAGAGACAATTCTGTTTCTTTGAATGCTACTTGTTCCAATTTCGATCATACAACGGCTTATCTAATCCGGATTCGGCGCAGTCCTCCGGAATCGATTCTTCGCCGTGCTTAACCTCCGACCTCCGCAAGATCAAAGCGAAAGCGTGTAGAACGCATCATTTTCACTCATTGGAAGCTTGCCGCGTATCGGAATAAACACATCATGCGCCGTTCTGCATTGCGGGCCATCGAGTCCGCGAAGCCCGTCACCCGAGCTCCTCGTTCGGTGTCGAGGAGCTTTGCTACTCTGAATGATTCCGCTAAGGTATCATTTCCCTGGTCGCCCTCTTCCATTCTTCCTGCCGCTAACTGGGTATTTTCTGGACAATTAGGATCCCGCAGAGCTCGATCAAATCACCACTCTCCCGAACGGAATTCGCGTCGCCACCGAGTCATTACCGGGCCCCTTCTCAGGCGTCGGAGTTTACGTTGATGCTGGATCCCGCTACGAAGATGCCAGCTTGCGCGGTGTTAGTCACATTATGGACCGATTGGCCTTCAAATCAACCAAGCAGCGCACCGGAGATGAGATGCTGGAGGTTCTCGAGGGACTGGGCGGTAACATTCAATGTGCTTCGTCGCGAGAGTCGTTGATGTACCAGTCTGCCAGTTTCAATTCGGCGGTCCCTACCACCCTTGGCCTGCTGGCAGAGACCATCCGGGATCCCCTCATCACAGACCAGGAAGTGCTTGAACAACTTGCGACAGCAGAGTATGAGATTGGTGAGATCTGGGCTAAACCCGAACTCATCCTGCCGGAGCTCGTCCACATGACGGCATACCGGGATAACACTCTAGGCAACCCTCTGCTGTGCCCCGAGGAGAGACTGGGTGAGATCAATAAGGCGACGGTCGAGCGATACAGAGAGGTCTTTTTCAATCCGGACCGAATGGTGGTTGCATTTGCCGGTGTCCCCCATGCGGACGCCATCAAGCTCACTGAGCAGTACTTCGGTGACATGAAGGCGAGGGGCATGACCAAGGGGCCTGTCCTGTCTGGATCGGGTATTGATACCACTCTGTCGGCTTCCCACGCTGCGGCCAAGGAGGGTCAAATCCCGACCGTTCCTCAGTTCACTGCCTCTTCAACAGTGTCCAGCCCTGCCGCATCACAAAACACACACTCCTCGCTCTTATCCAAGCTTCCCTTCCTCAAGAAATTTTCGGGCTCCCCCTCGAAGGATGGTGCTGTCTCACCCCTCGACCCCTCCCTGATTGAGCCTTCGACGCTGGATCTCCGACGACCAGCCCACTACACTGGAGGCTTTGTGGCACTTCCCCCGATCCCGCCTCCGGCCAACCCTATGCTCCCCCGCCTGAGCCACATCCACCTTGCCTTTGAGGCCCTTCCCATCTCCTCTCCGGATATTTACGCTCTCGCTACTCTCCAAACCCTTCTTGGAGGTGGTGGCTCTTTCTCAGCTGGTGGTCCTGGAAAGGGTATGTACTCCCGACTTTACACTAACGTGCTGAACCAGCACGGGTGGGTCGAGAGCTGCATCGCTTTCAACCACAGTTATACCGACAGCGGAATCTTTGGTATTTCCGCTTCCTGCAGCCCAACTCGGACCACCGAGATGCTTGAGGTGATGTGCCGCGAACTGCAGTCCCTCGGCTTGGATACTGGATACTCCGCCCTGCAGACTCAGGAGGTCAACCGTGCTAAGAACCAACTTCGTTCTTCACTGCTGATGAACCTTGAGTCCCGTATGGTCGAGCTTGAGGACCTCGGACGCCAGGTGCAGGTTCACGGGCGCAAGGTTGGTGTCCGTGAGATGTGCGACCAGATCGAGGCTCTGACTGTTGAGGACCTCCGCCGCGTTGCTCGTCATGTCTTCGGCGGCAATGTCCAGAACAACGGACAGGGTACCGGCAAGCCTACCGTTGTGTTGCAGGAGGGCGAGCTGGAGGGATATAAACTTCGGTCTTTCCCCTGGGAGGAGATTCAGGAGCGCATCGCACGATGGAAGCTTGGTCGGAGGTAAATAAAGTATCTCACTTTATCACATAGAGGATAATGCTGGGCACTTTCGTATAGAGGATGTGCTCACATGCTCCTAGCGTGATAGTAGGAGGATTGATTAATGAGGGGAGCAGAATTTGCATGGAGAGGCAATGTGTACAATAGACGATGTCCAGCATACAGAACACAACACAACTCTGTAATTATCTTAAGTTTTCATGAATCGTAGTAAACACTTACAGTGTACGGAGTAATCGGTGCCTCCCAGGGTTGGCTACGTAGGGTTGGGCGGGTCCAAGCTCCTCGCCGCTTTTGCCCGGCAAAAAAGTCGGTCCCGAACTGAACTCGCGCTGCGTCTCCGTCCTCCAAGTCCCATCATCCACCCACCTCTTAACGCCCTTTTCATCCACATCTCATCCTATAACCCCCCTTCACATCCGCCAAAATGGTCAAGCTCCACGAGGTCGAAGACGAGGCTTTCACCGATAAGCCCACCCCCAGCAAGCACGACGCTTTGTTGGTTTCCGATGATGAGGATGAGGACTACAGTGACACCGGTAAGTGTTTGTGACGCCTCCTGTTTGCCTTCATCTCGCCCACACTCTCTGCACCATGCGCCAATTGAATTTTTCTTTGTCGCGATTCGATATCGAAACGCGCGTTGCCCGACTCCAATCCGACACTGCCGATAATCGTGGCCATCTCGACTTCACCTACCCCGGAGAAATGACACGCATCGTTTTTCGAATCAATGGATTGATATCTGACACAATATTTCCCACCCGCAGACTCAGAAATCTCCGAGGCCGAGGATGATGATGAGGTCGAGGAGGAGACCTTCGCCGAGCGTCTTTCCGCTCTGAAGGACATGATTCCTCCCTCTGCCCGCCGCACCGTCTCCAGCACCGTCTCTTCCCTCACATCCTTCACCCAGGCCAGCCTTTCCTTCAGCGGCAAGGCTCTCTGGATCATCAGCACCAGCGCCTTCCTGATTGGTGTCCCCTGGGCTCTGGCTTACGCCGAGGAGGAGCAGTACATCCAGATGGAGCGTGAGCAGGGCATGATTAAGGGTGCCAACGAGGTATGATAAAACCCCGGAATACCCATCGGACCACGCATGGGCCTCTACCGCTTGACAACGAATCAATTGAAAGGGTTACTGACCAGATCCTCTTACAACAGATGCTCACACCCGGCGCCGAGGCCGAGAAGCAGGAAGCCCAACCCACCTTGTAAATTAATCATCGCCCCGGGAAACAGGAGTAGCGAGGAGACCGAATGAATCGATCGCCCAACATCCCAAACAAATAGGGATGTATACGGACGCCGAGATCCAGTGAATGACCTGGCAATATACCGAACGGCAATCAGTTGGATCGATTGATTCCTTTACCGTGCCTCGGCCGACATGACGAAGACATGAGTGAAATTAAATAGCTCAACCTGATATGCCATCGAGTCATTTGGTTTCCGGCAACGCTACCACTTGTTTGTTTTTTATCTTTTTCTGCTTCCTTGATGTCTTCTTCCAGAAACTTTGGCTCCGGCAGCTCATGCATGCATGTATTTGTACAATCACATCTATCTTATTTCATCTCAATATTCCTTGTTTCATCTTTTTTTCTTCTCTTGCATCACCTTCGTGCTTACAATATGTGTCTGTTCAAAATTATGAATTTGGATCACTAGTTTTATTACAGTGGAAGAATAAGTTGGAGGGTATTCTGCCTCCAGAGATAACCTCTTGATGTGTACTCGAACCCATTACTCACTAGACACGATATCTGTAAAATTGTTCGCAGATTGAGCAGCTTCCAACTCCTGTCATACAGATACATGAATCCCCTAGAGACTAGAGAATTTCGCCAGTTTCTAAGAGTTGCTACTATTTTCCTACCTGATTCCCAAGAGGCTATACCAGTCACGTGCTCTCGCGTCCCAGCGCGCCCGCGCGACCAAAAAGATTGACTTATTCTAAAGATTGCGTTTGTACTTCAAACATGACATATGACGTCCTCTTGTCCTTTGTTTTGAGAATCACTCCACCTCTAATACTCGACCTGACTTGATCTATCCTCCAACCCGCTCTCCTCTGCCACCTCAACCATCTCCAACTCCGTCATGCCCATGCCCCGCCGATCAAAGAAAAAGCAGGCGCGCCTTGCCTTCGCGCCAAAAACTGCAGCTGCATCCGCAGGTGACGGCAGCGGCAATGAAGAGACAAGCGACCGTCAGGCTAGACTCTCATATGGTCATCCTAGCATGGCGGAAGTTCGATCGCAAGGCTCTCGCATCGGTGGCGCTGAACCGTCAAAGCGTCATCGTCCTCTCCAACAATATCTGGAAGTGCAAATCAGGACGCCAAAAAAAGCAGAGAGAAAGGGTATGTGGAATTACTCTGGTCTTTTGTTTTGCAAGGTCTACAACTGATGTGTCAAAGAGCAACCACAGCCGGTAGTGTCAGATTCATCCGATGACGATATAGTCGTCCTGAGTTCGCATAAGAGAAAACGACCTACACTGCCCGCAATCGCCGAACCTGAGGATATGGATATGGATATGGATATGGAAACCCCCCGCGCCCGTCGCTTGAAGCGCAAGGCTGATAACAATCCGATTGTTTTGAGTGATTCTGATGAGCCGCTGGTTTCATCGCCAGTGAAGAGATTACGACGTGGACCGAAACGCGATTCTGAACCAAGCGATTCCGACAAGCCACTGGTTTCATCGCCGGTAAAACGACTACAACGCGGCTCGAAAACACAATCACATCAAACACCCGGCGCTCACCATAACAAAGACCAGGACCAGGAAGAGATCGATGAGGATGCGAAAGACCTCCAGGACTCAGGTATGTAATGTGTATATCGAAGTCTCATACAATAGGTTAATTGACTGTCTGCAGTTGTGAAAAATTCCCGAACGCGTGGCCATATTGCTGGCTCGGCGAAAGATCAGCGACAAAAATACCTAGAAGCTCTTCGTCGCAAGCGCGCGGGGATAAAAGAAGACAGCGACTCAGATGCAACTGCCCGAGGAGAAACATCCGCCACGGAATTATCTGATGACGACGGTGACCGACAATTCAATGGTGATGAAGACCTGGATCAATATGATGATGACTTCGTGCTCGACGACGATGCGACCGCACTTGGAGTTCCTACGGAGCTTCCTTTTGAATTCACTCGCCACGCCTACAAGAAATTGAAGGAATACTTCGAAGACGTTGTGTGCTGGATGGTCCACAATAGTATTGATCCTGCATTTCCTCGTTCGGATCCAATGTATGAGATGGCTTTCAATAAGCTTGAAGATGAAGTGAAAGGGCGAACCGGCTCTCAGTTTATGTCCTCTGTGTGGGACGTTGCCTTTCGACGGGCACTACTTGCTCGGCCTGGTCTCGAGATTGCTGCGTATCCAACCGACATGGGACATTCGTGCGATGCTTGCAAGCGTTCTGGACATCCTGCTTCGAGCGATTTGAGATTCTCTGGGAAACCGTACTCTTTGGAGACTTTAGAACCCCTGAGTGAAGATAGCGAGACATCTGCGACATCTGGGGGCGATGAAAGCTCTGACGAAGAGGAAAAGGGGATGGATCGAGACAGAGATGGTCATATTTTGCCCGAGGACGGTAGGAGCTTCTATCTCGGAAAGTAAGTATTTGGCACATCTGAAATCTGGGCATTTATTAATCGCCATGATACACATAGAACGTGCAAAGCCAATGCTCAGAGTGCACATACTTTATACCACTGGCGATACCATCTCAACGAGTGGGTTGTCGATCATCTCCAGCGCATGGGACATATGGATGATGACGAAGTCTTGCGCCGGAACAAAATGAAGCAGAAGCATAAGACGCGCAATGCCATTGAGGTTATAAAGACGATGAAAGAAAACAATGAGATCGAAAAGCTCTGGCGCGACTTTCATACTAATCTCAAAGTGGCTCGAGAAGAGCAGAATCATGTATGTTTCTTATTCCCACTCGACCATTTATTTGGCTTGAAACTGACCTCATTATAGCCTGCTCGGACTGGTCGTTTCTAGACCTTAATGGATACCAAGCGTAGTACATGGACAGAAAGCGCGATGTCTTTTGAAAGCAGGAGAGTCCAACAGTCTTTTTCTTTCCATAGCGATACCCCTGCGTTACGTTACATATTGCATCTCCCCAATGGGGTGGATTGGTTCATCAAGGATGGCATAAAATGTCTATAAGACATTTCGCTCGCCATTAGGGCCTGGTTCTTTGTCGTCTTACATAATCTATGTAGCAAAGCTTGCAAGTAATAAGACTTTCAAGCCTCGAAATAATCGAGAATAAGCAAGATGTCTATCAAGGCATCATCACTCGCGACTGATCCATTCTTGGTCATGCTGGGGGGTTTGTGTTGAAGCGTTCGTCGCCACTTGATCACAAGACCTCGCTTCGCATCTCCCAACTTGTTCTTCGACGGCAATCCTTTCAAAAAGCGTACTTTACTCATATTTTAGCTTGTTGCTTTCCGTTTGTTTGGGCATGGAGTCTCTGGCGATTGGTGGAGTCGACTTTCTCCCAGCCCCCGGTCCGGCACCGTGCTGATTCGTGGAAATGTCGACGCCAGGCCTGCCCGCGGGGACAAAATATCCTCGAACCCCAGATCAACATTACCCCAGGTCCGGGCCATTGTCTTTGGCCCCATCAAGGCCAATGACCTTCGCTCAACAGGATGGCCGCTTGTCTATGTCTGGTAAGCCTCCGGAATCCCCACCACTCAGCGATCCCCGTGGGGTCAGCCTGGCGTTATCAAGCTGCACGCGGTGCTTAGTGGGCCTAGAGTTCATTTATGCTAGGATCGTTTGATTGGTGCCGTGATGGTTTCTGCTTAGGGCGTTCTGTAGCTTTTTTTTTCTTGCCCCAGAGTTGTCTGACCGGACCACTATATATCTGGGGAAGTGCCTCCGCTTGTCCTTACCCCTGGGTAGTTCCTTTACAATATCCTGTTAGGGCTGCAGCAAGCGTGCATCGAAGAACCTTGGAACACGCATAATATACGCCTGTATTGAGTGTGAGATACAGCGTGGCGCGAAGTCACTCGGGCACTACCGATCGATCTGAACTTGACATACCTTGTTTCACCACCCTCTCCCATCAAAAATGGCGACTTTCACAATGACCCGGAAGCGGGCCTATAACTGGTGAGACTTGAAATATTCTCTATAGACGCGGCAAGTCTCAAGCTGACAATCCATTTATAGGTTCATCTCATGCGTAGCGGCAGCATGCATGGTGTTGTATGGATACGATGCCTCCGTCTTCAATTCCGTCCAGGGATCTAAAAATTGGATGGCCTGGTTCGGTGAACCCAACTCCACCGTGATCGGTTCTATCAACACTGCTTATACCGTCGGCGCTATCTTTGGAGGTTTCTTCCTTGGTGGCCCTATCGCCGATTACTTTGGTCGTAAGGTCGGAATGGGAGTCGGCTGTGTTCTGGTCATCATTTCTACTTTTATGCAGACATTTGCTCCTCGTGGCAACCTTGCATGCTTCATCGCCGGACGATGCATCATTGGTATTGGCCAGGGTATCGCTTTGAGTACGTTTCACACGCTGAGCCGGACAGGGTTGGATGAACAACTAGCTAATTTCGCTTTTCATAGCATCGGGCCCTATCTATATCGGCGAGCTTGCACCTGCTGAGATCCGTGGAAAGATCATGACCTTTTGGCAAATGTTCTATTCTGTTGGTTCCTTCATCTGCTTCTGGATCAACTTCGCCTGCACAAAGAATGTTCCCAAGTTGGGTGAATGGGACTGGAAGATGGTTGTCATGTTCCAACTCTTGGTTCCGGTTATAATCCTTGCCCTCCTGCCCACTATTCCTGGTAGTCCCCGTTGGTAAGTTGCACTGTGATGAGTCATTCACGGATGTAAGAAAGAGACAACTGACAAGACTCAGGTTCATCAAACGTGGAAACAATATCGAGAAAGCCCGCGCCGCCCTCCGCAGAGTTCGTGATACCGAGGAAGAGGTCGAGGACGAGCTTCTACAGATCCGTGAAGCTATCGAATATGAGAAGGAGGCTATTTCCGGAAACTACTCTGCTCTATGGAAGGACAAGTCTCTGCGCAAGCGTATGCTCCTCGCTTTGATCATCAACGCTGGTCAACAAATCACTGGTCAAGGCTCGCTCAACTCGTACTCTACCAAGATCTACCAGAAGATTTTCACTAGCAGCAGCCAAATTGCCCTCATCAACGCCTTGAACGCTACATTCGGTATTATCTTCACCCTTAATGCCGTGTGGATCATCGACCGCTTCGGACGAAAGTTCCTTCTCATCGTCGGTGGTATCGGTATGGGTATCTGTATGATCATTGTTGCCAGTGTTGAAACTCAAACGCCTGTTTTGGCCGGTGGAGCGAAGTCTGAACCGGTTGGAATATCGATTGTCTTCCTTTTATTCTTATTTATCTTCTTTTGTGAGTCATCGCCGTTCCATCACTGATTGGTCTCTGCATGAATAAACCTTACTAACAACTTCATAGACAAGCCATCATGGGGTGCCACTGTTTGGATTTGGACATCGGAAATCTTTTCCATGAATGTTCGCGCCCAGGCTGTCGGTATGGCTTCGCAGACTCAAAACGTCGCAAACACCATCTTCCAACAGTTCTTCCCTATCTTCCTGGACAACTGCGGCTTCTACGCATTCTACATGTTTGCCGGAATCAACTTCCTGCTGGCTGTCTTCGTATACTTCTTTATTCCAGAGACTAAGCAGGTCCCTCTCGAGGAGATTGATGCTCTGTTTGGCGGTGCCAACCACGTTGTCCAGGGCGAGGAGGTTCTTGCTCACCAAAAGGGTATTCAAGCCGCAGGAACAGAGACCAGCGAGAAGCCCGCGACAGTCACGGTTGAGAAGGTTGAACATCGCTGATGGCGATTAATTTTATTTTAATTATGAGCAAGGTTTTCTTGCGCAGGTGTCGATGAAAATTCCCAGGTGGTTTCTTTTTCTTATGAGGCCCAGCGGAGATTGCTAGCTTTTAATACAGTGCGTTAAGCGTGCTCCGAGAATGGATTCTTTTTTTTCCAGATATACGAGTATTCATTTTGGTATATACAGTAATAATTCGTAGAAAGTATGAAGTTTAGAAATTATTTAGCACTGGCAGCTAGAGCCTCAGCCTTTGAGGTGCTGTTAGGATCAAGGAAAGGTTTCTCGCCAATACCAACGGCTCGGTGGCCATATCGCTCGCCGAGACCTTCGTAATCGAATGTAGCGGTATGGAATGCAGATCGATTATCCCAGATGGCTGAAATCGAGTTAGTAAAGCAGCAAGTTATTAGGAAGGTGCCTCATCACTAACCGATATCGTTCTCATTTCTCCACTTAAACCTGACCTGGATGTCGTGGCCTTCAAGAATAGTGTTATAGAATTTCTTCAGAAGCTCATCGGACTCATCCTGAGTGAGCTCATTAATCTGCTTAGGAAATGGGCCCACGGCGTAGATGCTCTTCCAACCAGTCACTGGGTTGGTCCGCACGACAGGGTGGACAGCAGCTAAGTGGGAACCAGTATTCAGTGGGCTACCACGAGGGTCGGTATGAACGATAATGTTGGGATCTGCCTCCGCGGCTTTAAGAAATCCATCGCCAATATAATTTGCAGTAAGCCCCTCGAAGAACTTCTGGTAAGCCGGCGAAAATCGATCGTAGAGGTCATAGCCCGAGGCCCAGAGTGTATCTCCGCCAGAGCTAGGAAGCTGGGTAAGTCGGAGCGAGGTGTAATCGGCTGGAGCTTCCTCAAATTGAATATCCGAGTGCCATTGGGCTGAATCATAGCGGCGCTTGTTGGGCTGGTTCTGGTGACGGAACATTCTCTTGCGGATGACCGAGCTGATGGTACTGACTTGTGCGTCTTTGACCCCGAATTCACTGGTATTGTTGAGAACAGGGTGAATGTGAAGTGTTGAATCCTCTGGCTTGCCGGAAAGCTGGCCTAGTCGATGGACAAACTTCTTCTGCAAATCATCATTGAGGTTATTTTGAGCCCGGAAAAAGACAACTCCACGTTGAGAGACTGTATCAAAAAGTGGTCAGCTTGGAAACTTGTTGGATATAACTGAGGTGCGAGCTAGAGGTGTTTACTTGTGATTGCAACGTCCCGAATCAATTCGTCCGCATTTTCGGCATTCAATAGGTCATCGACGATGTTGACATTGTGAAATTCGCGGCCAATAGCCGGGGTCGTATCCTCAAAGGAAAACTTATCCAAAACACCACTAAGTTTCAGTGGCACAGGGTAAGTTGAGCCATCCTTAGTTGCAGGGCGAGAAGGAAGGGATGCTTCTTGAATTCCAGGAGCCATAGTGAAAGCAATGAATAGCAACCGGAATTTTCACTCTTGTTGAAATCTGAGCTGAATTCTCGGGTCCAGTTCTTCCATTTATATAAAGTAGAGCCTTGGAAGGAGATGCGTATATGTAGCACGCAATAAATTGTACGACTCGCACCTTAGCCGAGATAACCATGAGTTACAGCAGTGATTTTGGTATAGAAATACTAAAATGCGGGGTAACTATCAGGCACGACAGTTTCGTCCATAGTAACTACTAGTCGAACGTAGAGCTAGGATTACAATGATCTACACAGGAGATAAATATGCTCGAACACACCAAGAAGATACTTGAGAATTGGTCCGTCATTGGTTTTTAGGTGTCATTTTGAATGCAGAATACTTGATGCATCGGTCGCATCTATCCGGCCCACCCAATCAAGTTCGAGGAATCACGAAATCCTCGCCCGAAATCACACCTGACCAAGCCAGCCAATGTGAGCCAATCGTATACTCCGGCAGGTTCGGCAGATTCGGCTATCCCGGTAGATTCGGCAGATTCGGTAGATTAGGTGATTCAACAAGAGTAATTCGACAAAGAACGACCTCCTGAGGTTGTCGAGAATATTTAAAGGTCCAGGGCCTTAAAATACCTCAAGTTGTCTTCTTGATTTTGTATCGGGAGACTTGCGACCCGTCACTCAAATCGACCACCACCGGTTCTAACTCGTACCCAAAGGCCCAGGGCAATAGTACAAAGCGGATTGTATAATATATGACACCAACTGATAAAATAGCTAGTGCCACCACAGGAGAAAGGTAGTAAGGAAGACTTGTGTTGCCTTTACCATTAGATGGAGGAACAAAAGGCATCACCAAAAGGAACTGGATGAGTTCGTCAGCATAACTCGACCTTGCACAGAGAAAACGGGAGCAACTTACAATGTTACTGGCGAGATAGAAACCCAAAATGACCCAGGGAACTCTAAAATGAGATTGAAAATCCTCATCCTTCGAAAGGCGTAGTTTGATCAATCCAATAGTGACAAAAGTCAAGAGGAAGACCGTGGGATACGTTCCAAGACCAACGACAAAGTCGAACGCAGCGCCTGCGGGAGGAGCACAAATAAAAACAATACTTACCCCCAGGTGAATCGCGAGAGCACTAATGGGGGTCTTGAATGGTCGATTTTGCATGACAATATTGGGAAAGGGCGTAACACCATCCTTGGCCAACTCTTGTAAAACTCGTGCTGTAATTTCATATTAGCCACTGACTTAAGGAGCAAAGCTGCAACAAATCGTCGATACATACAAACAGTGAAGGCCACGCCTAGCAGGTGACCGATGGCAGAGATAGCAACTAGAGCAGGTAGTGCTTTGGAAGCTGCAGAATGACCAAAGACGTTGTTGAAAAGAGTGGCAGCAATGGTCAGATCGGACCCTAGAAAGTCCTCGCGCGAAACCCCGGCAAACTGAAAAAAATGTTAGTGTGTACGCATTATCCACTGGGATCAGGGCTCATACGTATGCAATGTTTGCTAACACATAGAGCACGGTAACCAAGCTCATGGCTGTAGGAAGAGCTATACGAAGTGTACGCTGAGGATTCTTTACTTCAGACAAGACCTGGAGGTGTAAGTTAGCCTATGAGCGTTGCTTAGAACGGCGTGTGTGTAGTTACCGCATTCAGATTATCGTATCCTTGAAAAGAAAAGATTGCATCTAGCAATGCGGTACCGATATTATAGCCGCTGCTTGAGGTGCCTCGGAATGATGAAGAGAGAGAAAGGTTGTCTGGTTTTGGCACCCTGAGATGGCCCCCCAAGGCGGCGAATCCTGTGCATACGATGAAGAAGAGTGTGAATAGCTTCACGATGCTAAGAATATCTTGCAACCCTCTTCCAACTCTCGGTGCCACAGTATGAATACCGACGGCAAATGAGACAGCAGAAATGGCCAGTCCTCGGAGTTTCCACGTAGTAGAAGCAACCGAGGCGGCTTTAAGAATATAAGAAGAAGCAGTGATGGCGTTACTAGCCGAGGTCTCTGTAGTAAGTGACCAGATTAATAACCAAAAGGATAGAAAAAAGAGAGAAGGAGACCCACGTAATATCGCACAGTAGAAGAGATATACACAAGTCACAAAAAGCCGGGGTGAAAAGCATCGTTCTAGATAGACTTTCATACCACCCGATCTTGGAATACCGCTACCAAACTCAAGGAGCACCATGGCACCGCATGTTGAGATTATTCCGGCAATCACCCAAAGAACCAAGGATAGCCCCGGACTACCGCTAAGTTTGAAAATAGAAGTTGGAGTCGAGAAGATTCTATTCTAGGTGAGTAGCTGTCAAGTCTTTTGCTGAACATAGAGTTACATACCCTGCGCCGATGATTTTGTTCACAATGAGCGAGATTGCTCCAAGAAGACCAATCCTGCGTTCTTGCAGGATATGCGCCTCCTTGACCTGAAGGCTAGAGCTTGAGCCATCGTCGCTGCTAGAAGACAAGTCCGTCTCGGTGGACTCTGATTCGTCAGTAAAGAGCCGCAACTTTGCTTGACCAAGTTAAAGATTTTACCGTGGGAAATTTGGTGGTTCTTCGACATGGCGGTATTGTGTTCTGACCATTGTTTAGCCGGCCAAAAGACTTAAATGGCAGATACACAATGTACCATTTTGGGATGGCAACTATGAAGCACAAATGTCGTGATCGTCCTGATTCTGCTATGGGCACGTACCGCCCCCAAACAGTCCGGTGATCTGTCGCCATCGGATGTTTATATGGAATAATAACGGGCCCACTCAATTCAGCACTTCAAAACACGATCAGTGTGCAATAAGATGAAATTTGCGTGTTTGGAAAAATAAAAATAAACTCAAAACCATGAATGATGGGGCAAGAGACTAGAGAAGGCGATATTAGTTACCTGCGGCATCCAGGCCTCAATAGTAGACATTTATTGACATCTAATGAGTTGTCCTTATACTGCATACTACTAGTAGTAAATATACGAGTGGCTTGTCTGATGGTTGTGGTCTTCCGATTTTCGAGGCTCGAGCTTGCTGATGTCCATCATCTAAGGTTGCTTTACCATTGATTCGGACCACGCTTGTTGGTGTAAATGCCACGCGGAATGCTGCCCGCCCACTTTCCCAGTTACGGCTTTGCGTAACGTAGTGCATTTTTAACAATGCAGATCGATGCAACACAGTTGAGGGCTCGTCGTCAGTGGGTCTTATGTCGCAAATTGTAGCGAATGGCTGATATTTGATTAACTAACGGTCCGAGGAATAGGACATGGCGCGATCGGACTCGATCGCAGATTGTACTACGTAAGAAATACTAGCACATGTTTATTTAAGTGCTACTAGTCTGTCTTAACCCGGGAAGTCTAGCTGCTCCGTCTGTGCAACAATTTATTGATAGCCACTTCCTCTCAGTCAGCATGTCCGCTGTCGAAACGATCACTCGGCCTACTCAGCCTGATATTGAGTATCACCCCGACTTCGCAAAATACCAGGAACGAAGGCGTCTTCGACTTGAATCTGGAAATCTCCAAACTAGTGTGCCGACTGGATTTCCGTCCGAGCTGGTTTCTCCTCTTGTTTGGGAGGGGAAGGATGTTGAAAAGCGGAGTGACTGGGCTTACCAGTTGAATGATAGTCAGCTTGATGAGATTGACGCTGCCTTGCATAGCTTTAAAGGTATGTAGTATTTCAAAAAAAACTGACGGCCAAATGAAAATTAATTCTGTAGCTCTCAACAAGCCGTTCGGTTATATCAAACAGACCACGTTCCCTTTACCAAACCTTCATCCGGTCCTGCGAGATCTTTCTAAAGAAATCCACAATGGCCGAGGATTCTTTGTATTACGGGGACTGCGCATCGACAGCTATTCTCGGGAAGAGAATATAATCATCTACACTGGTGTTTCATCCCATATCGGAAGCATACGTGGTCGCCAACAGGACACACGCCTTCAAAACGGAACCTCCCCGGTGATATCACATATTAAAGACATCAGCAACACCGTTGAGAGGGAGAAAATTGGCGCACCTTCGAATACAGCCGATAAGCAAGTTTTCCATACTGACGCAGGAGACATCATCTCTCTTCTTTGTTTGAGTCCTGCGGCCGAGGGTGGTGAAAGCTATCTTTCCAGTAGCTGGAATGTTTACAATATTCTGGCAAAAGAGAGGCCTGATCTACTCCATACTTTGTCTCAAGATTGGCCAGTCGACGGGTAAGGAAGCATTCATCTATATCCGCTTCTGAAAATCAACGCTCATTTACTTCCTTAGGTTCAACAATCCAAACAAGCCCTACACTCTTCGGCCTCTTTTATACCACCAGCCAGCAACGCCAGACACCCCCGAGCGTGTACTTATTCAATACGCCAGGCGTTACTTTACAGGGTTCAAGGCCCAGCCTCGATCAGCCGATATTCCTCCAATCACAGAAGCCCAAGCAGAGGCACTCGATGCGCTACACTTTCTAGCAGAGAAGCACAGCGCATCCTTGAATTTCCAGAAGGGCGATATTCAATACGCCAACAATCTTAGTATCTTCCATGCTCGCAATGGATTCAAAGATGCGCCTGGAAAAGAGTATGGATCTTCAAACCCTTGATATCGAAAATTTGCTGACTGCAGTAGGCGACATTTGCTCCGACTTTGGCTACGTGACCCAGAAAACGCCTGGGAAACCCCAAAGCCACTGCAGCATCGTTGGGATACGGTTTATAAAGATGTAACCGAGGATCAACAGGTCTTCCCCCTGGAGCCGATTCTTCGAAAGAATGTGGGGGTCTTAGATGCCCGCAGTGAAGAGAGGCGTTATTTGGGCATGAAACAATATGTATTAAGGTTCCTTGGTGGAGCATAACCATTCACCAATTTCCCAATTAAGATCTTACTGATCAAATATCCACTCTGGTATTCTTATTTTTTGAGTCCCGGAATTCCCACGGAGACATCGTAGATCACCCGGGGAAGCGGGGTAGGTCATGCAGGATTGCACTTTGCTGATACGACTCAAACGAAAATGGGATGAAACATTTAGCGATAGGGCATGATTGACTCTGCTTCGGATTGTTCCGGCTGAGAAGATACTTTCTTATGAAAACGGAACGACTTCCGCATGAGCTGCCACATATACGAGCTCATTCATTGGGTTTCCACTAACTACTCTATTCTAGTTTACCTCTATCTGTTAGGCGTCCAGTCTCTAACTGATCAGCATTCGGACCTGTAATTGGGAAATTTTATTCCACTCTAGCTTTCCTTCCGACCGCCACATATTACCTTTATCATTGAGGAAACCAATCTCACTCTGCAGTCATCCAGTTCAAAGCGTCCTTGGCACCTTGGAAGCGGAAACAGAGTGCATTTAGGCACACTGACAGCGGAACAAGGGTATGAATCTTGTGCGGGGGAGATGATCGCCAGCACTTGCAAACTCTCAAAGTTTCAGACGACTTTCTGTTCTCTCGCAGGGTTGTATTTAAACTGAAGATGCCCATCTTATGCTTTCTGATTTAGACAAACTCACAACACTTTCTTTCCGACCAGGTGCCCCCTCCCCCCCCTCTCTCCTCCGAGAACCACATTCTCAGGATCGTCTCACAACTGTCGCGAAGCTCATAATAAGCTCTGTTCCGGCGACTGATGTTTGCGTTGTTCTCCTAGCGGCAATTCGTCAATATGGAGCCCACCGAAAAAGCCCTTGAGAATGAGCAAGTCGAAGAGATGAAGTCAGAGCAGCCAACACCGGCGATTGACCGCGAGGCCGAGAAGCGATTACTACGGAAGCTCGATATCCATGTCATTCCAATCTTGACCTTCCTCTTCCTTCTCGCGTTTCTCGACCGGATAAACATCGGCAATGCTCGACTGCAGGGGCTCGAGGGAGATTTGAACATGAAAGGGCATGACTATAACATCGCGCTGTTCATATTTTTTATCCCTTATATCCTTTTCGAGGTTCCGTGCAATCTTATCTTGAAGAAGGTTTCCCCATCGTGGTGGATCAGTGGATTGATGTTCGCGTGGGGTGAGTTTAAAAAAAGTACCAAAGACAAAAATGCCACTAACCTCGTTCGCCTTGGTATCAGGAATTGTCACGGTTTGTCAAGGTGTCACCAAAAGCTTTGGTGGATTGGTCGCTTGCCGCTTTTTGCTGGGGGTTTTTGAGGCTGGATTCATGCCAGGTTTGCTCTTGTTCTTGATATGACACTAGGGCCTCTACTGACATTGGTAGGGTGTGTGTACTTGATTGCAATGTACTACAAGCGATACGAACTACAGTGGCGTATGAATTTGTTCTTCAGTGCAAGCATCATGGCCGGTGCAGTCAGTGGGGTATGACGCAACTCTCATGATTCATCTTGAAATTTTTTTAAAAAAAAGCTAACTAGTAGATGAACAGTTTCTCGCATATGCGATTGCTAATATGGCGGGAATCGCGGGATACAATGGATGGCGGTGGATCTTCATCATTGAAGGCCTTGCTACGATTGTCGCAGCTGCTACGTCGAAGTTTCTGATAGTCGATTGGCCCGAGACCGCAACCTTTTTGAACGAAGAGGAGCGAGAGCTGCTTCTATCCCGTCTAAAATCTGACTATGGTGAGGCACGAATGGATCGGTTGGATGGACCAACCTGGAAACGCATCCTTAGCGATATCAAAATCTGGCTTGGGTGTGTATTACCAAGGAAACTACATCATCTGTTCTACTAGTAGTCGCTGACCAGCATCTTTTAAGGCCGATGATGTATTTTGGCGTTGTGAATGGTGGCTACGCGACTTCGTTTTTCACACCGACAATTCTGAAGCAACTCGGTTGGACTGCGATACGGGCCCAGGTGATGAGTATTCCAATCTACGTGGTTGCAACAGTGATCTCGCTATGCGTTGCTGTTGCCAGTGACAAGCTTCAGCATCGATTCGCCTTCACAATAGTTGGCTGCGTTGTTGCTACCATTGGATGGGTGTTGTTGCTCTGCCAAGAGTCGATCCCAAAGGGCGCACGGTACTTTGCCCTTTATGCCGTCACTTGTGGGGGCTATATTACGCAGCCAATTCTTTTGGGTTGGATCAGCAATAATATGGGAGGCCACTACAAGCAATCGATTGCCGCTGCCATGCAGGTCGGTATTGGTAATATCGGTGGGCTTGTTGCAAGTAATATCTTCTTCGATTCGGAGGCTCCTACTTATAGAACTGGGTTCGGTGTCAGTCTGGGAATGACGTGGATTTGCGGGCTAGCCTGTATAATCTGTTTTGTCTGGGTGAAGCGCGAGAACAAATTACGGGATACGGGGAAGCGAGATGATCGATACCAGCTCCCAGAGGACGAGCTTAGCAACCTTGGAGATGATCACCCAAGTTTTAGGTATACATACTAGGTACAGCCCTGGAGGCTGTCGATGATTCATCAAATGTCCTATCGCGCCTTGGGTTGAAAATAACGGAGCATCACAGTATTCTGCATTTAATCGAAACCTCAGATAAAGATCATCTCTTATTAGTAACTCCACAGGTGGGACAAACACGTAGCGGTGGTGGGTACTTGTACTCCCGAGGTCTATGCCTGAAAAAAAATATTTGTGGCAACCCATGCTTCAAGTTTTGTACTGGAAAGAGCTTCCATAGAAATTAATATGGCACCAATCGGCTATATCCATGCCATTTGTGATTATCCAATGCGAAAATGCCCGATGGTCGCCTTTCGGCAACTTCCATTTCCATCAATGATTGGCAAGATGACGATCTCGCGGCGTTACGAGTCAGGCGCCAAGTCAAGCCAAGGATACCTGTCAGACCGAAATAGTAATTGGGAGATGAAGGCAGATTGCCGCCAAAGTGGCAACAACACGGGTGACGATCTGGTCCGGGGTTCTGCAGGGATCTAACTAGTGGTAAATAGCTCATATCCAGGATATGTACTCTCATTGATTCTTCTGGAAGGAAAAATCCCATATTATTAGAACGCGGTGTGCTAGGATCAAGGATCCAGAACCGTAGACAGTTGCGCAGACTGGGATCCGCGACTCTTTTGGAAGATACTAATGTGAAGTCTTCTCGAAGTTCTGCTGTAGATCTTCTCCGGATGCATTGTGACGAGTACAATCCGGGGAAAGGCCTCCCACAGAGGTAAGCGCTCTTGTGATACCGATATTCTCCTTGACCGGCAGACTAAATGGTCGTAGAAAATGAAGATCATCCAACCCCTTAACCTCTCTCACCACGTCTACCAGGTACCGTCTAACTGCCCCGGGGTTGGCGCGCATTCACGAAGCCAATAATTCGCACACCGGCTCCACCGGGCAACCTTCCTAAAATCACTGATTGCTGGCTTGGATCGGCACCTCGTTACCGAGATGACGTAAAGAAGCCAGTCAGAGCAAGAGGAAAAAAGTCCTTGGGAGTTCCACGCTCGTTCGACCACATGGTGGCACACGAAACCCTGTCCGAACCCTGTTCGCCAGTGAGCCTTGGACCCAAATATTGTCACCGCGACGCTCATTCTCGCAAATCCAGCGACTAATACACCCTAAACCCCTTGGGTCGGATGCTAGTCTCCAATCAGACCGTTACGCTCCAGGAGTCCCGCGGAGGTATTTTCGCGGTTAGGCCCGAGAGCCAGTTCCCTCTATCCAACGCAGATACTTAAAATCATGGCCTTCCTCCCCATCGCCACATTCTCTTCGGCCTCCAAAAAATCTACAGACAAGGATCCTTCGTCCCCGTCCTCATCTTTTTTCACCATGTCGCACAGTCGCTCATCACCCAATAAAACCAGCCGCTCCGTCACCTCTGAAGAGCCATGGAAGGTCGATACTCCCTTTGGCCCTCCACAGGTTCCTCGATCATTCCCCAATACTGGCATTCGACGCATACGCGATACTCTCTCCAAGATATCGCCAGGAGCACTTGCAGAGAAGGAGGAACTTCGCAGAAGGAATCAATATAAGATTCCATTGACCCACCGGAACGTCGACAACTTCGTGACGGAACAGGAAGTCAACGAGGCCTGCACGCCGAATCAGCGCACCCCAGACGTTCAGGTGGCTGAATGGCTCGAACACGTTTCCTGAACTCGAGAAGTACCAACCATGGCCTACCATGGGTTACAAGCGTCCCCACCTCCACCACCGCACGGTCGTGCTTGAGTTCGACTAGCCTTCTTCTCGACTTTTCCTTGAGTCGCTGACCCCGCACGACGCGCCGATCGGGCGTAACCACTCGAAGTCAATCCGGGCGGTTGCACTCTCTTATCGCATGACTGATTCCCATCAGTCTCTGTCGGCCTTTTGGCCCCCGATGCCGACTACATCCTCGTATCCTATCGCATTGGCGGGAACGTCATGGCGCAAGGTGGACTGTGGTTACTCATGCACGCCCCCCAGTTTGGCGTATGCTGTCGGCTCGACGGCAACAGCGGCTCCCAAGTACTATCTCTGGTCTCGTGTTTGATACTCACCGGATAAATCGGATCAAACTACCTCTCTTACCACCCTCTTGTCGCGTGGGGGGCTTTTGGTCGCAAGGCGTTATCCATAATATGCCGGCAGATATAGTTCTGGACGATCTACGCTACCTCAGCGCGGGGGCGAGGGGGGTTTGGCGCAGCTCGTACTTTGGTATGAGGCAGCATAGATTGATAAAGGGTGTACGGAATATCTAACACACTTGATGTTGCAATGCTCGTCAAGTGATCGGATCGTGAACTAAAAGTCCCATCGGCCATTTCTCGGTGGGCCCATCGCCCGTTGCGGCTCTGTCGGACACGAGAAGGAATGGCCGCTCAACTTGAGAAGTCATGACTTACATATTAATACAAATACCTTTAGCATAATATAAGAAATTTAATATCAGTGTATTTTGCCCGATATACCCAGCGAACTTTGAAATAGTCATAATTATTTATGCTGAGAGAGGGGCGGGAGAGAAGGGGGGGGGATGTGCCAGTGCCAAGTCGCAGGATGCCCCCGCCGCGGGGGATTTTTAGGGTTTCCAAGTTACCACAACTGCTAGTCATGACGGGTACTTCCAAGGCTGACTGGTCTGGATTCAAGTTGGTACACTCCTATCCTAGGCTCTTGTCACTTTGATCCCTCTACTTCAGAGAATAGCCATGCGACCCAAAAAAGTGGCTATCATCGGTTAGTCGTCCATCGGTCATCGGCCACTCTAGCCCCCGACCAACCTACTGATTCAATTTACTCTCGTAGGAGCCGGCCCATCCGGCCTGGTCACCGCAAAAACACTGTTGCATAATTTCCCAGGGAAATTCGCTCCAGTTGTATTTGATAGTCGATTTGAAGTCGGTGGTCTCTGGAACACCGGTGCTGCCCCCACTAAAGCTCGAGATGCTAGTGACCCGGTGACTTTGGATCCCCGGATGCGCACGAATCTCAGCCGTTTCACAGTGGCATTTTCTGATCTCGCTTGGGAGTCCGTGATTGAAGATGATGACATTCCAATATTTCCGCAAGCCAGCCAAGTTGGCCAGTACTTGGCATCCTATGCCCAGCGCTATATTCCCAAGGATGCTTTTAGGTTAGGGAGCTATGTGAGGCAGACTAAGCGATTGGTCCAACCTGGTTCGTCTACGAAATGGAGAGTGTTCTGGGACCAGAAAAGGTATGTCTCTAATTGATGTTTATCTGATCATGACTTTCTAGAGCAAATGTTGACATGGTATAATCGTCTAGTGCCCAATCAGTTCAACATGAGCAAACACAAGCAATAAACTCAGAGAAATCGGAGGATTTTGATTACCTGGTAGTCGCATCTGGATATTTTGCTCGCCAGTATATACCAGACATACCAGGGCTAGCGCAATTCAATGGCCGGGTTGTGCACAGCTCAGCTCTCGCCAAAGGTCACGATGCCGCAAATGATGAAGACCTCTCTCTCGGAAATATTCTCGTCCTCGGAGGAAGTATGTCTGGCGTGGAATCCGCATCGACATTTGCGCTGCATCGTTCTAATTCAAGATTTCATGATGCGAATCGGGGAGCAAATACGTCAGCAGGACATTCAATCTATCATGTATCGTCACGACCATTTTGGACATTACCAACTTATCTCCCACATACCCTCCCTTCTTCCACTGTTTCATTTCTCCCACTCGACTTGACAATGTACGATTTGGATCGCCGACCCGCCGGTCCAATAGAGTACTATCTTGGACCCATTCCGAAAGAAAAGGCAGCGAAAACAAATGAATACTTCCGATCATTACTTGGCGCAGAATACGAGAAATTCGGACACGTGCATCAGGAGGGACCAGAAGCTTCGAGTTTGAGTCCGCCGTGGGTAGCTATAGGTAACGACTATGCTGGATTCGTTCGGTCAGGAACGATCGTACCGAAGATGGGCCGAGCTGTGACCATCCACCCAGATCCTGCCAAAAAGCTAGCAGCCGTCCAGATTGAGACCGCAGATGGCGAATCGATAACATTGGAGAACATTGCTTCCATAGTGATGGCAACCGGATTCACCCCATTTGAATCAATATCTTTCCTACCTGAAGATGTCTTGTCGACCCTGGAGTATACAACCGATGACTCATTCCTCCCCCCTGGTCCTGAGATCAGGGTGGCAGTCTCCGATCAGAGATCCCTGATCTCGGCTTCGTCGGATACTATCGTGGTCCCTACTGGGGTGCTATGGAGATGCAAGCACGATTCCTCGGCAAGACATGGGCCCAAGAACCCCATGAGCTCGCTACGACCGAGTCGCAGATGCGAAATATTCGACTTCTGAGACAGCCAGCCACACAGACTTGGCGAGGTCAATTTCCGATGGGCGACTATGTAGGGCTTATGGAAACATTTGCCAAGGACCTGGAAATTGAACGCACTCGTTTACAAGATGTAGAGGGGCCCGGTCCTGTGATACCTGCTCGGTATATCTACAATGATCTATCTTCCACTGATGGTCAGAAACAGGGCATAGGGAACAGCGATGCGAAGTTAACTCTGGATTCTTTGTCCTTGCTCGGCCTTTGTGGCACTGGGGATATCAATACTCTTGATTCCCAGACATGCATAGCGACGGCCATATTCAGAGCCCTTCATGGAGAATGGAAATATACCAAGAGGGGATATATCGGCGAAATTGCTGGAACTGTTGCATTTCATCCACGGTACCCCACAGATCCTGCATATGATAGGGAGTATGTATGTGAGGAGCTACTTTCGGAGTCTGCCGATATTACATACAACACAAAGCAATCCATCTGGCGATTGTCCGAGGCAGGCGGCACCGGTTTCCCCATCCAGATATACCCCATGGACGAATGTGGTTCGGAAATTCCAACCACAAATCATTTGAAGCTGCACTCTGCGCAACATGGAAAAAGTGGCAATGTTGGGCCGAATCCGACAGTAGATATCGCAGTCGACCATCGGCCTGATTATGCTCTCCAAGACAACACGTTTTACTACAAATTCTGGTTTGATGGCGTTTCTATCTCGAGGTGGGAGATTTCTCGTACGGAAGATCATGTGGTATCAGATGGGCCGATGGCCTCGATTATCTACACCAGAGTCTAGATCGTCTGGCATCCTTTGAACTACTTGGCTAGACACCCACACCTAGCGACATTTGAACACGACTATGCATTGTGCGGTGTTAGAGGCTGCATGTTCTATGTGCAAAATTGAAGAACTAGAGACAACGCTCTTGAGTAGGCTAGCGCAGAGCCTCGGTTCCGGATTTCAACGGCCTGTACCAAGCTCCATTGGGAAGGTCAAATACTGAAGAAAACAATTTAAGGCTCATTTTGACAGCTGGATCAACCTGCAAGGCTACCGATAGCCGAGGCGCTAAAATAGTCGACCTAGTCAATCAGATCATAACTGACCAGCGAATCATTGAGCCGCGGCCCTCGGACTGTACAACGCCGGTGGATTAGCCTCGCACCTTACTGCCCTAAAACAAATCCATGGATTTAATTCATCCGTCTGAAGATGGAAAACTTTTCCTCTGGCCAGATAGGATGCTGACAGATCCTTCGTGATCGCCTTTGGTTCCGGCCGAGTGGCAACGGCACACCGATACACTTCACGGAACCAGGGTTCAAACCCGTACATCACGGGAAAAAAAAGGGTCTTGATCCGTCCACTCGGATTAACGTTGCATTTTGTACCTTTTTATTCCCTTCTATTTGTGAGCTGGTCAATTGACGCCACTGGACTACAAGAGCCTGGCCAGTTCTAGTCTGGGGTAGAACCACGGTGGTATGGATCCGCCGGCACGATGCGAGCCTCAGAGCAAGGTAGGGGTCCATCGGTTTTACGGCACGGCGTCGGCCTCGCCGATATTTTCCTGCATGATTTCCTTTTGTATTCATATAAAGAGACCATAAGGCATTGTGATCCCTGCTGGGCATTTTTCATCAAAAATATCACAATATCAGAATCAAGATCGCAACTTTGGGCTGGAAGGTGGGAAGTATCAACGAACATTCACCGCATTCAACAAAATAGCCCTCGCCATCTCATTCAGTTACACAACCCAACCACGACTCATCTATATGAACGTCTGCAACATGGAAAGGCGCAGTCCATCTCAACTACGGGAACCCGAACCACTCACGCTCGACCCGATATCCGAATGGCGCGCCTGGCAAGCCCTCTCCGTCTACTTCACAGTACTACTGAACCGTCAAATCCGACGTCGCTGGCTCCTAGAGCACAAATCAATGGAAGACAAGCCCATGGCCGAGCATTTCCGCCCTATAATCTTCCTCGAGCCAGTTCCCGCACTACACAAACCACTCATCCCGACCAACACCGACACCGACGCAGGCACAGACCCAGCACTTGAACTTGCCACCACCAATTCAAAATACAACCCCTACAACAAAACCGCCCTCCAAACACTAAAGCAAAAAGTCCACCTCCTCCGCGCGCGCGTCGAAAAGGGCAAAGAACTCGCCTCGGAAATCGAACGACGCATGCAAAATCCACGTATCATTTTCCCGACTCATTTCTGTCACACTTGCGTTATGGGCGGCGACTGTGTGGACGTTTTGTTGACGAAGTGCGGGCATCGGGTTTGCAGGACTTGTCTATCGTTTGGTATTGATGATAATGATATTTATGAGTGTAGTATTTGTTTTGCGCCGGCGAGTTTCGTGGCTAAGACGCCGGTTGATGGTGGGCGGCGGCGGTCTTTGGTGGGGGGGTCTTTCTGGTGATTTGGGGGCTTGGGGACAGGGAAAGGGAAAGGGACAGGGACAGCGTGAGTCGCCTTTTTGGTTGCCTGTTGCTTTGGGGAAGTGAGTTTTGTTTGACGGGTTCTTTAGTGGAGTGATTGTGCCCAAGTTGATGGGGGTGTTTCGTTGAGGTGGGTTTGAGGACTTCTGATGAGGGTTATGGTTCTCTTTTTCTTTTTTCCTTTCTTTTGCTCTTTAATCCAGCGGCATTTGCATCTGTATAGTGGGGGTTTGGCTCACTAGATACACTCCTATTTACCAGTAATATCATGATATACCAACATTGCTACTCACTACTCTTGGAAGGGATGGACTTCCAAAAATCATCCAAAGTAATTCTATTCCAATTGCAGGCTATCTATTCATGCCTAATCTAAAGAGTATACAAAGACAATATTCAAATATCGCAATCTAGAAATATCTAAGGTACTAGACTGCAATCTTAGGGGTCATCGAGACATGAAGAGAAATGCATCACGAGACACATGTCTGGGACACCCACACCCACAAACCGATTTAACCAGACAGAGTGAACGCCATTCTGTGTTCGTACAATGACCATCACCATGCTGGAAAAGAAAACATATCATAGAACAAAGGATTGGGGGGGTGGGCGCGTATATTGCGGACAGGGAGGTAATGGATGAAAAAAACATTATACAGGAAGAATAAGTTATGCAATCATGCCAGCTGATCACAGCTGACCACCAGCTACCCAAAATTTGACAAAAACAAAAACAAATGCATGATATGGGGACAGAGGGGGAGGGGGCCGTAAATTAAGGGTCATTTATGTGGTGGGTATCTAGACATGATGGAGAAAGCCACGGGTCGTGGAAGTAAAGAAAAGGGGAGGAAACATCAAGCTTCCTCCCCTCACATATCCTCGGCATGTTCTCCGTCGTCAATAACCATCGACACACCCTTAACTGGATGTAGGAGCATAGGTGGGAGACACATGCGGCCCTCGCCGGCCAGTTCTTGTTGCTCGCCGCCGTCGTTGTCGACGCGCAGTCCAAGCCAGCGGCGCCAGATATTCGGCGAAAAACCGGCAGAGTAGAACCAAGTTGTACCCTTGAAGTTGTGCTCGCGGTCACCAAAGATAGACGTGCGGGCTCCGCCAGAGGCACCGTTGCGACCGGCATTGAAGACCGACTCCAAGTAGCGTGTGGGCCATCGGCGGTCGATGTAAACTGCGTGCGGGACAAAGACGGCCTTGAAGCCGTGGTGGAGAGCCGTTGTTGCGGGCCACATCTCTGAAAACATGCTGTGGCGCTTGAGACTGCACTCGCGATGCATGGTGGTGAGGAGCTTGCGTGAAATGCGAGAAGCGGTGATGATTGCAGTACGGCGCGGGGGCATGCCATTCTCCTTGTTGTAGCCCGTAACATCGTCACGAAGTAGCCAAGTAGTGCCTTCGGGATCGTACAGTGGGTTGAAAACAATAAGGTCGGCGTCTTCGCCAACGCCCCAGGTATATTGGTCCTTCTCCATCGTGGTGGGTGGGATTCCTTCACCCTCCACCTCGAAAATATCGCGCTCGTCCGGTCGCTCAGGGCCCCAGACGGATTTGTCGCCTTGTTGATGGTGCATAATACTGCCGGGGTTCTCTCCATCGGCACCGGGCTTCCTAGCACTCCAAAGGTTGTTAGGACTGTTGGTACCGCTCTCCGTCTGGACGCGAACTGTGTGGCGGAAGTCATCCCATGAACCGTGAACAGAGGGAACGTAAAAGCGGGCATTTCGGTCCCAGAGACCCTTGCGAGGCTGTTGTTTAGCCCAGCTGGCGACCTTGTCAAAGAGATGGTACCAGTGACCAGTATAGCGGGCATCCATCTCCCAATTCCAGAAATAGTCGTATTCGGGATGTTGGTAAGCAAAGTATTGCATAGGCATATAGGTACTGCGGTATACACCGTGGATGGGTAAGCCGCGAGTCAAGGTTTCCTCCAGGCCGGGGTACACCAGAGACATTTGCTGTTCTGACCAAAGTGTCCCCATACCACGGAATTCCTCGGGCAATGCATCATCCAGCACACGCTGGTATGTCTCGTCATCCGCCCAAATTTGAAGGTTGGCGTCCTTGACGTGGATGAGGAAATGGATCGTGTACTCGCCACCGGAAACAAGCGACAGCTCCGAGATCACAGATCGCATATACATGATGTCCTCGGGGGTGTACCGGAAGTCATGCCAGGTTCGAATAATGACAGCAGTCCTCGGAAGTCGATCCGAGCCAACCCTAGGCTTCGTCGCCGAGCTATCCTCGATGGAGGGGATGTTGACACTGGGGACGCCCACGGGCATCGAGACGAACCTGTTCAGGCGTGGCTCCGGTAGCTCATTGAAGCGATGACGGTTCGCAGCGTGGCACCTTTGCTGCGCGCCAGCCCAGTCCATACCGCGATAGTCAATTGGAGGGGAATCCTCCCAAATGCGCTCGGCGCCATCGCGGTGACCTTCCAGACCAGCGCCAATGCCGCCTTTCTTGACCCCATATCCCAACCCGTAGGGGCCAAGGCGACCAAATCGATCAAAGCACATATCATCCTGAATCCCGAGCATTGTGTTCGAACCCATAACTGGGTCCGGGAACCCTTCTGGTACTCCGGGGTAGGACTGGATGAGCGGTACACGAGTCTTGCCGTCCTTGTCCAAGAAGCACTCGCGCTTCTCGCCATATTTGCTGACGTAGTCGGCAGACGCGTAGTCGGGGTATGGGTTGAAGACCGAACTCGACATGGTCGGCTTCAGGTCCCTGGCGCTCAATTTGTTCTCTTCGCTGTCCGCAGGCGCAGTGTCGTCTCGCGGGAGTGGCATGCCTTCTGGGCCATCGCCAGGGTATTCGGGAACATTATCCTTACGCGAAACCAATTTCGATAAACCGCCCTCGTAGCGACTCAGCATCGGGAAGCTCTCCCATTGAGGAGGTTTATTGGTGTTGGCTTTAGGGAGTTCGACCACCACCTCCGACACGGTCTCAGAGATGGTGAAACGAAAGAGTGTGAGGACGAACAGGAGGAGGGAGACGAAGAGGGCGAAGCAGAGCCATCGCATAATCCGCTGGGGTACACGGAAACCCATGCCGGCCTGGGCACGACGTAGGCCCGCGCCATTCATGACAGGTGGGTAGGAGGTGGAGGAGTGTTCTGGGCCGTCGCTATCGTCGGATTCGGATTCACTTTCGGAGTCATCGCTGCGACGGTGATGGCGGTATGGATGACGGCCAATTGGTTGTTTCTCGACATCAGCATCGTGTGTTCGTGAGGAATAGGGTGATGGTTTGTTGTAGGCGGCGGAAGATCTCCTCGCCTGGACGGTCATGTTGCCGGGGAAGTCGTCAACATGGGAGGGAGGAGTGCGAGGATGCAATTCAGTGACACATCTGTCAAGTAGGTCTCAAAATAGGAGCGGAAGCTAGTGGGGGAGAAAAGGGGGAAGAAGAAGAGGAGAAGAGGCACGCGATGAAAGGGCAGATCGTCCTGGCAATTACTCGTGGGGGGCGTGACGCTTTGGTTTTGCCGCGGAGGAGACCAAATGCAGCCACACGAAAACAGGGCTGACCAGAAGATTCAGGGGAACCAGGGGAAATACGGGGGAGGGAAATGTTTGCACCAACACCAATGCAAATTCAGATACTTCGTACGGGTTCCCTTAAATCACCAACAAAATAAACAGGAAAGAAAAAGGCTAGGCGCATCTGCCAAGCCCACAGGCGAGGAGGAAAATGAGGGATTACGCATGTTGTGCTAAATTTGGGTGCAGATAATTGCTCATTTGGAGGAACCGCGGGCAGACTAGAGAGTATAGACTCTTCGAGCATAATTATAACATAGTCATAAGTCACAGAAGCCATCACAGTTACAAGTACGAGCCACTGGCAAAGATCCCAAGACAGAGACAGATCAGAACTGATGATACTGATAGAAATGATGCAATCAATCGAAAAAGGAGAAACCAGCAATTTTGACGTGGCGCCAGAGAGAATAGAACAAATGAGGCTAATAGCATAGCGAAGAGAAATAAAGCCATGGCGAGCAAAAACACGCAAATCCGGCCAAGAGTGTCCTGTCCATTCAGGATGGTGGCCTCGTGAAAGAACTCCGCCATAATCATCAATCCATCATTTGCAGATTTCCCGTGGTATTTCTCTTGCTCTGCTACGTACACACTCCTCCCCCATCACAATTTCGTATTATATCCGTCTAATCGCGGTTTGTTTTCCGGAGAGTGTCGGCGAGCCACTCCAGACCCTCGTAAAGACCGTCACCGGTGGTGGCGCAGGTGGATTGGATGAACTGGGAGGCGTTAGCGGGGGGGCAACTAAGGAGCAAGCGCAAGCAGATGCAGATGCAGATGCAGGAAGGGATAATAGAAAACTTACCCAAGCACGGCGGGTCAGGCTCTGGAGGCCAAGTTGCTGGGTAATCTCGGCGGGGCTCATGGCGTTCTAAACAAAGCGCATCATCAGTATTCCGTTTCCGGTCGTAGTTTGAAGGGGATCCGAGAAACGAGGTCGTCAGATGTTGAAATTGGATCCTTACAGGCAAATCTTGCTTGTTGGCGAAGACCAGGAGAAGGGCGTCCCGGAGCTCGTCCTCGTTCAGCATGCGCTGCAACTCCTCGCGGGCCTCGACAATACGATCACGATCGTTGCTGTCAACCACGAAGATGATACCCTGAGTGTTCTGGAAGTAGTGGCGCCACAGAGGACGAATCTTATCCTGACCACCGACATCCCACACGGTAAACTGGATGTTCTTGTACTCGACGGTCTCGACGTTGAAGCCTGCGATTGACGGAAGTCAGCGAAACCCTTGCTTTTGTGTGTATTTGCGCGGTCGGGGGGGATTTCCGGCGAAAGGAAAGGACTCGAGTGGCGATGTCGCAAAGATGAATCGGAGGAAGACTGACCGATTGTAGGGATAGTAGTGACAATTTCACCAAGCTTGAGCTTGTACAGGATGGTGGTCTTTCCGGCAGCGTCCAGACCGACCATCAGGATACGCATCTCCTTGCGACCCCATAGTCTATCAAACAGCTTTGAGAAGGTAATACCCATTATGGCGGTGACTCGAGGCCCTAGAAATTTGGAGGTTAGATTTTTGGTAAGAATCAAATCCAAGGAGAAGAAAGGCGGAGGGGAGGGGGAGAGATTGGAAAACGTGTTGTGTCGGGGATTTTAGGGTTTAGGGGGGGGGGCAAAGGAAGGGATGATCATGTGAAGTGGTGACAAGGCGATAGAAATAGATTCAGGCAGTAAGTAAGAGTAAAGAGGGAACAATATGACCTACCTGGGTAATGTGTGTGAGTTGGGGAGGGAAGATGGAAGGTGAGGTTGATAGGGGAAGGAAGGGAAGAGAGAGTTGGTAACAGAGACCAGAAACAGAAACAGACAAGAGGGAACAGACCGACACCGAGAGAGGCCTGTTTTTTTGTTTGGGGGGGAACACTGCACTACGAACACTCTGAGGCGGTGGGCAATCTCTCCTTCTTATTTTATCCTGCTCAACAGGCACCCATCATCAAATCAGCTGTTTCTTATTCCTATTCTATACAAATGTCATCTACTATCCATTCATCACTTCCTTACCTTCACAGAGGACACCGTGTTGGCCCCGTATCCGAAATACCGGAGGCGAGGGGGGGCACCACTTGGACCATGACCAGCGGCTTCACCCAGAGATCTGGACGCCTGGTTGGCCCCGCTGATAGGCTCATGCTGATTATCAGCCCCATCTAGCGCCCAGAAAAGAAAAAGAAAGACGCCATCCCCCGGTGGGACTTGTCCCCGTGGATATTGGACATGACACCACCTGCCATTTCCCTCCTCCCGTCTCCATGATGATCATGATTTCTGATGATACCATGGCCACAGCCACTTTCACTCACGCCGGGACTTGCTGGACCTGCTCATTCTCTCTCGCGACTTTCGAAAGAACGTCTTAACCAATGACTGATAGATCGTCTTCCCTTCCACCGTATCGCTCGCCTTCCCGAATACCGTCAACACAAGCACCGACACAAATAAAATCACCGCAAAGGCCACCCAATACTGCGCTTGGGTGTATCCGCCCTTAACCCCCTTCAGTTCCGTCGAGAAATAGGCTGTCATCAGACTGACCGGAAGGAACATAATGGTAGCCTTTGCCAACAAGATCGTGATTCGTGTCAACTTCTCAACGGCCTGAGAGTCCTTAAGCGCGATCAAGTTAAAGTTCTATCGTCGCCATGACGCGCAGGTTAGCAGGCTGCACCGGACTAGCAAATAATGGAAACGTGGCCAAATAAATCATCACTCACCAAAAACGTCAACGACTCCTTCTCGCCGAGGCACGTCTCGATTTCACTCAAGCAGTATAAATTGATGCGATCCGCCAACCGCTCGAACTTGGCCACCGCGGCCGAACTCAACAGTACCCCGACGGGCTTATCGTTTGCGAATGGAAGGCTAGCACTGCTCATCAGACTCTCCTGTCGCCTCTCCGCGAACTCGCTTTCCTCAAATGTGGTTCCACAGGGTACTGGTCGTTGTTGGGTTCCCCGGGCTTCATCGCGCAGGAGTCGCTGCCGCTGCAGCACGCGCTGCATGATGAGCTCGTAGCTCTGATACAATCGCTTTAGCACGCCAAGTCGGCGTCCTAACCAGTGCAACTCGTTCACCAATTCCACTATTGGCTTCTCGAGCATTGAGCCTCGCTGTAAAGCTGTTGTCAGTTACTCTCCAACCGCCGGGACATGCAAGGACCTACCAATTCTTCCAAGAGTACACTGTATTTGTGCTCTCGTTTCGCGACTAACCCGAAGCTCGACATCCAGTCGTCAAAGAGATAATAGAAGAGGAGGCTCGGTCCATCATCTTGTTTTATACTCGCCTGGTCCGGACCTACATCGTTGAAATGGCGTACTCGGACGGTGACCAATGAGTCGTTCTCGGTCTCGCTCTTGTGAAGTCGCGATACACCCTCGAAGATGGATTTGATATTTCTGCGTGCAATCTTGAGGATCTTTAGTTGGATTTCTTGGAAGTCTGCCTCCTGTCGGGGGAATAGATTCTCCTGCATCGAAATCACGGTTCCTATGATCGATCTTAGCAAAAAAAAAAAGGACTTCCAAGGCACCCCTCAACTAATCATTAATCCAGCAGGTTGTCACTTACCATCATCACACAGAACCAGCCAGGTCCAGAGCCGTCGACCCTCTGGAAGGTCTTCACCATTATTCATTTCGCCCTTGGGTATTCCAGGGTCGGCCGTCGCAAATAGAGTATTATAGCCAATGCACGTATCTGAACGAGTGTCAGTCCTTTTGTAAATCTTCTTCTCTAACATATCGCATCGTATCGCATCGCATAACCTACATCGAGGCCCATAATCCGTCGACGAGAAATGCCAAATCTGATCCGTGACCTGAGCAAAAGTGAGTTTCCCCGGATTAGTCGCGGGACCGGCACCCGCCATCTCAACGCTCTCCAGGCCATCCTTGATATGCATTGCAGTCTCAAGGTCGTCAGGAGAAAACGCCAGGGACCGGTCGAGGTCGCGGGATCGAGATTCTCGCTTTTTGGAGAGCGCTGTTGCTTTTGGGCGGGGGAGGACTGGTTCGGTGCACATTAGACCTTGGAGTCGTTCGGAGACGCCGTATTGTGTTGTTATTGCCTGTTTATTGTGTAAGGGTGTGATCTATGCTTGAACAGACCGTGTAGTACGGTTGAGAGGGGTAATTGGTTTACCTTGACGATTTCTTTCTGTTTTTTGGGGGCCCAGATATTACTGTTGGTGGTTAGTTTGGTATCAATAGAGTCGAGGTATGTGGACGATCATCGCACGTACATCCACCTCGTACCAAAGCATTTCGCTCGCTGTGGGCTGAGAATTAGTCTAGTCTCTCTCTCGTGTGCGCCCTCTCGCGATCGATTATAGAGACGGATTGCATACCGGCTTCTTCAACAATAACTTAAAATCCTCCGTCTCCAAATTCATCGCGCAGAATGCATCGTTGTCGCCAAAGTCCAGTACAAAGTTCTTCGTATGTGCATCCTTGAGCAGCTGGACGGAATTGCTAAAGTGATCTGGTTCGTCGATGTTCTTGAATCGGTCCTTGAGCGAACCTCTTTCACTGATAAATCCATCATAGTATTCTTGAGGGCTGAGACCATCACCGGGCCGCGAGTAGATATGTTCGGCCATCGTCCACAGGTGTCGCAGATATGTTAGTGTAGTGTGGGTGTATGTTCAGCTGAATGTTTCTGCTGTCGGTTTTAGCCCCAGTCTCCTCCGCTACCTCACTGGAAGGCAACTGTGGCCGCCTCGTATTTGTTTGACGCGGGCGTTAAGTAGTGAGATGGGAGCGGGCCAACAGAGCGGGGAAGAAAGGGACGATCGTATCAGCAAGCAACCGAAACAGCGCAAGGAACGAGAAAAAAAAATCCAAGTTTAGCAGAGATGAAGGTATATTGCAGTAGAGAGATGTGGGAAAATTGCTGAACAAAATAAATACGAGAATCCTTGTGGCTGCTCCAGGTTACCAACCCGGAAAGGGGCAAGTGACCACTGGAGGCTGACTTGCCGCCAGCAGGTCACACTTAAGCGCCGGGGTCAGCTGCGGTCCCCGCCGTAATTAGGCCCCGATTCGGTAGATCGATGCCTTTGCTTGGTCGAAAGCTTGACGTGGACGGTCACCCGGGTTAAGTTCTTTTGCATATTGCATATTGTGGGGTTTGAAGGGTTAACAGGGCTAGGTCAGATGGAACGGTGACGACGACTATGTTGGTGGTCTTATTATGTCCCTATTTATCGCGGCGGGATCTTGATGCAGGTTTCATGCATGAATAAAGTAGAGTGGAGATTTGATGGATTTTACATTTTAGATTAATTATGGGTTTGTTGATCGATATTTGGTCTCCATGGCTGCTACCTAGGTGGAAACTTCAGACAACCACTAGCGAGATATCTACTCTAAAATATGCATATCTACTAGCTAATCTCAACTTGAAGCAGCTCTTACAAGTTATCAATTAAAGGAGAAACCCTACCAGTTGTAGGCTAGATGATATTGAGCTATGTTTCATGAGGGTTTAGATTACTTTGATCGTAAGCGGGATTCTCTTTTCCCGGATGCACATCAGAAAATAGCGATTTTTTGCATTCACTATCTTTCTTGCGATGCGCTTAACGATTTATCACCTTCAGGATATTGCCAGCGAGACGCGTCTAAAAACAACTCTTTTCTGATATACTCAGCCAACAATCTACGACATCACATCCACCAGCAAAAGGTTGAAAAAATGTCTAATTCTGAGACTTTTGAGAAGCCACGGCAGCGTGAATCTGCTTTTACATGTATTGGAGGTGACTCGCCCTAGGCCGATCCCTGTCCACCGACCTGAGGTCCCTCCACCCCGACCCAAGGCGGAACCGGACTTTTATCTCTCCAACATGACTTTCACCCTGGACGGCACCGATGAGAATCTCCAATATTATGGGAAAGGGCTTCTCCACAGATGCATGGACGCTGGATCGGAACCTAATGCGGAGACCACAATAAGACTACTCTACCAACATGGAGCGGATCCAAACGTCAGGGACAAGAAGGGTCGAACCTGCCTTGCCAAAGCAGTAACTGGCAAATGTGACATTTCGTGGTGCTGTCGAGATAGTCTGAAAACTGCAGAATTGATAGTTAATACATATCATCCTCGGGCGGATCTCGAAAGCCAGGATCTGAGCGGCCATACCCCATTACATCGCGCTACAATGTCTGCTGTGACACTTTTTGGATCTTCAAAACCAAGCAAGGGATGCGAAGCAATTGTTCGGCAATTGTTCGGCTTCTGCTTGATAGGGGCGCAGAGGTTAGTAGTAGGGAAAATACAGACAAGACGCCTCTTTTCTATGCAGCCCAGCTGTCGAATGTCGAATTGCTTCAAATTCTCCTCTTGAGAGGCGCTGGTGCAGACGATAAGGACAGTGTTGGGCGCACTCCACTTTCATATGCAGTGAGTTCAGATCCACAGAATTCATGGGGGGTTCATGAAGTGTGCTTTGAAAACTTTTAAGATCAATGGCCACCGACAAGCTTGAACGAAGTTGTGGAATTCTTCTTTCGAGCGGAGCCGATCCAAATTTTCCGAGATCATGAAGGTATGACTCCCCTTCTTCGGGCAGAAAAGAATCTACCAGAGGATCATGAAGTGTTGAAAATGCTTCGGAAATCCGCCAGAAGCTAGCACCCTCTCTCTTGGGATTCTCTTTGGGTACTTTACGGTGTCTTCAGGTTGTTGTCTGTTTTTACTTATTCTATTGTTTCCGTTTCCGGTACATGCTACTCATGGATGTCGTAGATAGAACTATCACGTACTAGTAATAATCTACTGCAGTTCATTCAAAAAAGAAATGGGCTATTTGTACTCCGTACAGAGTAGATGGTATAATTTTAACAGTAAACCAATCTTCGTCCAACTTGTTACTACCCTCAGCTTAAGTCAATTTGGAAACCGATACTACCACATCAAGCTCTTCCAGATTTGGCGAGAGCGCTACCATGAGTAAACTTTCACATTTCTTTCAGACACTGAAATGCCAAGTTTGTATTGATATTTACTCAGAATCGGGTTTATGGTACATTGTTCCACACTTTCCAGGGCTGAGTACATATCTGTATCCATGCAAAACTTCCAAGGTACAACTTCAAGTTAACTTACTACTGACTTGAAGAACCACAGCTCATACTACTAACTATTCTACTTTGCTTGTCTGGCCTGGGCCTGCTGCATCTGTATCTTTTTCATGGTCTCTGCCGCTTCAAACGAGTACTTGCACTTCATACGCACTTGCATACCGTACCGATACATGACCAGCGGGAACGGCATGCATACCAGTGTCATGAAGGCCGGGATGCTAGACGCCCAGTGAATACCCAGATTGTGATACATCTGTGTCGTGAACAGAGGAAACACAGCACCAATGACCGAACGGAAAATAGCAGCCGCGGCCAAGACTGAAGCCGCGTAGATTGTATAGGAGTCGATCAAGTAGTTCATGATTGGCAGTAGAACAAGAACACATCCGAAGCCGAAAGGTGTAGATAGGATGATAGCTACTGACCAATGCATACTGGGGTAATTGGTCCATGCAAATGCAAACATTCCGGTCGGGAGAGCGACTGCACCAACGATAGCAGGTGGTAGTCGGGATTCGGCAGTTGTGCTTTTCGCGAGGACCAGTTTCATATACCGGGTGTTGTTGTCCCAGATCGCATAGATAAGACCAAACACAATGCCAACGGCAATACCAAGGAATGAAAGTCCCCCAATTCCCTCGCTCCAGCCACGGTCTTCGTTATAAACAATTGGCATAGCTCCCATGAACATGTAAACTGTACCATAGATGATTGCCATGTAGACCGAAGCGATCAAGACGATTGGCTCAAGGAAGAGAAAGACCCAGGGACGAAACAGGGCTCGCTGGAAGACCTCAGATGGCTTCTTTTTACCCTGGCTCTTCTCAAGAACACTAATGTAAAATTTTCCATCCGCCTTAGACAAACGACTAGCCCTTTGTTGTAGCAGAACCGGGCCGTAAGTCTCGGGAATAGAGATGACTCCAAGGATGCCGACAATCCCGATGAAGATGGTGCACACGCCTTGCACCCACCTCCAGCCAATATTTTCGGAGATAAAGCCTCCCATGACCGGGCCAAGGACGGGACCAAGGAACGGTGCAACGCAGTAAACGGTGAGGGCGAGTCCACGTTGAGCTGGCGGGAAGAGATCGACGATTGTGCCGCCGGAGTTGACGAGGGAGACGCCCCAAATGTGCCGGCAAAGAAGCGCAATATCAACAGAGTAGCCACATTTTTACTCCCAGCTGATCCCCCGAGGAAGGCTACCATGGCGACGTGGGTAATGATCCACAGTTTCTGTCTGCCGTACAGTTCAGATCTTAAAGAAGATTAGCAAGACAGTGCTGGAGAGTTGTTTGTCGAGAGTTGGTTGTACTCACAGAGGGCCCCATATAGTAGGACCGATAGCAAACCCTAGGACGAAAAGAGAAAGACCGAGAGTGAAGACTTCAGAGCTAATGTCGAAGTCTTGGATGACCTCGTTGGCGGAGACGGAGTATGCGGAGGAGGTCAGAGTGATAGCAAAAACCGAGATGGTCGCAACAAATGTGATAATCCACTTTCTGAATGAGCCCCAATTCATGGGATTGCCTGGATCATCTTTTTGAAACTCCACAACAAATGGATCTTCATCGGTTCCATGGCCATCATAAACGGGTGTTTTCTCAATCTCGGCCGGGCCGGCATTGACTTTGGTCATACTGGATAAGGTGATCGAAATAAATATCACCAAGCGGACACAGCTATCTGATCGCTCTTTTACAAGTCCGGCTTTTGTGGTCTATATAGTACGTTTAGGGAGATCGGAGTATTTATTGTTGATGCCCTCCGTGATGGAAAGCGGGATGCATGTCCATTGGATACCGGGATAACGGTGGGTCCAGGAGGTCCTGCTTTCCATTCCTTAAGGTATGGTCCTTGCCAGTGGAGACTTGATATATACCCAATCATATAGCGCTCCGCTATGGGGTACTTCTCAACGGAATGCCATTTGATTGGACAGTGCGTTTCTCTGTTCCCGCCCCCGCATGATCATCTTCCAGCCTACTTAAGGTAGCCTTACGGCTTCCCTCCTACTTCGTCGCCATGTTGGGTGCTCTGTCAATACCTACAGGGTGTTCACTGGCCAGACACGATAATGGGAGCTCCACCATGGCTACGGCTGGAACGGCCAACATGATTCAACCAGAGCACAACGACTCGTGGGTAATACGCAGACAACGATTGAAAGTCACCACAGCTTGTCAGGCATGCCGGTCAAGAAAGACCAAATGTGACGGCAGCCGTCCAGGTAATCTACTGTCCTTCACTTACCCCTTTGATGCTCACGAGTTATGCTGATACAAAGAATGTCTAGCATGCACTAGGTGTCAAGCCAAAGGAAAGTCTTGTAAATACAATCGTCCTGCTGCGGCTGGCGACATCCCGCGCAAGCTTAGCCCAAAGGAAACACCTCAGCATGTTCCTGTCCTTGTCTCCCCTCCATCTTCACCAGCCCATTCGATTGAGGTGTCCTCGACGTCGACAAGCCTGACTCTCCCAGGCATTGAGTCACGCGCCTTCTCGGATAATAACCGAGAATCGAACTCGGACTCGAATCTCAACCGTCCATACTACGCAGCCCACGGCCGGTTCGCCGGCCAGGTGGCGGCGGCTATAGAGGAGAGAGCTGGTCGAGCCCCACCAGCTACGACATACCTTGTTCCACTGGTCGATGCGCCCTTGTTTGGAGATCTGGATTTGCCCCTGCGATCTTCCCCTCTTTTGGAGTCCACCGAGTTGCCCGCCCGCGCTCGTGCAGATGAACTCGTCAATATATATTGGCGACACATACATCCGGTTGAGCCTGTGTTGGATTATGATCAGTTTTCGCAGATATATGCGAAGTCATTTTCGACGGAAGGTTGCCTCACGCATACGGACCATCACATTCGGCTCAGTATCCTCAATGTGATATTTGCCCTCGCGGTACAAAGACAGGAATGGGTGCCATTCAACTTGCGGAATGAAGAGGGGAATACTTATTTTCAACGTGCGTGGGCGCTATTCCCGACAGAGTCGATTATTTGGGAACCCGGTTCTCTTGAGCATGTGCAGTGCTTGATGCTTATGAACCGATACCTCCATTGCACAACTCATCAGCAAAAGACATGGATGACTGCTGGACTGGCAATGCGCATCGCGCAAACAATGTGTTGCAATTCCCTTGAGACTCCCTTAGGCAAAGATGCCAGCAATGACGCGCGTTTGAAGCGTAAGGTATGGGCGAGCTGTGTTGCATTGGATCGGTAAGTATTTATCCGGTTTAATATGACCCCAGAAACCTCGCTGATGTGATTAGGTGTGTTTCCTGGTCGCTCGGAAAGACATCAGTGCTGGCACTCATTCCATCGTCGACAAGCGATTGTCAGCAGGGAGGCGATCCAACGGGGCACTCTCGATGGAAACTGGAACTTCACGAAATAGGCAATCAGATTCAGATGGCCCAGATTCAGACACGAAGCACCCTCGCATCTCGATCTGCGGTACCACGTCTAGATCAACAGGAGGAATACCACACCGCGGCGGTCCACCTAGACGCTTGTCTCAACAAATGGGAGACCAGTCTTCCAAACGATTTACAATTGCGGAGTCTTAAGTTTCTGGATGACAGGACAGTCCGAATGGAGTGCTATTCGATACACCTTAGGTAAGCTAGTACTGCTATTTCTTTGTATTTTGAGAATTGCTTCTCTAATATCGTCCACTGTATAGTTTTCTCCATTCTCGTATCTATCTCTACAGGCCAATACTCGCCCGCTTCTACTCCATGAAATCCAATGGCCAATCAAGGTCCACGAATCCCGCAAGTCTCAGCGAGCGGCTTCTGAGAGAATGTGCTAAGATGTGCGTCGATGCCGCGCAAGATGTCACTGTCTTGGTGACCGAAACATTAGAACCCTGTGAGCCTATTAATATCATCCCTTGGTGGACACGTATTTACTACCTTCACATCGCGGGCGTGATCTTCCTCGCAGCCATGGTCCGATCTGATCTCTTTACCGACTCAGTCGCTCAATCATGGCAGGATGTTTTGGCAGGCCTCCGTGCACATGTCCACTTGAGTCCATATATTCAGCAGTGCATTTGTACCTTTGAGGCCTTGTCTGCCAAGATCTTACAGCCCACTGGTCCAGTCGCACAGAGTTGGTGTGAGCCCCTGGTGGAAGGCGCAGGGATGTGCTTCGATGATATTTTCCAAGATGTCCGCTTTGACTTCGATGAATTCTTATTTAGGACGGAAGAGGTGCTCAATTTTGATGTGCTCGGGTCATGATATTTAGGTACTATTAGTATGCGACCATGCAAACTGGGGGAAAGGATGAGGCACCCTGCTCCATCTATTCCATTTGCCACCCGCATGAAATGATTCAGCTATGTATAGTAATTCCCATGGTTCTCGATCCATCGCGCTTCAAGGTGAGCTGATGAGATGCAGGTATATTTACGCTCCCGGGTTATAAAGAGCTAAGAACGTAGTCATTTGCCCATATCCCAAGCTAATACATATAAATAGCTTTATTCACCCAAACCCAATAAAAAATACGGCAGGCATTCAGCAGGAATAAAAATAAATTCTAGATTATGGCGCAATGGCCAGTGATACCTACATACCTATATCCATCCACAACTTCCAATGTTCAGCTTCAAGTTAACTTAATACTAGAACTAACTTAAAGATCCACGGCTCATAAAAACTATTCTACTTGCCCTATTACACTATTTGCTTTTTTACCACAATCCGCAGTATCTCAGATTAGAGCTACCCACGATATCGCAATTTTGACGATATCGTATCGTGGGCAGCTCTAGTATCTCTTGAAGATCTTACCCCTTTTATTCTTTCTATACATGCTTCTACACTTTGATACCTAGTACATACGACCATAGGGTGTGGAGAACAGGGCTTCCCGTCCGCTCAGCCGTACTTAAGCCACATACTAAACGCGGTCAATAGCCAAAGAGCCCTGAATCTTAAAATAGCGTCAGTTTCTGAGTGAGGGTGAGTGTGGGTGATATGGGTGAGAATTTTGGAGACTGGGGTAAGAGAGGTGAGAACGGGGTGAGAGCGGGTGAGGATACCCAGTGCGATGCGTTGCGTCCTCCCAATCTGCAACGGTAGAAAATAAAAGCTCGAGGGCACAAGTCCAGTCTGCCATTCCTGAATTTTTTTTTACCCAGCTCCTCGACCGAAGTTGTCCCCAGAAGAGATACAAAAGAAGCTGGATGAGAGGAAGGCACGTGCCGCATCACGTGGTTTCACCCACGAGGGGTATTGTCGGAAATCGATAGGCAGTTTGGATATATCTCTTCTTTGGGAAAGATTATTGTCAGAGTCTACAGTGGATCTCCAGCCCCTTCGGTCAAGGAGTTTCTGCAAGGACTTGGATAGACTGTTTTTATGGGCGACAAATAGCTTTACTCGGAAGTTTTGGAGTCAACAATCAGAGGAATTATTTGCTCATCAAGGATATCTTGCAGTGTCCCTTAAGTGTCCCTGCCGGATCTGCTGATCGTATTCTCGAGGACTTTGTTTTCGTTGCGGGTTTTAGATAAATCTCTATGCTTTTTTATAATCAAGTCTCCAAGGTTTCTAGTGGGAGATCGATGCTTCAATGGCGGTTTCCCATTCTGTTTCCCCATTTTACCTAATGTGTAGTCATTTGTATAATCAGGTGATACAAAATTCGGCCCTCCGTGCTCTTCGTCAAGAAGCGCTTGCGCTGTAATTTAGTCCGTGATTATGGCACAAATCCAGCCCATCGCGTAGTTCGCAGGGTCGGATATGCGTACTATTCGATAGAAGACAGCCGAGGGGAACTATTGTACTGCCTGGCTCATGCTAGTTCAAAAAAGAGAGGGGGGGGGGGCTTTAGTTAACGTAGCTCGAGGGCCAGCACATTAGGCTTCAGGGCGTTCAGGTGAAGCCGAAAAGAGTGAAGTGGTAGGACGGCAAGGGTTAGACATAACCAATCTAAAAATAAGACTGCAAGAGCAAGAAAGCTTACGAACAATATAGACTGCCCATCTAGTAATTGGTCTAATAGAGTGTTCTCTATGCAGTAAACTTGGAAAATTTGGCATATGTAAATCTTCAACACCTTGGTAGATACTTCTCGCGAAGAACATTCTTCCAGTCCTCCATGGTGATATCCTTATTCCGCCATGGAACATAACCCACAGGAACTTTATCCCGCCTCTCTGGATACCACTCGTCAAAGAAGAATCTTTGATGGCTCGCATCGCAAACATTCTTCACGAATTCACCCGTGTTTAACTTTTCCTGACAGCCATTGCACAGGTTGATTTCAATACAGTCTGCACAAACCCACAAACCACCGGGCCTTTCGCCACTCAAACCACAGGCACCACATGTACTTTCGCATTGCCATCTTCGCTCCACTTTGTCTGGGATCTCTTCGGAGCTCTCTTCCAACGACTTCTGGCTTTTCTCCCAAGCGGTACAGCCAAATGCCATCATTGCATAAGTCATGGCCGCGTTCTCTTTATCAATGGACAGAGCTGTTATTTTGTAAATTTTTATGAATGCCCATATATTATTGGACAAATCATCATCTTGCGGACCATTGCCAACCGCGGTGCGAGCAGCTTCTTCGCTGCCTTGGCGGAAATAATACCGAGCAAGATACATCCGAGGAGGGAATATCAGAAGCTGATCCGGGACTTGCTCACACCCAATTCTGGATATACTTCTCATGAGGTCGATACTTGCTCTCATCAAGTCGTATCCGGAGCGTAGTTCGTTGTAATAGATATTTCCCAGAATAGGTCCAACATAGTATAGCAAATAAGCCGGAGAGATGGTTAAATGAAGACCGATTGTCAGGACTTCTTCCATTATCTCCTTGACAGTGTCAATAGGAGGATTTGGAAGTGTGGAAAGCGTCTTCGCTTGAAAGCACTTGAGATACACCATAGCATTGAAGTCTTGATTCTGCGAAGCGCATTGGATACCATCCGTGTACACGCGGTCCTAAATTTTGACCTCATTTGTGTTCATTGCGACCTCGAAAACTATCTCGTGGAAGTCGAATTCAGTCGCCAGTTGAACGCTCGCAGCCATGAGATGAGTCTCGCCAAGGGATTGAAGTTCCTCGATAATATTGATGACGTGGCTCCACTGTACAAATATTGCGATACATTCGAGAGAAACCTCAAGATTGTTAGTATTAGCCACAACAGATCCAATATTAAATATTTGAACTTGAATCAACTATTGAGGAGAGGTATAAACTATTCAAAATCTCAATTTTTCTCCTTTCAACTTACCTTTTCTCCCGAGAATCTGTTTTCTTAATATAACTTGAAGGGCACACAAATGTGAATGTAGTCTAAGTCAACAGCGACTTCAATATTAAGTATCTGGTGCAACAGATCTAATATCAACTATTCGCACTTGGATCGAACTCGGGATGATCAAGGAGAGGTATAAATTATTCATGATTTTTTTTTTAGTATTTTATTATTTTGTTCTTTTGACTTATTTCTGGAGAAGAGTCATGGATATTTTCCCTCGACAAGCGAAATATGACACAAACAGAAACCCACGAACAGCAAGCTTACACAGTACTATCGAGACCTCCCACATGCCACATACCTGCCAGAATCATGGAAGCAGTAGGTTTCACCACAGGTCTCGATAATCGGGATGCTAATAACACTTTTAGTGGTACCAATGAATGCCCACCAAGAAATCATATTGTCAAGGAAATCAATATCAACATTACCACTGTTTCCATGGCCCATGAATTATTACTCAAAATCGTTCTCAGAGCCAAGAATATTGATTTTCAACTTTGAGCTGCGATGAGCTGTGGGAGAAGGGTCTCCGTGAAGTTCCACAAGATCGCTGAGCTATGAGAGATAACCGCAGCCCCTGTATACCATGTGTTTCTATAGCCTTGTAACTCCTCTAAATCTCCGTAGAACCCGTGGCGAATAGAGTCACCACTGACCACCAGTTTAAACGGCGTATGGCTTTTGAATTCCACGAAATGCGGCACTGGGCATCCGTTTGCACCGACGGCTTTCTGCAATCGACGGATAACCGCTGTGATGTCTTTTTTCACGGCAGCTTCTTCCAAGGCATATGGGCTCCCATACCAGATATAAAATAGTCCAGGGATATTTGTTTCAGTGATTTGGTAGGGACCCGGGAGCTTCGGAATATTGGAAAGCGTTGCTGCATTGGCGTTCCGAAATCGATAACCGGAAGGAAGGCCAGTGTTGTTGACTAGAATAGTATAGTATCCGCTGTAACTCCACTGCGAAAAGATATTGGACTCGCGGGTCGTTAGGCCGAAAGGCTTCATGTTGTTCAATAGAGGTGGGATGCTGACGAGGAGCTTCGATGCGATGATAAGTTTATTCCCTGTGGGAGTTGCTACACCCAGCTTTACATGAGTGCCGTCGGCTGGCCGGCTAGAGGCAACGACTTGGGAAGAGTACAGCACCTTTCCCTTCAGTATCGCAGAAGCTTTGTTGTATATTTCCCCGTTGCCGTCAACACTTCTCACGTCACCCCCTTGTATCGCATCGATGAATGACTTGTCAAAGATTTTGAACACGTTGACCGTCAATTGTTCCAGTACATTTGACAGGCCTTGCGCAGCCCAGAAGACATTGTATCCTAAATCTTCTAGGTCATACTTTTGCATGAATTTGGCGAATGGCAAAAGAAGGTCGCTAGGAACGGGATTGGGTAAATTCCAACTCCACTCTAGATACGGATACCTCTCTATCTGTTTGACGTAGGCCGTATAATTGCTGCTCGCGGTGAACGTGACTTCCTGTCCCGTTTCAAAATTGGCATAGAACTCCTTCCTTGAATACCCCGTGTATTCTGTCGTTTCTATGCCCAGATAATCCAAATAGTTCTGCGTGACCGGTATATTCCAGTACGCTTGAACACCATAGTCAATTGTGATATTCGTCAAGGGATCAGTATAAGTGTTTGTATGGCCTCCAAGAACTGCCTCTTTCTCGACGAGCACCACGCTTTGCCCTCGTTTGTGGAGATTGATAGCACCATAGGTGCCAGAAGAGCCACCTCCGATCACTGCCACATCACATGTAATAACGTCCGAGCTGGCGTAGCTAGTCGGATCGAATTTATCTTTAGCGTTGGTGGGATGAAAAGTCCAAGGCAATAGACAGAGAGAAGTGTAAAAGGCGCGAAGTGGTTTCATTGCAGCGGCATAAAACTGGAAATTTCGATCGGAAACTCAGATGGTCGACCAGTAGTCCTTTACCTTTATAATGCGTGTCGCAGGGTTTCATCCTCCTAATACGAGAACAAATTGAATTCTTTTCTCATAAAAAATGTTCTCGCTCCACTGTTGTTTTCTGATTGACTCTCGTATTCTGCGAGCATCTCAGTAGGAATGTAAGCACAGAAAGACAAAAGTACGAACTACATTCCAAGCTTCAGCCACCAGGCTTACGTCGAATCCTTTCCAGGGCTTGTCGACGCCTGAAAAAAGCTTCCTGCAGGAACTCGGAATTTCTTTTCGGAATATCTCTGCTTTGACTTCGGTAACTAAACAACCACGTAGGATATTTCTTGAGAAGCCATCATCATGGCATGTTATGAGGTGGACTTCGTTCAGGTGGATACTAGCAGTACATCCTCAGAATCATTGCGTAGAGAGCCTTGGTAAAAATAGGTAGGAATTTTTATGACTAGGCAAAACGACGACTAGTAATATGTCGGAATTGTATCTTTGAAGATACACATCACAAGTTAGCTTGATGTATTTCCCGCATCCTCAGATCGTCCTTGATAATATCCGATGCCCTTTCAGCAATAGCATACACAGTAGCCATGATCGCGGCGCTGACCTGCATTGGAATAACGCTAGCATCAACAACACGAAGATTTCGAACGCCCTTCACTCGTAGCTTCTCATCTACTACTTGTCCCATCGCGCAAGTCCCCAAGGCATGGTGATATGGCACGATGTGATTCCGAACATAGTCCCGAGCTTCTTCAATATTGGAGAGGTTGACTTCCGGAGAAGGGCTGACCCGCCTGGAAATATTTGAATGTACAATGTTCGACCGAAACACTTGATCCGCAAATGAAATCCCCGTAGCAATAATATCGAGATCAACTGGGTGGGATAGAAACCCGGGGTCAATTGTGGGCGGGTCTATAGGATTTGAGGTCCGCACATGTACGCTCCCCCTAGATAACGGATACATGTTGCTAACAACAATGGAGTAGCATGAATTGTAGCCACTGGGCGGGCCAGACATCAGTTTTGCACAATTTTCATGGCCTGCTGCCGTATTGAAATATGCCGGAGTGCCGATGAACTGGATTGCCGCAGAAATTGGATCTTTGATACGTGTGGCGATAACCTCAAACTGCTTGCGTTGAAAGTTGGCATTTTGCTGCGACACTTCAACACTGGCGATAGGAACAATATTTTCAAGGGTGTGGCTCATCTGAGCCTCGCTGCATTGTGATGAGTATGCAGTGAAGCCCATGAGGCTAACTGCCCCGGAAAGAGCCCCAGAGTGGTTTTTGACATAGATGTTTTGATGCTCTTCTAGCAGAGCAGGACTCTTGAACAAAGAATCCATTGACATAATTCCATCTGCAAGCTCATATGACACTGGTGTCATGGTATGTTCTTGCAAATTTTTCCCAACATCGCTAATGGGTACTTTGCAAAGAATCCCAGCTTGCTTGAGGAGGCTAGGGTCCCCAATTCCCGAAAGCTCTAGAAGTTGGGGACTTTGAATAGATCCCGCGCTGAGTATCACTTCCTTCTTAGCCGAAGCGACATAAAAATTCCCTCCATAAAGTAGCTCGACCCCTTCTGCGTTGGGTACGCCTTCTGCAGTATTGCCGAGTAGAATGCGACATACTTGAGCATCTTCCAAAACCATGAGGTTTAGGCGTTTGATGGCCGGGTGAAGATAGCCACTGGCTGCGTAACTCCGAACTGGCCTGTCAGTTCTGTCCAAGGTAAATAGAGATCTGTAGAATCCTAGATGGGAGCCACTGTATGGCTCAGCCGGCCGTTGGAGACAAGCGGTCTCATCAAATGCAGCGAGTAATGATTCTTCGATAGGTGGCTGCCAGGTACCTATTGAAGTATGTATTGGGCCGTCAACACCATGGGCTCGTGATTGGATTGGACAAGATGGACTGTTCTTAACTGGCTCCATATTCTCATTCCGTTTGAAGTACGGCAGCAGTTCAGACCATGTCCACCCTTTGAGACCCATCTTTCTGCCCCAATCATCGATGTCTTCAGCAGATGGTCTGTTGTAAGACATGAAGTTGATTCCACTTGAACCACCCAGCATTTTACCACGTGGGATGTGGTATGTCTTCCCGTGAGTGCCAGTCTACACAAAGTCAAAAACTATGCATCAGACGATATTGTTCCCAGATTACTCACCTGTGGGACACTCTCGAAATTCCAGTCATAGTTAGGATCACCCATCATCTGACCCGGTCCAGTAGGTAAATTGACCTTCAGATCATCCAACCGCAGAGATCCAGCTTCGATTACCCCGACTTGAATGTGCGGCTCTTCCGAAAGACGAGCTGCGAGCACGAGGCCCGCGGTTCCACCACCAATGATGAGAACATCAAAGGGAATTTTGACAAATTCAGAGACCCCGACTGCAGGCATGATTTACAAAGGTCTTTATGCTTGAGCACAGAGATAAAAGGTTTAAGTGATTCATTCTTGAGATGGGCCTGGGCATGTTCTTATAGGAAGTGATCTATGTCCAAGCCTCCTGTGAGCACAGTAATAAACAGGATATTCCCCACTTTCCTAATTGGATACATCATGAACATGAATATCCGTTGAGGGATGAAAGCAATTGGACAGTCAAGTTTGCACTGTAATCAGCTATTCAGGAGTCTCATGAGATCGTGAAATGGCCTGAAGCTACGTTTGTGTCAAACTAATTTACAAGACCAATTTGACTTTGAGCTTATCGCCCTGAATAATCTCTTCCTTGCGACACATCAACTCTGCCATGTCCCAGTTAGCGCTTAGATAGCGTCCAGCCAGCCAAAGTTGTCGCTCTTGAGTCAACCAGACAATTGTGTCGGCACACAATTCTGGTGAATCCACCAACTTGGCTTTTGTGTCTTCAGGCAGATTCGATGCCAACTCGGTATCCACGGCCCCCGGATGGATTGCAAAGGCCAAAATACCCTGAGCAGCGTATTCAACACATGTGAACTGTGTCAAGCGCAGCATCGCTAATTTCCCAGTCTGATAGGCAGATGCACCTGGCCGAGTCAAGTGGGCACCGATCGAGTTCATATTGACGATGGTCCTTTCGCCGCCTTTCAACAGAAGAGGCAACATGGCTCTTGTCATAAGATACGTGCCCTTGAGGTTGACCTCCCACGTCCCCCACCAGGCTTTAGGATCAGTTTCCGCGAGGGGGACCCATTTCTCGACGCGACCGGCATTGTTCACTAAAACATCGAGACGGCCAAAATCACGTTCAACCTCCACCGCTGCATCTGCAACACTCTGTTCATCCGCAACGTCGAGTACCAGTTTCAGGACTGTTGGTGGAGGATGGCCTGATGATCGTGCAGCATCGAGCACCGCCGCCTCAGTGGCGTCGAGGGATGATCGTGCGCCGAGTGCAATTGAGGAAGCGCCTGCTTGGGCAAACGAAACTGCTACCGCGCGACCAATGCCCCTTGATGCACCTGTCACGAACACTGCTCGTCCTTGCTGTTTGCATTTGGAGGCTGTGATGGTAGGATAGCTATCATTGTGTGTCTTAGAGATCCAAGTGAATCCTGCAAGGACCGAATGTTAGCTATCTGAGATTGATTGGCTGCGCTCGGGTGAACAGGGGGGTTTAGCCTACCAGCGGATGGTGGGAATGCCATTTTGCTCGTTGTTTTGCAATAGTGTCGCGGAGACTTGCATGATTACGTGTTTCTTAAATAGACTCGTTTACTTGCAGCTGATACTACACTTGAAGGATGGCGGGATGGGCTTCGGTCTCCCTGGGAGTGACGGATTAATCTTTCCGGATTATCTGGACGTTGCGACCTTTGTGGAGATATAACAAAAATACGAGTCTCGTATCTCGGAGCATGATATGATGCCGTGGAGACATTTGTCATCTGCCAGCCCGCGAATTCTTCGGATAAAAGAGATCCGAGAAAGATATTCCGCCACTCACCTCGGAAAATCTTTACTGATCAAACAAAGAAACAACATGGCTCCATCCAATTGGAAACTGCTGATAGCTTCTTTCACATCGAAGCGACTGGGTATATTGATAATCAAGATGGAATAGAACATGGATGATCAAGAATTCGGTGGAACAGACTGGCATATAAAGACCAGGTTTGAGTGGATGAACTGGAATCAATTTCAGCAATCTTTCAAAGAACAATATTTAAACAATTTTCTTCAATATCGAAATCATGTCTCCAATTCCCACAGGAACTCCTGTTGGACTCGAAATTCCGGCCAAGGATGTGGCTCGAGGTAAGATCTCCCGATGTTGTAATCAATTATCCGAAGACATAATCTAAGCGATACTGGTAGGGGCCGCATTCTACAAGGCAGTGTTCAACTGGACATTCGCCCCCTCCTCTCTGGGTTTCCCCGCTCACAAGCTTCAAACTTTCGAGGTGCCAGGTGGTGTTCTGCCCATCGGAGGGGCTATGCGCCTAGTGGAAGAAATCCCAGCAGGCTCGGGATCTACTAAACTCTACCTCTATGTAGAGAATATTGTGACCGCTTTAGAGGTGAGTTGTCAATGAAAGAGATCAATACCTCATTAGCTAATCTATTCAAGGACATTGAGAAGAATGGTGGCAAGAAGGCAAGCGAGGTGCTTCCCGAAGGTGACAAGGGACTATTCCAATACTTCGAGGATAGCGAGGGCAACAACTTCGCTATCTACACCTACAAATAAGCGACTGGAATCTTTCCTTCGTGACGGAGATTGTATGGAAATTCATAGCAGAACATATACATGGGAGAAAGCGCCTGAAAACATACTGCAGTACAAGCGTGGAGACAGCCATGCCAGGAACCTCCATAATTATCTCTTATATTTGATCAATTAGCCAGTATTTGGTCAATTCAACCTGTAGTTCTTCAAAAGGACCCCCATGTTCACCCGAAGGAATAAGGAGTAGCCGGCTCGGAGTTTGACAGGGACCGTAGAAATATATCCGGGTCTTGTTGCTCGAAAATGCAGTATTGATTCTTGAGGGTCGTGCACTACGTAAGCATAGTTAAAACTTCTACCCAACGGATCTTATATATTTAGTATAATCCATCTCTTCCTCTCTCACTTCCCAAGGACTACTTTATCGCTTACCCAGGCAAGTCATCGTCACTAAATCACACACCGGGCCAATCGAAGACGCAAGAAATCATGGCCGTAACAGCAGCAGAAATTCTGAAGACAATCCCGCCAGTCAGTGAATATCGTTGGTCGTGCAAGGATGTTTTCCAGCAGTTCACTGTCGTGAATCCGGCGACAGGGAAGCCGATAACTGTCGTCCAGGCCGGAAATCCCGACACAGCAGATAAGGCCATCCAAGCATCACAAAAGGCATTCGAGTCGTGGCGATGGAAGACTCGACAAGAACGCTCAGTCTATCTCATACAGGCAGCTGACGAGCTTCAAAAGCACATCGGTGAATTGGCCATTCTGCTATGCCTTGAGAACGGGAAACCTGTCAAAGATGCATCATTTGATCTTATGTTTCTGGTGGGAGTGTTTCGTTACTTCGGATCTATTGCCGACAAAATACCTTCGGAATTTTTCGACCAAGGAAATATCTATTCGAGTGTGATTTATGAGCCACATGGGGTGTGTGTGGGGATTTTGCCGTTCAATTGGCCTCCGGTCCATGCTGGGGGGAAATTGGCCCCATGTCTGGCGGCTGGCAATACCATGGTCCTAAAGCCAGGGGAGCAGGCTCCGTTGACATTGATGCGCATTGTTCAAATACTGCAGTCCGTCTTTCCCGAAGATGTTGTCCAGGCGATTCCTGGTCTGGGCCCGGAGTTGCCACAGGCCTTGATCAGTCACCCACTAGTCAAAATGGTCTCGTTGACAGGCTCGACCGCATCAGGCTCGAAGGCTGCCCAGCTTGCTGCTGTTACCCTGACCCCTACAGCACTTGAGCTTGGAGGAAAGAATGCTTTTGTTATCTTCGAAGACGCTGATCTAGAGTTAGCTGTGCGCGATACTGTCGATGGGGCCTTTTTCAACAAGGGTGAATCATGCACCGCCGCATCACGGATTTTAATTCACAAAGACCTTTACCCGACTTTCGTTGATCGCCTCACAATAGCAGTCAAGAGGTTGCGCGCCGGTGATGGACTTGATGAAAAGACGCACATCGGCCCTGTTGTGTCTCTGGAGCGCCAACAGGAGATTCTGTCCTATATCGAAGAAGGCAAGCGTCAAGGAGCGACTTTATCTGCGCAGGGAAGCCTACCTACAGCCGAAGATTTAGCGGGGGGGGTTTTATGTGGCCCCAACGCTTTTCACAGACGTCAAACCTGAAATGACTATTGCACACAAGGAGATCTTCGGACCTGTCGTTGTTGTGGGCTCTTTTGAAACGGAAGAGCAAGCCGTCACAATCGTCAACTCCTCGCAGTACGGACTTTTTGCAGGGGTATATTCCGCGGACTTCAATCGAGCTCTGCGAGTTACTCGAAAGTTGGACGTTGGGGTCGTGTTGGTGAATAATTACTTCCGCGCCCTTTTGGGAACGCCGTTCGGGGGTGTGAAGGACAGTGGATATGGCAGGGAACATTGGATTGGAACACTAAGGGAATGGAGTCGTATCAAAAACGTTCGCTTCCCAAGCGGACTGGGTACTATACCAGCTTGGGGTAGCGCTAGTGATGTATGCAAGCTGTAGTAGTCTCTGCAGTTATACCCACTTCAGCAGAGAAACATGTTCTCAGTCTTAGGTGGTTTAGGGAGATTTGGCCGATACGACAATTCCAATCGCGCCACACCAGTCAACCAGTGAGAGTTTGCAAATCTTCAAAGCAGTGATCGTCAGATAGCCTTTTATTTTCTCTTGGGAAATCTTCACGGGTAGGTTGCCTGATCGACTGTACATGCTCACCACATAAGGCCACCAGCCGTGCAATTTGAACTCGAACAGGTGAGCTAACCCTTACTTCTTGAATACTACGCTGGAATAGAATTTAAAGTAAATATAGTTCTTTTCGCTCGTGAACATCAATATACAGTGCAACACCTGGTTTACGCCGAATGAATCGCAACCTGGGCTTTGAAGATATCAGGATACTAGTACTAGTATTTGTGTAATAGTAAGCGTCAAATTGCATTGTACCTTGTGGCAACTTGGAATCCATGGTTTAAAAAAACAAAATTGCTCTTGCGACTAGTATCACGGCCTTGTATTTTTGATATTTTAATGAGTCCTACTAGTAGAAATAACTTAAGTGGAAACTACTAGTATACTAGTGTAGTCAAATATATTAGCATATTCAAGTTCCGGTATCAGTGCCCACTGGCACTACTGCCAGTGGCTAATCCACCATTTCACTGTGTTGTTATATGATTTTGTCCCGAGGTCGCATACCATTTCAAAACAGCTGTACTTGCAAGCTCTTCGACTTCGTTTCTTTTCTCAACTTGCACGTTCCTTCGGCCCAAATTATCAAACCAAATCCTGTGAAACTTGAATAATATATACTGGCAATCCCCACTTTTTAGATCTACCAGTTTCCTCACTCATGCAGGCTGCGTCTTCTCAGAGCCTCTTTGCTTCGAGGCCTTGTGGAACGCCACTGGCAGGGCTTATTACGGTGGATGCTATTCGTTCTGATATAAGCATTGTGTTCATGCCAATGCCTTCTTCTATCATCATGCTATCACTAATTTGATGAAAAATGCGAAAATATTCTTTCCTACTATACTACTAGTAGGTACTAGTACAGACATATAACTAATATTTATAGTGGAAGCTTGGCATACCAGTAAGTATTCATACCTACTAACGTGTTTCATGGGTCGGAGGGCCACCCGTGCTGGAGGGCCACCCGTCTCCACAGACGCGTCGCGTGTAGCAACCTCCTTTTTGCAACCATCGCGATGCCACCAATTCGCCATGAAAAGCGACAAAAATTGATTGAACAAGAGGGCAGGATGGAATTGGCCATCCAGGCCCTAAAAAACAAAAAAAAAAATTCATCTATTCGTGAAGCTGCGCGGGTTTTCGGTGTACCGCGTACAACGTTGCAAGGACGGCTGAATGGTCGTACCCATCACCCAATTGCACGTGCAAATAACATGAAATTGACCGCAATTGAAGAAGATTCATTGGAAAATTGGATACTGGACCTCGATTCGCGTGGTAAAGCCCCCTCGCATGCCATGGTAAAGGATATGGCCAATATATTGCTTGCAGAGCGGTCTCACGCTGGCAGTATCATTACTGTGGGCAAAAATTGGGTATACCAGTTTGTTAAACGTCGGGATACCCTTAAATCTAGGTTTTTACGTCGATATAGCGCACAGCGTGCCTTATGTGAAGATCCGAAGGTTATAAAGGAGTGGTTTTGCCTTTTGGCTGATAAAATTGCTGAATATGGTATACTCGACGATGATATCTACAATTTTGATAAGACTGGGTTTGCAATGGGGATTACTAGTACTTCAAAGGTTGTTACTGGCAGGGATTTCTATGGGAAGCGAAAACTCCTACATTCTAGCAATCGTAAGTGGATAAATGTGATTGAATGTATCAATCTAAACGAAGTACTACCTCCGACCATTATCTTTAAGGCCAAAAACTTAATATTAGGCTGGTTTAATACTATGCTAAGAGAGTGGTACTTTGAAGTTAGTGATAATGGATGGACAACTAATTCTATAGGTCTCTTATGGCTCGAGGATTGCTTCATTCCGCATATCATCAAGAGGCAATGTGGTACCTACTCACTACTAGTTATGGATGGTTATAGGAGTCACCTCACCCCAGAATTCGACATAATCTGTATGGCAAATAATATTATTACAATTTGTATGCCTGTACACTTATTACATCTATTATAACTACTAGATGTTGGCTATTTTGGTATATTAAAGCACTTCTATGGCCAATATGTGCAGGATATGGCCCGTATGGGTACTACCCATATTGACAAGCTTAATTTCCTCGATATCTATCCTATAGCGCGTGCAGTAACCTATAGAAGCTCTATTATTATTGCAAGCTTTACAGGCTCTGGTATAATACCATATTCGCCAGAGAGAGTACTACAAAAGCTCGATATACGCCCTCCAATACCTACACCACCACCATCTCAAGGTAGTGATAGTAGCTACGAATTTGTGCTACATACGCCATGCAAATCAGTCCATTTTAGACGTCAGATATCGTCAATTCAACGACGAATTGAGCAGGCTTCATTTGTATACAATGATGAAATACAACGACAACTGGAGCAACTGAGCAGGGGGGCCCAAAGCATAGCAAATAAAGCAGCCATTACAGCAGCTAATTATAAGCGTACAATGGCTGAAAATGCTAGAAAGCAACGCAAGTATACAAAACCTAGTACCCAATTAGCCTATGAAGGTGGTATTACTGTAGAGGATATGCAAATCCGTCTGCAATTAGCACATGAGACCAATATAGCTACACCATCGGCACCTCCACGCACAGCGAGACCGGCCAATGAGAGGGTGCCACAGCGTTGTGGTAATTGTCGTGTGGAAAGGCACAAGCGCAATAGGTGCCCGCTTAATAATAGCACCTAGTTTTTGCAATTTAATTGGCGTTGGTTAATTTATTCGTATAAAATATAGTGGTGGTGGAGATGGGTGGCCCTCCAGCACGGGTGGCCCTCCGACCCATGAAACACGTTAGTTATTAGTAGTATTGTCTCAGTGCCAATCTACCGAAACAGCGTTCAATTTCTGGACATGACTGAATTGGTCGAATTCGGACTATAAGTAGTACTTCAAGTTGATAATAAATACTACTTGAACTACTTCGTACTATTTGAAAGAATTGAATTCGATATTAGTGCTCTTACTAGCACAGTACTATGTATGCACTTCCCGCACTGAGCTACGTAAGCAAGGGGAATTTTGTTTGTAATCCGGGTCACTGGCTTATGCCATGGGCCCCTTGATACTCTTGCTTATCCTCCCCTCTTCTTCACTTGGCCATTGTTCTTCTCTTGTTGCATCCCCGTTGAAGACGGCTTTCGTGATTGTCACATCTCGCAATATCGATATGGTGTGGACCATTCTACATGATAACCGAATACGGTCACAAAGTTACACATAAGTAAGCGCTAAGGGGGCTGTGATAGCGCATCACACCTTGGGGCCAAAGCCAAAGTACGCCAATCGACGCCAATCGACGCCAAAAGACTTCCACTCCACTCTAAAGTACCTCGCCTCTTTCGCCTGAGCGCATCACTCGGCTGCGCCCAGAACTCTCCAGTACATTTTCAAGTACTCTCGGGGTCCCCGCCCACTTTAGCCTGGACGCTACAGGAAACAAGCTCCCAGTGTCCATTTATAAATTAAGCACTGTTCGTGCGACTCCGTCTGCCACTGGCCGCGACTAGTTATCTGATCTGCTTCTCCTTGAGCCCTGCTTTCTTCTCCAACTTTCTTCTGCTGTCCCCCCCAAGTCACCTGATCACATGCTGCTCACCAGCGATATGGATGCCCTAACACGTCGAGACCAGTCTTCTCGGTCCACCGGAAGACAGCGGCAACGGACAGGAAGAGCTTGTGAAGAATGTCGCCGTCGTAAGCTTCGTTGCGATGGACAGCAACCGAGGTGTGGTGTTTGCCTCGAGTCGGGGGCAACTTGCGAAATCAACACCCAACGCCAGCCCAGGGGCCCAAAAAAAGGTTACCTGAAAGCGTTGCGGAATCGAGTCGGTATATTTATGATTCCAAGAACAATTGAATTCTATGAGTTTGGACGCTGACGTAAATCACAGCGATGCTCGAGAATCGTCTTCCCGCCCATGACCCTGCCAGCTTCTCCAAATTCAATATACTACCAACCCCCCTCACTGACGAGCATGATGATGGCTGCAGTGTCACTAGCCCTTCCAATCGTTCCGAATCATATCCATCTCCACTTCTTGTTGATAACACAACGGTTTCAGAGTCGGATACGTCCCTGCTGAATACAGTGACGAATGCGACGAGTGTCAGTTCAATACAATCGGTCGGAATCTATAGCAAAGACGTTATTGGGGTCGAACCAATAGGCGAATTCATGCAGGCAGAATTGTTTGTTACCTACATATCCCCGAGTCCTTGGGAATTCATGGCTGATAACGATCGGTGTTAGAAATCAACTATACTTTGACAGAGTTCATCCATCTATCCAGATACTTCATCACCGTCGCTATTTAAGTTGGGCTCGAAAAACCGTGAAAAGGATATCTCGTCGATGTCTACAATATGCCGTGTGGACCCTGGCGTCGCTGCTCTCAGCACAATTCAGACACCTTCAAGAATCATTCTACCAGGAAACTAAACGATCGCTAGAGCACTCTTATCTATCAGGTGATCCGAATAACGGGGTTGATACAGCAGAGATTCAGGCATGGATATTGATAGCAACCTATGAGTCGATGCGAACATTTCATCGCTCGGCGTGGATGAGTGCCGGACGTGCCTTTCGTCTTGTGCAATTGATGCGCCTACACGAAATCGATAGTCCGACAAAACTTCCAGTTCCCGAGGCAGATCTGATTGAAACAGAAGAGAAGCGTCGAGTGTTCTGGATGGCCTATTTTTTGGATCATTTACTAAGTATGCGTAATAACTGGCCGATCACTTTGAACGAACATGTGGTAAGGCTTCGATTATATCCAGGTCAAAGCCACTCGATCACATCTGATCTATTATTTGATTTTTAGATCTGCACCCGTTTGCCGGCAGCGGATGCAGACTTTCAGAGCGGCCAACCGGTGCTAGGGGCTTTCCTCTCGGAAGCTATCATGGATGTTATGCCACAAAAAGCCTCCCCGTTCAATGAATGCGTGGTTCTCGCTACAATATGTGGCCGTAGCTTATTCCATGCCCAGCAATACAGTGTTCGCTTTGTGTACGGCGATTTGGCCCCCAACTGGATCGACCAACACCAATGGCTTGACAATGTTCTTACGAATCGACTTCAGATTCTTTCCCAGTACTACCCCTCTCCGGCTCAAATATGCGATCCGCTAATCTCCTTCGCACATATCATGGGACAGGCGAGTGTAATTCATTTATATAAGGGAATTGAATCTGCTGTGTGGACAGTTGACAAAGAAGCCTGGGTGCTTGAATATCAACGGCGAGCATTTAGTGCCGCACAAGAAATTGTCAAACTGGCAAAAGGATTAACAGAGTTCAATTTCTTCAAGGTATACCAGAATGCATCCACAAATATTTCATTTATCGCGGAGAGGCTGGTTAACGAGTTTTCAGATTCACCCCCTCATGCCCATTCCATTATTGCTCTGTGCGGAGTTCCTTTACGGCAATCGTGGCTCAGATGGGGCTTTCAATTCGCTACTTCAAGAGCTTCTACAGATCTTCCGGGAGCTCAAGAATGCCAACGACCCGAGTCAAAGTTATATAGATTTGTTAGAACTTTCATGTACCAACGCATCCATAGGACTTGTCAGGGAGAGCTCTTCTGCTCCATGATGATAACTTGAACTGGTGGCAGGGCTATTATGGGTTACCTGTTAAATAAAATAACGATTATATACTGTCTAAAAGGTTGGTGAGTGTTACAGGTGTCGCTACATGTTTCATTTAGATGTGAATAAATATCGTGTTTATTGAACTCCAACTGAAATATCATAATATCCATCGGAGAATACTAGCAGTATGATGAGACATTCTGTGAACTATCTGATTACTTTGCCTTGTGCTTATAAGTGGTGGTTGTACGCTCCACCATGTGCTCTTCCACGGTGAGAACATCCTCTTCATCGGAATCCTGCCCAACACGATCCAGAGGCCTCAATTTATAGTCCACATTGCCGTCAAAGAAAAACACTACACTGTAGCGGTCGGTCGGATTCTTGTTGATCACACGGTGAGTGCTGCTTCTGTAATTTCCCCTGGTGATTCTGCTAATCATATCCCCTAGGTTGACCACGTAGGCATCTTTGTTCGGAGGAACTCCGATCCATTCACCCGTTTCATGGTCTTGTACCTCAAGACCTGCATTTTCATCTTGAAGAAGAAGCGTAATGGCTCCGAAGTCCGTATGTGCGCTGCTGCCTAGCTGGCGACCCTTTGCCAGGTCCATCTCGGGGGTAGGCGGGTAATGGAGCAGCCGAAGCGGGCATGCAGGGTCGTTCTCTTTGAACTCATCGAATACATGCGGTCCATATGGCAATGTAGCCGCAACAAGATCCAACACCAACCAGCACAACTTTAAAATAGCCTCGTAATATTCTTCAATAGTGTACCGGAAGTCTTCCTCAGCTAGCAGCTCACTGGGCGGCCAAACGTTGGGTCCCATGAAGAAACGCCGGCTCACCACTCGAGGATCGTCAATAGGAATGTCCGTCCCAGAGATAAAGCCTTCCTTCAGGTCTGGTAGCACACCTTCTTCGTATGACTGTGAAGCCATAGGATCGTATCCTCGGAAACCAACGCCCTTGCAACGTGACTTGACCTCTCTTGGAAGGTCAAAGAACCTAGCTGCTGCCGCGAAGACAGATTGCTGCAGGGCGGGGGAGATTCCGTGTCCGAGTAGTTGGAAAAAACCAGTGGACTGACATGCAGCTCGCACGTCATCGATTACCTTGCGAGCGCCTTCACTGTTGGGGTCCTCCAGATAGGGGCTGATATCGACAGCCGGGAGATAGAAGGATGATTCTGTTGAGATGGGCATTTTATTCAATCATTCAGGAACACGTCTTTATCGTCTCAAGGATTCCAAAACAGCGTCGGGTCTCGTGCATCAAATACCTGTTATATATGGCCCATTGCGTTGTTTCTAATATCCTTTGCGACAACTCATGGCCTCAAGGGACCAATACGATTGCATGATTTGATGAAGTAGTCTTATTTGGTAAATGAAATGACCGATTTCGACACAATAAATCAAGAGGGGGAATGAGGTCGGATAATCCTTTATCGGAAAATCAGCCATCGGAAGAGAGTTGAAGTTGCAGAAATGGTACGCCGTGGCTTCGTGGCTGGATTCTTATCATGGTCCACGGGCGTGAAGGAGCAAATAAGGCTACATTTTCCACTTCTGGATCTCGATATATCTGGCCCGCAGGTAGTGTAGTGTACTTTGTATCAGAACACCCTTGAACAACAATCTGGAACATGAGCTCTTCAAGTTCAAGTTTCTGCGTGGCTATAAATCCCAATAGAATACAGTCAAAAAAATAGTCATTTCTTCAAGTTGAAGGTGGACCTCTTCTTTATCCTTTGCCTTCATCACTCACACAGTCCTCTTACGATGGTGCAAACAAATCCGACGACGGCTGACGATACTTTACACCTTCCCCGAATTCTCTGCCTTCATGGGGGAGGATCCAATGCCGCCGTCTTCCAATCTCAGTGTCGCCGACTCATTGCTCAACTCAAGTCCGAGTTCCGCTTTGTATTTGCACAGGCGCCGTTTCTATCTGAAGCGGGCCCAGATGTCATGTCGGTATACAGTCAGTGGGGCCCATTCCGACGTTGGCTCCGTTGGAGCCCCGATCATCCGGAGCTTCGGCCTCAATATGCAATCCGAGTACTTGATGACTCTTTAGAAGAAGCCAAGCGCCAAGACGATGCAAAGGGAGCGACTGGAGCGTGGGTTGGTCTGCTTGGCTTTAGTCAGGGCGCGAAGATGTGCGCCAGTATACTCTACCGTCAACAGGTTCGCCAAGAACAACTAGGACGGCGATCCGGAGATTCGGAATACGACTTTGGCATTCTCATAGCGGGCCGTGCGCCATTTGTTTGCCTAGACCCGCATCTTGATCTACATTCCCCTTTGCCCGATGTGTCGCAGATCACCGATGGGAAATACGAAGGGCCGTGTCCGAATGTTCTGCGCATCCCCACTGTGCATGTACATGGAATCCGAGATCCCCATGTGGCACTTCACAGGCAGCTATTTTCTGACTTCAGTTCCGCCGAAAGTCGGAGGTTTGTTGAGTGGGATGGGGGCCATCGGGTCCCGTTGAAGTACAATGATGTTTCATTGGTGGCGTATCAGATTCGAGAACTGGCAATACAGGCGGGTCTAAGATAAGCGATTTAGAACCATGTTGTATAATATCGCTTATTTACTTTCAGAAGACACATTCCTTATGGCGTGGTGGGCTTCACTGCGAGAGAATACACCGTGACTCGGACCCGTGGACTGTACTGTCCCATAACTTCAAGAACTTTTGGAAACTTTGAAAAAGACTAGTTGTAATGAACTTAAAGTCTCAGTATGCATGTAATTGTAGATATCGATATAGTCATTTTTGACTTGCCTTCACAGCCTGGCCTTCTGGAGAGATTCTTTGTGTAGCCGAGGGAAACATTTGAGATATCCATGGATATTTCCAAGGCGAATGTTAGTAGATAGCACCTGGTCAACGCCATGAATGATCGATTTCCGGTCCAAAGCATTTATCACTGGCTGTTTCTGGACATACCCGTAGAATAAGGCTAATGGACTACATGTTAAGCCGATATTTTGCTCGAAAACTTCGTTATCAAATGGCGTCTATGGTTCACTGTGTATATTGGCGTAAGGCCGATTTCGCACGGTTAACGCTCAACTCAAAACAAACAATGCTTATTGTACGAGAAACATGAAACCATACGACTCCACTCGCGACATAGCCCCAGAAACAGGAAGTCTTCATGCAATTGATAATACAATGGAGGTGCATGATTTGGCTGGAGACTTGATGAAGCATTGACGGGATTTTGCAGCCCGTTTCAGGTAAATGCAATTCCTGACGAGAATTTGAACCCGAAGCACGTGTTTCTCGCAAGCGAAATATACAAGGAATTGACTGATGGATACGAAGCAATGAGTGTGCATGCATTAGTACGCGTCATGCACGGCCTCATTGCGGCCCGTATGGGGCCATGGCTTTTTTAGTACTCAAGATACTCATTTCTCAGATGCTACCTCGTACTCGTGCGCGATACGAGGTTGAACTTAGGCGACACGTCTGAGTCCTTTGTAAAGACTTATCTTGCATATACTCTTCTAAATTTAATTAGATATGGCCGATCGCTCTTGAATTTAGAAGATGCGCACAGTGTATTCATACTGAGACGGCCTCGTATACTAGTAGTGGGGTTGCACGAATCCTTTCGTACTTTTGTTGGCCAAGCCTACGCCTCAGTTCGATCTTGTTAAGGCCCGCCACCTCAATCGGGCCGTCCCGAAGGTCTCTAGTGTGGAATTTGGTGTAAGATTTCGGAATCATTACTCGGAATAACTTGGATACTTGGATTCAACTTTGCAACCAAAGCCTTCAGGATTGTTATATCCGAAGGAGCCGGTGGCAACTAGCAAGTTTGTCGTGTTCGTCGTATGGACCGAGAATTAGCGCTTACCTTCGGAATCTACTATCACCATCTTACTCCGTAGTGTGCGATTAGATTGTCCGATGCAAAGAGACGCAAGGAACATGGAGAGAAAGATGAATACGGGCCCACGGGGCCTTCAAGTTTGCGCGGGGCCTTAACTGACCGGAGTAACTTCGAATTTATGCTCTACTAGTGGAAATAAACTCCTCGTGCTTGAAATTCCGGTGTAATTGCAAATTTGAAAGCATTCACCTACTAGTAGATGCCACAGTCATATATAGTTGCTGCCAACCACAATAATAAGCATATCTCTCACACACTCCAAGGTTCCAAATTCTCTTTCATTTGTGAGTGGTATTTCGACCAGTTCTTTATCATTGCAAAGAAGACTCCTACCAGTCGACTTCAACGCGGCTCAGGAAAGTAGTCTCATTGTAAGCATCGATCATGAGTGAATCAACTCCACAGATCGAGCTGAAGCCCAAGGCGTTTGTATTTGGCTCGCAAGACTTGTCTTTCAACGCCGTGTCTTTCAAAAATCTTCACAGTCAACTTCATAGTCAGCAATGGGCTGTCGATATTCTTGCTAGCCTTCCAGATCTCTGGGACAAGCTCTCAAACAGTGGGCTGCGAGTTCAACAATCCGATAGCAGACACCTACTCGATAACCTGAACTCATGGATAGCGAGTGGGAAAGCTCCAGAGGCAGCATTTCCTTTGCCAAATATACTGCTTTCGCCCCTTGTTGTCATATGCCAATTGATTGACTATCTCGATTTCATTCAGTCAGGCATACCGGGGCTAAGAGATGAGGATGACTTTTCCAAAACATTCCCTGAAGATATGGAGACCCTCGGTCTTTGCATTGGTACTTTGAGTGCCTTTGCAGTGGCTTGCTCCTCGAACATGGCCGACATTCAAGCTAACGGAGGCGTCGCTATAAGACTGGCTATGTTAATTGGTGCTATTGTTGATGCTGAGGAGGACTCTCGCGAGCCAGAAAGGAAGTCAATGAGCTTTTCGGCTTCATCGGGTGGTTCTGAATCTGGCGAATCATTTACTTTCGCCCTTGACTCATTCACTGACGTGAGTTCCGAGGAATTGCCAACAACACCGCTTCAACTGATAATCTTTGTTCTCTAGGCTTATATTTCGGTCATTGTTGATCAAAAGCGGGTCACGTTTACGACATCAAGAGAAACGGGCCCAACTTTCGTCGAGCAGATGAAGAAAGATGGGGCACATGTCACATCCATTGCACTTTCGGGACGATTTCACTGGAAGAATCATGAAAAGCCCGTCGCCTCTTTGATGAGTCTTTGTGATCGTTATCCAGACCTGCAGTTTCCCGAAATTCCCAATATGATACTGGCAAGCCGATCCAGCGGCGACGGGAAATACGTCACCTCTGGAAAGCTTCACGAGATCGCTTTGCTGGCCATTCTGTTGGAGCAATCTCAGTGGTACGAGACTTGCCGCCTTGCCTACTATTCAAAGTTCATCCCAGAAAATGCAGCAGTGGTATGTTTCGGATCCGAGCGTTGCATGCCGCCGACTATTTCTCGAAAACTCGGTTCACGCCTAATATACGCACACGAAATCAACATCGCGTCGTCCCAGATTCCTGGTAGCCTTCTCGGCAGAACACAAACTGTGGAATTGGCGGACCTTCCCGATGAGCGTATTGCTGTCATTGGAATGGCATGTCAGTTACCAGGAGCAGGGGATCATGAGGCATTTCGAGAGATCCTGAAACGCGGCCAATCGCAGCACAGAGAGGTGCCTGATGATCGTTTCGGCATGGAGACTGCATGGCGAGATATAGGAAAACACAAATGGTACGGGAACTTCATCGACAATCACGATACTTTTGACCACAAATTTTTCAAGAAGAGCCCTCGGGAAATTTCGTCCACAGACCCGCAACACCGTCTAATGCTGCAAGTGGCGTACCAAGCTGTCGAACAATCTGGCTATTTTGGAAATGACGCCACAAACCAACCTATCGGATGCTTCATGGGGGTTGGGAATGTCGACTACGAGGAGAACATTGTGTGTTATCCTGCAAATGCCTACTCAGCAACCGGCAACCTCAAGAGCTTCCTTGCTGGCAAAATCAGCCATCATTTCGGATGGACTGGTCCCAGTTTGACACTTGATACAGCCTGCTCATCCTCCAGTGTTGCTATTCACCAGGCATGTCGTTCAATAATCAATGGTGAATGCAGTGGGGCACTTGCCGGGGGTGTCAACATTATAACGAGCCCGAATTGGTATCACAACCTGGATGGGGCGTCTTTCCTCAGTCCAACTGGACAATGCAAGCCATTTGACTCAAATGCAGATGGATATTGCCGAGGTGAAGGCGTTGGCGCTGTGTTTTTGAAACGACTTCCCTCCGCTATCGCAGATGGTGACCAGGTACTTGGTGTCATCGCTAGTACAAAGGTTTACCAGAATCAAAACTGCACCGCGATCACTGTTCCAAATGCGACATCGCTCTCACAGCTATTTACGGATGTTGTGCGTCAAGCCAGACTAGAGCCTAAACAAATCTCTCTTGTCGAGGCCCACGGAACAGGAACACCTGTTGGAGACCCGGCCGAATATGATGGCATTCGATCTATCTTTGGTGGTTCTATACGGTCCGATATATTATCATTAGGATCAGCGAAGGGCTTCATTGGCCACACAGAGTGTGCTTCAGGAGTGGCATCTTTGGTGAAGACTTTGATCATGATCAATGAAGGATTTATCCCACCACAGGCTAGCTTTTCGAACATCAACCCCGCTCTGAATACGAAGGCTGAAGACAGAATCGAGGTATCTACTCAGCTCAGGAACTGGGAGACACCGTTCAAGGCTGCTCTCATCAACAACTATGGGGCTTCTGGATCGAATGCTTCCATGATTGTCACGCAGGCCCCAAAGGCAGCTGATGATCCATCTACCATATTACCCGAGGGCGGCTACCCATTCTGGATCACTGCATTTGATCAGCAAAGCCTTCTAAATTATGCGAAGCGATTGCGCAGGTATGTTCAAGGGGTCCAGGAAAAAGAAAGTAACCTAAGCCTTGCAAATCTTTCATTCCAAGTCTCCAGACAGTCAAATCGACGCCTCCCCCACGCGCTGATATTCAATGTCAGTACAAAGGAGGAGCTGCACAAGGTTCTAGAGTCCTTTGAGAGTGGCAGCCAGAGCATCCACCATGTTCAGGTCCAAGACCCCAAGCCCGTTATCCTGTGCTTTGGTGGACAGATTTCCACATATGTTGGTTTGGACCAAGAGGTCTATAAGGGCAATGCGATCCTCAGAGAATATCTTGATCAATGTGATGCTACAATACTGTCCCTTGGCCTGGAAAGCATCTTTCCAGCTATCTTCCAACGAACGCCAATTTCGGATATTGTTCAACTTCAAACTGTTTTGTTCGCGATGCAGTACGCCTGTGCAAAGGCGTGGCTTAGTAGCGGGCTGAGGGTTGCCTCTGTTGTTGGACATAGCTTTGGAGAACTTACAGCTCTATGCATTTCCAACGCAGTATCATTGAAAGATGCCGTAAGAATGATTTCGGGCCGATCACGCCTGATCCAGGACCGCTGGGGTAGTGAGAAGGGTTCCATGATCGCCATTGAGGCGGATCTTCCTGATGTTGAAGCTTTGTTGGCCAAGGTGAACTCACAGGAAGGGTCCGAAGCCCACCTTTCGATCGCCTGCTACAACTCATCGAGAAGCTTCACATTGGCTGGCTCGGTCAAACAAGTCGACTATGCGGAGAACCTTCTCAGAAGTGACTCAAATTTCTCAGGGGGGAGAGCTAAAAGATTGAACGTGACCAATGCTTTTCATTCAGCTCTAGTCGACGCATTAGTTGATGATTTGGAAAATTTGGGACATACCATTGAGTTCAAAGAGCCAACGATCAAACTCGAGAGAGCAACCGAGTATGAGTCCACCAATCCGCTAAATGCGACCTATTTGTCGGAACATATGAGAAAGCCAGTCTTCTTTGCACATGCAGTCAGGAGACTTTCAGAAAGATTCCCTGCTGCAGTTTGGTTAGAGGCCGGGTCCAACTCGACTATCACAACCATGGCAAGTCGAGCTTTAGGAACATCGAATTCCCACTTCCAGCCAGTCAATATTACTAGCGATAGCTCATTCCGATTCCTTTCTGATGCGACTATCAACCTCTGGAAGAATGGTCAAAATGTGACCTTCTGGGCCCATCACCGCATACAAACACCCGCTTACACTCCGGTCCTGCTGCCTCCGTACCAGTTCGAGAAATCAAAACACTGGATGGATCTGAGAGTGCCTCCAAAGCTTGAGGACTCCGGACATCGAGAGGAGCAGCTAGTGGCTATAGAGGCACCAAAGGGGTTGACAACTTTTGTTGGATACCAAGATGCATCCCGGCGCTCAGTACGATTCGGTGTCAATGTCACATCAGACAAGTATATTCGCCTGCTTTCTGGCCACATCATGGCAAATGAAGCAGCTGTCTGTCCTGGAATGTTCCAGGTCGAGATAGTACTTGATGCATTGACGAGTCTTCGACCAGACTTCCAGAACCATAGCTTTATCCCAGAGTTATATGGCCTCAGACATTACCACCCTCTTGTGAAGGATGAATCCCGAGCTGTTTGGATAGAAGCAGACTCTTCAGACGCGGAGGGACTGATCTGGAGTTGGAAGTTAACCGCGACCGATGCTAAAGGCACCGGCTCTGTCACCCACACTTCAGGAACGATCATCTTTCAGCCGGCAGACGGCGTGCAGGTTAAGACTGAGCTTGAGAGACTGACACGACTGATCGGTCGAAAGCGTTGTCTGCAACTTCTGGACAGCAATCTTGCTGATGATGTTCTGCAAGGCCGCAACATCTACCGCGCCTTTTCCGAGGTAATTGATTATAAAGAGGTCTATCGTCATGTCACCAAGATCGCCGGGAGAGACAATGAGTCGGCGGGTAGGGTCGTCAAGCCGTATGCAAATGAAGGTTGCCTGGATACAGTTTTAACTGACTGTTTCTGCCAAGTGGCAGGCATATTCGTGAATCTCATGACCACTCAGGCTGATCTGTCAGAAAGAGGAATTTTCATCTGCGATGGTATCGATCGGTGGTTGCGAGCACCTGAAGCGATTTCAAACGACAACCCTTCGGATGTTTACGAAATATTTGCTTTGCACCATCCTGAATCTGAATCAAAGTATCTCAGTGATGTCTTTGCATTTAATGCTCGTGATGGGTCACTCGTCGAAGTGGCTCTCGGTATCAGCTACCAGAAAGTCCCCATCTCCGGTATTCGCAAGGTCTTGTCAAAGAACATGCCAGCTGGGCTTCAGCCTCAGGTGCTGCCATCCTCTGTTTCAAAGGTCAATGTTCCGCCGGCAAACTTCCTTCCAGTTGCACCTCCGCCGTTACTCAATGGCTCGGCTGCCAAGGTGACCGCCACATCCACACCGAAGAAGTTGCCAAAGACACCCAGTGTAGATATAACCGGTATTATGCGGGACATCATCTGCAATCTTTCTGGTCTTGAGCCAGAAGAAATCAAGGATGATTCTGATTTGGTTGAGATCGGTATCGATTCTTTGATGAGCATGGAACTGGGCCGAGAAATCGATTTGGCTTTCAAGACCACCATCGACGTTAATCAGCTTATTGACGTGACCGACTTCCGCAGTTTGGTTGAGACTTTGGGAAGGATCATGGGCCTTGATGACACAGATGGTGACTCTGGATTCGTCGAAGATGATAGAAATGACGAGGCTGTCACAAATGGAAACGGACATCATTCTATCGCACCTAATGGGAATGGTAGTTCGTCTCCTGGTCCTCAGGGTCTCTCACTTCCAGAGTCCACGGTCCTTGAATGTTTCCGTATTGCAAAGGAGGCTACGGATGACTTTATGGTGAATGGTCAGCTTGGAACATACTATACCGAAGTCATGCCAAGATCAACCAAGCTCTGTGTTGCTCACATTGTCAATGCTTTTGAACGGCTTGGGTGTCCGATCCGCAACGCAGTTGCTGGCCAGAAACTTGAGCGTGTTCCCTACTTACCAAAGCATGAGCGCTTCATGAATTTGATCCATGGTCTTCTCGAAGAAGATGGTTTGATTGAAATAAGTGGATCCGACATCGTGCGAACATCTATGCCTGTCGCAACGAAATCGGTAAATGACATGCTGGAGGAATTATTGCGTGACGAGCCCGTCCATGCGGCCGAGCATAAACTCACGGGGATGATCGGTCCAAAATTTGCAGATTGCCTCATCGGGAAAGAAGATGGGCTCCAAATGATCTTTGGATCCCCAGAAGGAAGAGAAATTGTCACTGATGTATATGCGAAGTCTCCCATCAATTCAGTGTGGATCCAGCAGGCGGAATTCTTCCTCGAGCATCTTATCCAAAGGTTGCCGATGACGGGCGAACCACTGCGCATTTTGGAAATGGGAGCTGGTACCGGCGGAACAACCGTCAAGATGATTTCTCTCTTGGAGCGCCTAGGTGTCCCAGTCGAATACACCATGACGGATCTTTCCTCATCACTCGTTGCTGCCGCTCGCAAACGATTCAAGAAGCACCCTTTCATGAAATTCAAAGTTGTGAACATCGAGTCGCCGCCAGATGCAGATCTATTGCACAGTCAGCACATCATTCTAGCCACCAATTGTGTCCATGCGACTCGCAATCTGGAAATATCAACAAGAAATATCCATGATATCTTACGCCCTGATGGATTTCTGCTCTTGCTCGAGATGACAGAACAAGTCCCTTGGGTTGACTTTATTTTCGGCTTGCTAGAAGGATGGTGGCTCTTCGAAGACGGTCGCCAACACGCGCTTCAACCTCCAGCTCACTGGAGGAAAATCCTCACATCAGTTGGATACGGCGCGGTTGATTGGACGGATGGTGCTAGACCAGAAACAAATCTTCAGCGACTGATCATTGCTCTTGCGTCCGGATCCAGGTATGATCCCGCGTCCCAATCACTTCAACCCTCAGTAACGTCCTCATTGACAGATACTGCAGGACGTCAAGAGATCATTGATTCATACATTCATGAATATACCAAGGAATTCCACTCACTCCCTGTTTCCAATTTACAAGTCCCCGTTCTACCCTCTCCCGCGGGTCACTGTGTGCTAGTCACTGGTGCAACAGGAAGTCTCGGTTCCCATGTCGTGGCCTATCTCGCTAGACTTCCTAATGTCCACAAGGTGGTCTGTCTCAATCGATGGAGTACTATTCCAGCGACTGTACGTCAAGTTGAATCTTTCAAGCTTCGGGGTATCGCGCTCGATGAAAAGTCTCGCTCCAAGCTTGAGATTCTCGAAGTGGACACATCAAAGCCATCATTTGGGTTATCAGCGGAGACTTACCAGAAGCTTGTGAGCACGGCAACACATATTGTTCACAATGCATGGCCGATGAGCCTTACAAGGTCTATCCGAGGGTATGAGAGCCAGTTCAGTGTCATGCGGAACCTCATCAACCTTGCACGAGAAGTAGTATCAAGGCGACCTGCGCCATTCAAATTCAGCTTTCAGTTCATCTCATCAATCGGAATCGTGAGCTACCATCCTATTCGGTACGGAGTAATCCGTGCACCGGAGGAGACAATGAGCGCAGATTCTGTTCTACCAGTCGGATATGCTGAAGCGAAGCTAGTGTGCGAACGCATGCTGGACGAGACGCTGCATCGCTATCCATCCCGATTCCGACCGATGGCAGTCAGAATTGCCCAAATCACTGGTTCTGAAAGCAACGGATATTGGAATCCAGTCGAGCATTTCGCCTTTGTGGTCAAGTCGTCCCAGTTCCTCAAAGCCTTTCCAGATCTTGATGGTACTCTCTCTTGGTGTCCTGTTGATGATGTTTCCGCGACACTGGGCGAATTGTTGATTTCCGATACAAAGCCTTATCCGATCTATCATATTGAGAATCCGTCAAGACAGCGTTGGCAAGATATGGTAAAAGCTTTGACGGAGTTACTCGATATCCCACAAGAGGGTATAATTCCGTTCGACCAATGGCTTGAACGAGTCCGAAATTCATCGGCTTCGATCAACGAAAATCCAGCCAAACAGTTGGTCGATTTCTTCAGTCAGCATTTTATCCGAATTTCATGTGGAGGTTTGATATTGGACACTAGCAAAACAAAAAGGCACTCAGCAACTTTACGGGAAAGAGGACGTGTGGAGTTGAATTCAATTGTGAAATACATTTCTGCGTGGAAGACCATTGGATTTCTTGAATGAGACAATGCCGTTATATAATGGTTAGAATGCTAGGCAGTGGAATTTTATTTGGTCCAACTTGAACTTGAACTAGTAGTAAAACCTTGGGGCGTCTGAAATGAACGCATTTCAACTTCTCCTTTCCAACTACGTAGTAGGTAGTGAATATGAATAAATCGTATGATGCGAGATGCTCTGAGGCTTCAGGTTAGATATATACTACCAAACTTCAAGTTGACTATCCAGAACATCTTCCAAGATTATTAAGTTGGTAATTGAAGAAATAAAGATACAAAAATCTTGAGACTGTACACATAGTACATCCCCAGGTGGGCTGTCCGAAGACTTCTCAAAAATTGCAGTCACGTTCTTGGAAACAGTGAACTATGTCGAATAATGAGACAGTATAGACAACCTTCAACGATTCCAAAATTCCATTATCAAGATATTTTGATGGTCCAAATATATTTCGTGGAAGTCAGGCCAATTGAACCACCTTCTTACCATATCGCCCTCGGTTCTATATATCAAGAGCCCAATCAACCTCTGGCTATATCTTTGGGGTGAAGCGACTCAACCGCCGAATTTTTGCGCCATAGAAATAAAATACAACTGGTATCGGAATCATTGCAATAGAAAGAAATCCGAGGAGTGACGTAGCCCAGTCGACTCCCAACCTATTATACATGTAAGTCCCAAACAGAGGGAACGCAGCGCCAACCTTGGAGATTGTTAGTAAGACTCTTTCTGTGAAAGAAGTGCACTTACCGCGCTTCTAATGAGAGTATTCGCTGATATAGCTGAATTGGCAACAATCAAATACACGTCGATCAAATAATTGAGGCCTTGCATCCAGATCATCAAAATTCCCATTCCGATCGGTGCACCAGCGATCGCTTGTGGCACCCATGAGATACTTGGGTTGGATGTCCATCCAAACCAAAATAACCCGATCGGTAGAAGAAAGGCGGCCACGATCATGGGAGGAAGACGATCTTCTGGCACAACAGAGCCATTGCGTACTTTTGGGGCGTACCACAGGCGTGTTGCGACAGTGACGACAAGGCAGCCCAGAAGAACCCCAACTAATATCCCCAGGAAAGGCAATGATGCAATCCCCTCGTTATTCCAACCCCGGACCTGTCGAAAAGCGATAGGATATGCGACGAAGAATAGGTATAGGATTCCGTAAATAAGCGAGATATAAATGGTCATGCAGACAAGAATCGGCTCGAGGAAAAGCATTTGCATCGGTCGGAAAATGTATTTGGTCAATATCTCGCTGAATGTCGGCGTCTTTTCGTCTCAGACGAGAACGGTACGCCCAAATACCTGTCGACTTACGGAGATGGCTGGCGCGACGCTGGAGGATAACAGGATGGTATGTCTCGGGTAAAACTAGAAAGGCAATTATGCCGAAAAATGACGCCGGTATCATGGTGATCCAGGCAGTCCATCGCCAACCCAGATGTGATTCGACAATGAAGCCACCACTGGTTGAGTACAAATTAGCTCGAGTCCGGTTCTATTAATCCGCGGTATGATGATATTAACGTACACGATCGGTCCGAATATCGGTCCCACGAAGGTAGCTGCAGAAAACAAAGAGATTGCAATCGCGCGTTCCACAGGACCCCAAAAGTCTGCCAAAGCACCTGGTATAATCGCAAGGGCGGATGTGCCGAAAAATCCCAAAAGGAAACGGGCAAGCATCAAGGTCTCGAGGTTCTCAGCAACAGCGACGGGGATTTGGAAGATGATGAATATTGCATATCCGATATAGAGAGGTCGCAATCGGCCATATAGCTCAGACAAGGGCCCCCAAATCTGTGGTCCTATCGCAAACCCCTTCGCGTCAGTGTCAGCATTTCGGCTCTGTTATTATTGCGGGTTTGACTTTTTGACACACCAGAACAGTGAGGCTTGTTCCCAGAGTTGTAACTTCAACTGAAACATGAAACTCTTGCGAGGTGACTCCAGAAGCAGTACTGAATACACTGCTAGAAAAGGTGACCCAGGTGGTCAATGTACTGAAAATGCAGGTGATCAGTGTTTTCTTCCAGAATGGATAGTTCATCGGTAGTTCAGGATCGTTAGGTCCATCCCATTCAACCAAATAAGGATCCACGACTTCTGGCTTATCAGCAACTGGCTGTTCTCGCGTAGCTTCCAAGTCTGTCCCAGACTTGCAAGTGTCGGTAGACATTTGCGCGTCAACTTCTTCCTTCGTCTTTGGGGGTGGGCTCGCGTCTCAATCGTGTTGGTAGAGTGATGTCGGGAGATATGCGCACGATTGAAGGTCTTTCAATATTTTGTCGAAATTGTGATAAAGAGTCATTTTTGTAATTATTTGTAACTATTTGTAAGGCACAACATGCCTGTACTTTACCTTGAACAATCTGTATAGAACTATTTATCCGATGCTGGCGGTCAGTCGACCAACTGTTTCCCCGAGCCGAGCAAAAAGATTATCCGAGCCAATCAAACTGAGAGCGCGGGACCTGGACCTGCACAGTAAATTCTCCTCTGAGGACTGTTTATGTCCTTGCTTACTACTCCGTACTCATTCTTCAAATCCATAGCATAACCAAGCCATAATGCGATCAATTCTGGAGGTCAGGTGGCGATGTCACTGGCAGTGCGTGACCAATGGCAATTTTTGAATCAGCGACGGACATACTAGTACTAAGATTGCAGTACCTAGGTAGTTTTGAACACTGTGTGCGATGCTTTCAAGTTTCGCTTATAATATACTTTACTTCTTCTTCCTCGTCCATAGACTCGGATAGATAACTGTAATACTATGCATCCCTCCGAATGTATCAAGGTTTGCTCTACTATTACCAGTACTACTTTTCGTAAGCTAGGGTAGGGTCGACGATGGAAAGCTGTAGCTTTCTGGCTCCTATCTAATTATGACTATTGGATTTCTTAAACTCTCTCTCTATCTATTATTTTCTCACGTCAATTTTCTGGCTATTTTATGTTTCCGATCATAATATCTCTTCCCAATCTGACAGGTAGGATATATTCCCCTTTGTTGCCGTGAGTAGTACATACGACCATAGGGTGTGGAGAACAGGGCTTCCCGTCCGCTCAGCCGTACTTAAGCCACACGCCGGCAGGTTAGTAGTATGGTGGGTGACCACATGCGAATCCCTGCTGTTGTATGTTTGTTTTTTATTTCTTGTTTTTTTTTTGGTTGACTTCGTCATCTTCTTGTTTCCTGAACTCTCCCATGAATCCTCGAGGATGGGGCCCACATTTCATGTGACGTTATTAATGCCTGCAAACCAAGGCGACAATTCTAACTCCCGTTGCACCCGCGATCCAAAGCCTCATACCAAAAACATTCAGATATTAAACATCCCATGTCACTCAGAGATCCAAATATCCTCACTACTTATATCCTCACTACTTATGAAAAATGGTGGGGACGAAGGCTAGTAAAGCAATACGCCCTGCAGCATCCTGCACTGAATGCCAACGGCGCAAACAGAAAGTAAGAGCCTGACTTGTTGTGAGATAACTCCGAACTGACCTGTATATCAGTGCAGCCGTCAATGGCCATGCAATCATTGCCAGGCGAGAAATATACCACACGTCTGTAAATACCCTCAAAGACAACCAGCACATACTTCTCATGTTTTGAAGGAAGCTACGCGGTAAGCCCCACGGCGGGGGAAAACAGGCAGATACTACTAATACAGGCAAGGGTGGAACTAACTAGAAGCAGGAAACCTTCAACTCCGGAAAACAGAGAAGAGGTTGAGCCCACAGATATCCTTCAATTGGAGGACAGCTTGATTGCCACAGAGGATGTACCTGCTCTCGCTGCAAAGGGTGAACTCCGCAACCTAGGCTATATGCCTGACGAAAGCCTACTTTTTGGAAAGGCCGTTTCACCAGTAGTGTTATCCATAAACTCATATTCTGAAATCCAACTGATTCCCTCCAGTCATCTGCACCAGCATCGACACTAGCATCGGAAGAAATGTCCTTCGAGATGAAAAATGTCTTACGCCTTTTACCTCCTAAGCCATATACAGGTTCGTTCATGTACCACCTTATCGAACCTTCACTAAATACAATAGACATTTTGGTCCAGCGCTACCTGGAAGTCACCAATTTCAGTTACTATGCTTTATACCCGCCGATTTTTTCTCGCGATTATGCGGCTTGGTGGTCCGACCGAGCAAGTGGGAAGCCGCTCACACCAGAGTTCACATGTCTGCTCATCCGTGTTTGCGCCTGCTCATCGCAATATCTGGACTATGAGATTCAAACAAAACTCGAATCGGAACTAGGGGAGTCTATCCAGACTTTATCAGAAAGCTACCACCACACGGCCAGACAGCTAAGCAACACGATCACCCCTGGGAAAGGGGGTCTAGCGCAGATTCAGCAACTATTCCTAACCGCAGCTTGGTTCAAGTCAGAGTCTTTATTTGTTGAATCCTGGCATACCTTGAGTTCTTGTATCCATGAAGCGCAAGAACTCGGCATGCATAAAAAGCATCAAAAGCCGGGGTTGTCTGAATTTGAAATAGAGATGAGAAGACGACTTTGGTGCCTGCTATATGTGTGGGACTGGTGAGTTTCTACTTCTCCAAGCCTACATTTACTCAGGTCTTGGATAGGCTATCTAATGACTTTAGGCAAATGTCTATGTTGCTGTCTCGCCCCCTTGTCATCAATCATGCTTCTTGCTCTTACGAGCTACCAAATATGAAATTGGAGATCTTGGATCCCGCAAATGGTCCGCCCTCTCCAGTATCACACATTGCATCGCAATGCGAATTAGGTCAAATGATCAAAAAAGATTTCACAACAATGGGAAACACGGCCGATGTCTTTGAGGCCGATTCTATCAGAGTGGGTATAGATGCATGGATGGATTCACTGCCATCAGCCTATCAAGAAGAGAACCCAGACACCCAGTGGGACAAAGAGCATAAATACGTACCTCTTCATCGTCGCCAGCTACATGCCATAGGTTACATGAGCATGCTATTACCCTTCAAAAGGTACCTCGTCAAGAAATTTGACTCCCAAGCTTCTGGCGTGGATAGAGCTCGCCGAGCATCTGCGACTGAAATCGCCCTTCATCTAATGAAAGTTTCGCATCGACTTTTTAACCATGTTTTCCCTGTAAATGCCAAGTTCCACTTGGTTACGTTCTTGATATTCGACACCGCGGTTTTCCTTTGTTCAGCTATAATCCACGACAAAGATTGCAGTCTTCCACAACGAGAAGATGTTTTTCAAGCAATCAAACTTGCATACTCTCTCATCAGCCAACTCGCTCCAGTCACCAAGACCGGCGCAATTTGCTACCCAGTTCTTGACAGGCTAGCAAGAAGTCTGTCATCAAAGAGAGAGGCCCCAGTGGATGGTACTATGATTGGTACCGGAGATATGCCGAACACTGAAACAATGACATTTGAATCTTCGCTAGATCTCGAATCTCTTGATGTCAATAACCCAGAATCACTCTCTTCATCGTTGGGGCTCCTGCCTGCCAATGGGATTTTCTTACCTACCTCAGAAGATCTGGACCTCCCGATGGTTAGCATGAAGACCCCGCCTATCATGAGTGCTGGTGATTTCTCCAATCTGGATGTTGGCCAATTTGATCAGATTTGGGACTGGCAAAATTTGGATTTGACTCTAATACCCTCTCTTCACACGAAATAAAGCATCGAAATTTGCATTGAAATAGCGGAAAGGAAGAAAGTAAAGACCATGTCGGGGAATCAATTTTCCACTGTATTCAACATAACATTGCTAGATAGTATCACGGGTCATTGCGCTAAACTTTGAGTATGACTGGTGATAGGGCAAATGGCATTGGGTGTTGTGAAGTGAAAGGGCTAGAACCTCGATGACTACCCAGATAGATGAATACCAGTGGCGCCTGAAATCTCGTTTTGAATTATTTCACCATTTTATCCCTACTCAGTCAAACTGGATTTGAAGCTTGGGAGCCCTATCTCTGGTGGACATAGCGTTTTGACGGCAAGATGTGTCATAATTTAGTAGCTGGTTGTACTCATTCTGGGCACATGTCCTGATAACGAAAAAAAAGAGTCACGGAATAAATACCCGCTCTAGAAATATATTCTCAGCAATATCAGTATGGAAGAGTCCTTGGAATCTAAAGGATTGATGGCTTAAGGCAGCCACCTTGAGGCAGGCAGGGGGCAGCTGTGGGGCTTTGTGATTGCAACCTTTGACTTACGATTGAGTCACAACTTGAATCAGCATTTCCATTTTCTCTATATAAGAAGCCTCATGGCACGAAGATATCACAGTCTATTCATAATTTCTTTGGATTCTTTTTAAAGAAAAAGGCAAGCCAAGGTGTTCAGTCAGACACGCGATCTGATGGCTTCCCCTCACCCCCCATTGGGGCCAGTTGTTCCCATCCCCAAACCCATACCATTATCAACAGACCTGGAAGCGATAGTGGAACGATACAGGGATCTGAGGCTGCACGGCCTCAAGGTTGATCCAGAAGCCTTCACTTCACTTTATGAAGACGAAGTCCAATTTCCATTCGAGACATGGAAATCCCGGGTCGAGAACCGGATTGCCAGAACGCTTGTCGCCGTCGACCCTGAAACAAATCAGGGAGAATATATTGGAGAAGAGCCATATACCAAGGAGCTAAGCAGTGCTTTTGCCATTCAGAGGCTTCTGCGGCAAGAGTGGCTGGGTATTGTTACAATCATTGGACCCGTTCGCTTCTCAGAACAAAGCGACGATGTCACGGCGACTCCCCCGAAGCCACAGATCCACACTGCTTTTATCAAAGACCGGCGATATCAGATCCCTGATCCTTCGACTGTGGAGAATAGGGACCTGAGTGATGCGCATGCTATTTTCTTGATTGTGGGGCTCTTTATCTTGCCTCAGGCGCGACGGAGAGGATTGGCGGGTCGCTTAGTGGAAGCATCTATCAAATACGTACGAGAGGAGGCTCGAGGAAAAAAGGCATCGAAGGCAAGCATATCAATCCAGGTGGCACCAACAAATTTTGCAGCGCAAGGCCTCTACGAAAGAGCAGGGTTCTACGTGAGTGAAAAGGCGATAGTGATGAACAGTGAACACGGTGAAGAAAGTGTGATGGGGCTGGAGATGGAGGTCAACCTCGGATCTGAGGTTTAAATTTTGCATTTAACAAGGACGTAAATTGGCATTTATAAATGCAATCTAGCTGATTAATACCCCAGGCTAAATTAACTGCAAGACTTGTGTACTCTGCCTCCAATTCATGCAGGACAACGCTGCTACTAGTACCATAAGAGTAAATTATCCCATGAACAGAATGGAACCAATCTGAAACAACTGGGCGAGTGAAGGAACCTAAATGGAACGTTTTCTCTCTCTTTTTAATCAACCTTTTATGAGTGTTCCCTCATGCCTATGTTTATAAGGCACCAAGGCAGCAATTTACATGAATACACGTGACATCTGAGATGAGTCAGCACTGCATTCTAGGGCACCGCTAGTCCCGACTAGGTTTAGCCGGCCACCACGCCCACAAGCGGAGAAATTTGCGGCTACTTCTTCTGCTCTTCAACATTCGACGCAGAACCACACCATAAGAAAATTTCTTTTGGAAGACTGTCGCCATCATGTCGAAGATCACAGTCGGTATGTGCTGCCTTGTGCCTATTATATGTTTGCGATAACACTAGAGAGCATTCACTAATACTCTCCCAGCCGGCGTGCGCCAGAATGTCCAGCAGTTGCTGGAGTACTCCCTCAACGAGAAGAAGCGTAACTTCCTCGAGACCGTTGAGCTTCAGATCGGCCTGAAGAACTACGACCCCCAGCGTGACAAGCGTTTCTCTGGCACCATCAAGCTGCCCAACCTGCCCCGCCCCAACATGAGCATCTGGTGCGTTTTTCCTCGCTCCCAGCCATCCTCTCGCCTCCTCGGGTCCTCGCATGAACGGTTGAAAAATCGATTATCAGTGCGACCGACAAGGATCACAGTGGAAACCCAGAAAATTGTGAACAGAATATGCTGACATGCGAGATTACAGTATTCTTGGTGACCAGCACGATCTCGACCGTGCCAAGCACCACGGTATCGATGCCATGTCCGTTGACGACCTCAAGAAGCTCAACAAGAACAAGAAGCTCATCAAGAAGCTTGCTCGCAAGTACGATGCCTTCCTTGCTTCCGAGGCTCTGATCAAGCAGATCCCCCGTCTCCTGGGTCCCGGTCTGTCCAAGGGTACGTTTTTCCTGTTCTCGTCGTGAACCGTCTGCCATACAAAAAGAACCGTTACTGACTTTTCTCTACAGCTGGCAAGTTCCCCACCCCTGTCTCCCACGCCGATGACCTCCAGAAGAAGGTTGACGACGTCAAGTCCACCATCAAGTTCCAGCTTAAGAAGGTTCTGTGCCTCGGTGTCGCCGTTGGCCACGTCAACCTGGCTGAGGAGGAGCTCGTTGCCAACCTGATGCTCGCCATCAACTACCTTGTCTCCCTGCTTAAGAAGGGCTGGCAGAACGTTGGCAGCCTTGTCATCAAGGCTTCCATGTCTCCCCCCAAGCGTATCTACTAGATTCTCCGTCGCTTCACTGCGCTGGTGTAATCTGGGGATCCAACAAAATGGGTGTCATAGTTTAGTGACCACAAAAATATGAACTCACGATTTGGTCTCAACCATTCACTCCATCTACATATTACTTGTAAAATTCACCCGCAATTGTGTAGTTCGATATGAAATCTTGCCTGTGGCTCTATTCGGCGTCAATAGTCGGGGTACAGATATAATACAGTATGTCTTGACTCTTTACTCCATGCCCTCCATCAGCTCAGTCTTATCCAAAATCATGCCGCGCATGCCGATAAACTCGCGAAGGCTTTCCCACTCCTCTCCCACCTCCTCGCCGCGCATGTAAGGATCCTTAAAGCCCCATGCGACAGCAACCTTATCCATAGCAGCGCGCTCCTCCTCTCGGAGCCAGCGGTGGCGCAAAGGAATTCCAGGTATCCATGTAACCCGCTCCATTTGATCATTGGCAGTGGTGATCGCGATGATACCAATGGAAGAAGTACCTCCAACATATGCTAAAGATGCAGCAAGGGCAATTCCCGTCGCGTAACTGGGGTCCATTGTGTTCTGGAACGTAGATGCAACTGAGGCGAGGGCGTAGCAAGCCATGGGGGCTACGGCCAAACCACCTAGAGGGATACCGGCCTTTCGGACGATCTTAGCACGGTGAAAAGCGGGTGCGCAGAAGGTGTTGTCAATAATGGCCAACACAAGAGATAGGTTCTTTTGTGCGATGGCCACGTCCAAGGCCATGTTCGCAAGTTCGGCTGGAATGGCGCTGTTGACATTTTTGGGGCTTGCTTTGTGGAATTTGGGAGGCGAGCTGTTCTCCTCGGGGACTGGCTTGTTGGCATATAGATGGAAGACTTCTGGGAAATGCTCCGCCCGTTGCAAGAGAGTTTGTATCTTTGTGTAGAGTTCCAGTGCCTCCTCGTTAATGAAGACCTTCTCATCTTTCACGATCTCGTTGACGATGCGCGAAAGTGCGTCGGCAAGACGGGGATCGGGGGTTGCGGAGCCGTTTGCTGCCTTCGATACTCGCGCAGATGTTCCCTTCTTCTCCTCCAAGTCCAATAACGAGGAAATGGCATTGTTTTCGACATTTTTCGTAGCCTCATCGGACTGGTCTTGTTCGCTCAGGATGAGGGATTGCGCGAGCTTCTCACACTTTGCCAGCAGCTGAATTACTGTGTCGTTGGAGGGGACTTCGTCCGCATTGTGCACGACTGACGCTTCCTGTGCTACCTCCTGAATGGCCAATTCTTGAGCGGACGAGGTGGAAGCATAGCGACGGGTTGAAAAAAAGGGAGAGGAGGTAGTCGGTTGTACGCTGCGCTTTGGTAACTGCAGCGCAAGGCCGTTGTTCGAAGCGCGACTCCCGGAAGTGGTTGAGAGAGGGAGTCGGGCGATAGGCAGAGCGCGACGCTGGGCAGTATTGGAGAATTGACAGAAATGGCAGACGGAACCTTGCGGTTTGGGGCCTCTTGGGGCCCTCAAGGCGACTCTTTTCATGACGAATGACGTGGTGTGGAGGAGTGGTTCCAGGCGGCCCTTTTTTCGGCGAGTGGAAGGGCGTTTTAAGGCGGAGAGTTCGCCCCGGCGCCCTGGACAGTTCAAGTCCACATCCACAGCCCCCATCGCTCTGACGTCTTAGCTTCTCTTCTGCCTTACAACCTCCTTCTGGTCAAGGAGTTCACACCAGATACCATTCAAAAATATCTCATGAAGTACTAGACACTTTCCTCCTGCTTGTCATCAACACCTCGTCGACATGCCTCCCCCCCCTCCTCCTCCTCCCCCTCCGCCGCCGCCTGGGGGGGTTAGGTGGCCCTCCCCCGCCTCCTCCAGCAAGCCTGCCAAATCGACCAGGCAAAGGAGAACTTAAAGATAGGGTATGTGCATGATGCAAGGGCGATTTATCTCTCATTAATGCCTTTCATGGCTTCGAAGGAGTGTGTCCAGCTAACTCTGCTCCCAGGGCGCACTCTTATCTGATATCCACAAAGGCACCCGGTTGAAGAAGGCAGTCACCAATGATCGATCAGCCCCAGTAGTTGGGAAATCCGGGGGAGGCTCTGGAGGCGCCCCTGTTGGTGCTGCACCGCCAGTTCCCGGGGGTATGAAGGTTCCGTCTGGGCTTGCACCTCCTGTCCCATCGCCAGCCGCCGCCAACAGATTACGAAGCAACAGTGAAGGATTATCAGGAACAGATGGAGGCTCAGGGTCACCAGCGGCTCAACTCGGAGGTCTCTTCGCTGGCGGTATGCCCAAATTGCGCAGCCGTGGAGGAGTTGATACTGGCGCCAATCGATCAGACTCGCCATACAAATCTGACTCGGAAAGCACGCGAGCACCTGTTGCTACACCTCCCAGACCTCCGGGGGCGCCGAAGCTTCCTGGGGCACGCCCACCACCTCCACCACCTTCATCAGAACCTCCGATCAATCCGTTGGTCGCTAGTTTGAAGAAACCTCCCCCACGACCTGCCTCTAGGCCGTCGTCCACCATCTCTGCAGCATCTACAAGAACAGTCCCCGAGGCTCCTCCCCCACGAGCTCCTCCACCACCTCCTGGAGGAATTAGAGCCCCGCCAGCACCACCGCCCCCTGCATCTCGAAAGCCTTCTGGTCCACCGCCACCTCCTCCGGCATCATCAAGCCCGGCACCTCCTCCTCCTCCACCTCCCCCATCTGCTCCTGCTGCTGGTCGCGCTCCTCCCCCGCCACCATCAGCGCCTGGGCGACCAACCCCTGCTCCACCTCCCAGTGCTGCACCATCTATTGCTGCTCAAGCCGCTCGCACTGCTCTGGGTAGTCCCAGTCCTCCATCCGCTCCCCCTCCTCCTCCCTCAGCCGCCCCTGCAGCTCCGCCTCCACCTCCACCTTCATTTGAAGCTCCATCTCGACCATCACCTGTTCCTTCCCGCCCAGTTTCACAAGAACCGCATGCTGCACTGGACCCCAGTGCCTATACTCTGACCAATGGTGGATCATCTCCTGCTTATAACTCACGAAATTCTTCTACACACGGCTCGGCCCAAATAGAAGATCCTCGATTCAAATTCCAGAGTGATGGATTGCTCTCCAAGCCCCGGCCATTCAGCGGCGGGGAGCGCAGATACCGTGCTGGCCGAGGCAGCAGTGTGCCCTTGGATCTGAAAGCATTGAGTGGCTGATGTGAGTGTACAGGACATTGCAGGCGATATTGTGCACAAATAGTGAATTGATATACATTATACATACATCATTTGCATATCACTAGCCTTAGAACAGTAATGTAGAATACGTACTTGAGGAATAATCTTTCTTGGTTACACCAGTCTTTCATCCAATGGGACTGAAAAACACGCAAACTCAAATAATCACCTCATAGCTCGGGAATTATAGCCAATAGTCAAATAAGAAAACAATTAACTCCAAGTTTTAGATAAATCAAGTGTATCCATGCATACATTTGGAGCTTAGCTTTAGATAGCACGTGATCAGCGTCAATCCATGCAAACACCCGCGCAGACTCCTAGGTCTGTCATTATCCCACGCGAACACTATCAATTGGCTCCTTTTCCTCGATTTGACTGCGACTGCGACTGCTATATCTAATTTCGAATTGCGCATACGTTTCGCAATCCTCTTCCCTCACCAGCCTTACTCCGAGCCCTCGTCAGCGATCCCAAACGGCCCGAGAACTTCTATCAAGAGCTCCTGCCCGCCTGCTCGCCCAACAATCATCGACAACTACCCCTCAGCGTCGATCAAGTTCGCGTACACGCTTCTCCCAAACGGCGCAGTCATTCCGTTTGACGATCCCGCCAAGCACCACTTTTGCTCGTTGAAAGGTCCCAGCGTCGAAACAATTCCGAACCCGCGCGGAAAGCTGTGAAAGGAACTTTTGTCTATTGCAGATTGACCGACCAAGCTGCTGCTTCGGCTGATAATTTTCCGATCAAAGAGTCTGCCTACTACGCCCAGCGCAAAGATCTATACGCCAGCGCGTCATCCCGCCCATCATGTCTCTCGAGCGATACATTGATAGTAAGTCCCCGCATTACAAGGTCCAGCAATGCTTGCTTCCATGAGTATACTAATATCATTTTCTTATTATAGAGAAGGTTCTAATTCTCACCGTGGATGGCCGCACACTTCTCGGAACTCTTCTTTCAACTGATCAAATGACCAACCTTGTCCTCACCGAAACCGTGGAGCGCATTATCCGGACCTCAGATGACGACGAACCATCTTCGCAAGTTGAGCATGGGCTTTATCTGATTCGCGGCGACAACGTGGTTGTTTGCGGCGAGGTTGACGAGAAGATTGACGGGGAGATCGATTGGACAAAGGTGAAGGGCGAAGTGATCCGCGACACGAAGAATGCATGAGCCAAGTTTCGCATAGGCAACTCTTTTTTTTTTGACTACTTATTTTCATTGAGAGTTTCAGGCGTTGGTGGTCTGGGAAATTCTGAGGTTCTTCTTTATTTTTGCTTGCATAGGGGGATGGAGAGATGGAAAAGGCGACGACCATATACACCGAATCAGCTCGGGTTATGCGTCTCGGTGATGATGCTATAATGGCAGTTGAGGGTTTAGAAGCTGGCCATGATCAGATCAAATCGGAGCTGGGCCTGGGCCTGGACCAGAGCCAGCATCTTTCAGCCCGGCCAAGTCCCCATTTTCGATTACACATACCATGGGACATGCGGCTTGCTGGGCAATGCTAGGCGAATGCCTCCCTTGCCTCCTCAATGATGCAATGGTCTCCCGAGACGTCTTGACGACTGCCTACAGATGTGTGGGGTTCTTGTGTTGTCTACCAAGCTCGGCTGTGTCGCGGTTGGCCGCACGGGGATCACTGGCGTATAGTTACTTGGGCACAAACCCTGATGGGCAGCGGGGTTGAACAGGACAGGGTCTAGGGGAAAGTCATTACATTACACGCTTCGCCTCCCGAGCGGGGCAAGGGTCTTATTCTACATCACAAATGAAGCACAGTACGGTGTAGATATTTTGTATCATAATTACTCCGCATCCCACCATTGACCTGACCAGCCCCTTCTCCGGCGGTGGGTTCGCTATTTCCCGCAGCCACCGTGGAACTGGAATGGTATACCTAGGTACTCAACAGAAAAAAAAAGTATCAAATCAAATCACAACCCAAGGCTGAATTGCAAGTAGTACTAAGGCAGGGATTCAGGGATTGAGATCCGGCCTCCTTTCCTGTGTAAAGTCCAGCCCTGTTGCCCGATCGCATCGTACAGTAGCGCGCAGCAGGGCTTGGCGGGCGGGATGGGCAGGTATGAAATGACTAAATGATTAAATTAGATTACTCCATAGTGGCTACTAGTCGTGTACGGAGTAGTGTACGGAGTACACTGCCTACCTAGGTGCCTGCCAGTGGGTAGGGTTAGTGGAGGTGGTTTGGAGATGCGGTCAGCACTGAGGTATGCAGGACCAACTCAGTAATGTGAGAGGTTGGAGAGGTTGAGGTAAGAGGGGAGTAGCATGTAAGTACATATGCTGTAATATGCAATATGTATGTACAAAGTAAGATGTTGTAAATACACTCTGCCTTGGGTACCCCATATACTAGTCCGGTAGGCAGAAAGAAAAAGGGTGACAGCCGCTTTGGAACGTTGCCGCCCCATTTCCCCCTCTCGTCCTCTCAACTCCTGACAACCCCGTTTCACCCGTTTCATCTTATTCCTTTCTTCTTCCCTCTCTCTCTCCTCCCTTTTCATACTTCATCTTTACCTTCGCTGGTCGTTGGCTTCCTCAATCGTCTCTCCGGCGATCACCTCCGCGCTTTTTTTACCCCTGATCCGCCCGCTCCACACCAGCCCTTCATGTGGATTCCTTTGACAAGGAGCATTCAGCCAATATCGGGTCAGATTCACCTGTGTCCCCGAACAATCAACCCCTCGTGAGCGCGTGGCGAGACTCGGTCAAATAATCAATCAATCAGTCGAAACCAACTTCATCAAAAACAAAAACCAAAAAAAAAGGGAATATCTAGGGCAATCGCTCCCCCACGTCGGCCATGTGGCTCTACCGGGGTGCGCAGTCCGCGGTCTTCTACTATGCCACCTGCACCCCCTGCGCCGAAGGCATTGACCGACGAAAACGCAGGAAGGATGCCGTCCGAACTCAACGTCTCAAGGAGAAACTCGACCCTGACATCGTGACCGACCAACCCCGTCTCTTCCCACAGCCAACACCGTTCAGCACCAATGAAGGATGGGATCAAGAGATCGCCATGGGCCCCGGACCTCCAGCCCGGCGACACCGCAAGATGCCACGGACCGATAGTTGGAATACCGATCAGAGCTCGCAACTGAAGAAGGACAAAAGTGGCGGCTTGATGCACCCAATTGCGGAACGATGGAAGCGCTACCAACGAGAGGACGAACCCCTTTGGGGTCAGGATTATGATTCAGACTGGGGCCAGGAGGTACGCGGGTCGTCAATTGGCTTCTCAGGACGTGGTCGTGCGATCCAGGAAGAACCTTCCAAATACTACATGCCCCGACCTCCCCCTATCAACGACATCCATCCGCCGATTGTAAGTGGGCCAATCAGCCGTGCTGAGACAAGATGGATGCTCCAACCACCACCCAGTGCGAAAGTAATGGCCGGAAAGGAACGTTTTCCTACTTCCCCCCGTGACAGTATGGGTCCTTTCGCCCGTGACCGTACCTCCCGTATGTCCCGACAGGGCCCTATCGTCGAAGAACATCGATCGGGGCCTGCCGATGGAAATATCGACGAGACTATCGAGCAGGAATTACCACGGCGGCCGTCTGCATCTCGCGGGCGTGGTCACTCTAAAACCAGCGAGGAAATGGACGAACCCCCTTTTTCTCGAGACTCCATGTCCTCCCTTGCCAACTCAGACGACCAGTCCTTTACCACCTCATGGAGATATCCAGATACACCTGGTACCCGACCGGCTTCCAAGTCTACTGATGGCAGCGAAAGAATTTATGCCCGCCCGCAAATCTCCAAGACCCTTTCTACTATTCAACGCGGAGACAAACAAAAGTTCCACTGCTTGCAACTAGAGATCAATGACGATTCCCGCGAGGAAGTTGGACTTGGACAACTCGAACCCATACGCCCATGGCGCTGGAGTATGGACATTTAACGGTCTTCACCTCATCAAACTTTTACCACCCATCCTCTACCAACACCATCATCTCAACTTCATTGTCGCAAATTCGTGTCGCGTGCTTCTACCACATTTCACCATCTTCTTCACACTGATTTTATCTTCTGGCGTTTGGAGCATAAAATCGCAGCAAGCGTTCTTCATCCTTTCTTCACTTCAAGTCGCCACCCCCCACGCACGCGATATTTTCCACCTTAACTTAAGGGACACAGAGTATGGCAGGACCAAAAATGGCCCCAAATCAGCGAACAATGAACAGCAAGAAAAAAGCAACCTCGACAGCGATCACAGCGAAAGGGTCCGCGCCGGGGAAGTGGCTCTGTTCCAGCGAACATCCAAGTAACCCCTACTACTTCACCTACATCATTCCTTGCCACCGTACCCTCCTTCAACTTTTTCTCTCTCCTTTTCACACTTATTTGAAGTACACTGCGTAGGGTCATTGAGAAAGAATCCCTTTTTGATTGAATTTCCAACTTTTTCAAGTTCTCTCAGTTTCTTCGTCTTCTCTTTCCCCTTCTCACCACCTTCCTTGACTATCCTTACGGACCTTTTTTCTTTCTTGTAACATAATAATCATCCACTGTTCTCGTTACATACATAGCGCATACATAGCATGATGATCCATCTGAATTTTGAAGCTTGCTCAGTAATTGATCATTTTCCGTCAGCATTTAATATGTAAATATACTCGACTTATAGGATGCTCCAGGGCCGTTACAATTCTTCCAAGCCCTGGAGGTTGATCCTGATGGAATCGAAGTTTGTAGCAGCTCCGATGTTCTTTCCCTGCTAGTATACGGTGGGACCTCAGAGCTACTACTTAACACAAACACGTACAAAATCCGGAGCACAGTGACGCCTCCCACTCATACCCCGACGATCTTCAAGTTCAGCCTCTCGCTTTTGGCACCAACAGCCCAACATGACCTACATCATGAAAATCTACATCGACGGTATCTGCAGACGCAATCCAAGATACACTGATAGCGAAGGAGCGATTGGGTCCGCCGCCGTCGTTTTCGAGACATTCTCCGGCCGCTACTGGCTCACAAAGGTACTCACACGGCACCCCAGACCGACAAGACAGCGTGTCGAACTCGAAGCTGTTATCATGGCTATGGAGAAAGCTCGGGATCGGCTTGACAGGCGTTCAAACAGTCAGTGGCTTGATGTGACGATCCATTCTGACTCGTATTGTGTGGTTGACTGCATGTCAGGGTGGATTTAAACATGGGCTACCAATGACTGGGTCAATTTTGCGGGTCACGAGGTTGAGAATCGAGATCTCCTGGAGCGGGCGTGGCATCTTAATGAGCAATTGAGGGAGGATGGCGAGGTGAAGTATCTCTCGATTCAGGGGTGGCAGAACGAATATGCGAAGAACTTGTGCAATGAGAGTATTGAAAGTCAGTACTACCAAGGTACACGTTATGCGGCTTGTCATTCTCAGGTTGAAACTTGAAGGCAGGTATCTGTCAAACTTGTATAGTTAGTAGATGATCACATGTGACTGTCACCTTTTTTTCCCGGGCACAATTGCTCAAATGTTCACTAGTGCTTTTTACAAACTTTCAAGCTGGCTTCGAGCCAGGTGAGGTCCTTCAGGGCTCGCTTCACCCTCTTACAAGTTATATACATACATTCATTAACATTGATCGTTGATCAGCTCTTACCTATGTAAATAGGTCTGTCAATCCCATGGGCCGCATTTCAATTTTTCGCTTAAATTAATCAGGATCATGCATGGCATCGACTGCTTACTTCTCTTCTATCGAGTGGATAAGCAGTACTTAACTTTTGATAGCGAAATCGTAGAAAGCCGTCTATTGTAGGGTCCTCATGAGAAAGACTATGGACTTGCCCCTGTGGTTAATTCTAGTGCCGATTTGATTTTTTTCATAGTCGAAAAAGATTGACCTATCAGATCATACAAGTGCTACCTAGCTATGCATCTCATGTCTTCCATTCGAAATTCTGTCAAGGTCTGACACTATCCATCAGATACTACCGATATCGTGATGTTAAATAACCAGCGTTGTGAGCAATATCACCAACTTGAAGCTAGAGAATATTCATGAAGAGTGTATGCGAGGATCCTAGTAGTTACTACTAAGATAGACGACTAGATAGAATTGACCTAAGGATGATCGAATTTAAATACTATCGACACGGGCTTATAACCAGCCACTACTAGTACATCACAGGAATATTGAGAATACCAAAATATCCTCCAAACCAAAGGCTAAAGACTAGCATTCAAACTCAACCTTACATTGAGAGCTGGTGGCAATTCCAACACCATAGAAATCGCTACCACCCTCCGGCTCCTCCCCATCGATATGAGTCTGAGTGGCGTAAGCCCCATGGCACTCTCTGAGAAAGACAGTTAGAAAACATTGATCTCAAGAGTCAAAGAAAGGGGAGAAAATGAGCTGGCCTACTTGAAATGATTGATGCTACAACTGGCAGCCCATGCAAAGCTGTCCTCTAATCCTTCGCCCTCGATATAGGCAAGGTCCGTGCAAGCGTGTGGGCAGGTGTCACAAACCTCAAGCTCACCGATCTTATCGCCGTTTCCGTTTTGAAGGATAACGTTGCTGGATAAGCCTTGAGGGCCAAGGCCGACGACGGAGTTGTCTGAAAGACTGCCGATGGCAGAGCATGTTTCGGCCATGGTAGCTGGGAGGAACGAAGTCGCCAGCAGTGCAGGAATCAAAGGTTTCAAGTTGAACATCATGATAGTGGTGAAATTTATAGCAGTTGCCCCGGTGGGTGGAAAGGATAATCAATAGATTGATGCTCGATGGTATGTAGTATATTAATCTATGTAGATAACTGGGAAACTTGCGGCCTTTTATCCCTTTGCTTTCATTAGTATGTAGACGGCAATGAATCCGTCTGATGTCGGAATAAAAGTCCTGATAGCCTTATGATGTAGGCCAAGTTCTTTTCGCCCCCGTACAATAGGCAATTGATATTCATGAGAGCAGTATTGCAACATAGAAACATGGACGGGGTTGGAGTCCGATTAAAGAGCCATATAGAGCCGAGATGGTTTTACCTTGGCGGGTAGATCGACCTCGCGATGCAAGCCATGTTCGGTAATTAATCGACAGGCCCCCACGCCAAATCCAATGCCAAGGGTCGAGTCAAGCACCAAGCAGTCTAACTGACCCCAGTTTGAGCATCGAATTAGTTATCCCCGCCTCTTGTCTCCGAGTTCAAGCAAAACTAGTAACTAAGAGGCGACGGCGGAGTTGAACCTCAGAATACGCTCGGACCTATAGGCATCTACAAAATGATCTCATGCAAGTATATCGAAACTCAAAAACCCCAATGAAAGCCGAACTGATGACTCCAAGTCATGACTTCAATGCAACTTGTCATTCGTGAAAAAAAATAAAAAGATAATAAAAAGATAGCGGAACCCCTTTTGAAAACAATGGCATGCACAGACATGGTCTTTTTGCTGGATTTGAAAAAGAACCCGGAGAGAAAAAGCAGAAAAGAAAAAGGCCGGGAAGCAGGATGCTGTGGATATTTATCCATCAATCCTTCAAGGCATGTTAGAGTGAAACTGGGAGATAGTAAGACGAGTGAAGAAATTTGAAGAAAATGAAGGAACTTGAAGGCAGTATCCAATGTTGAAGAATAGAGTGACCAAGACGAGTGTGCGCATGAAGAGAGAAGGCTAGTTACTAGCAGTAATAGTGATAGTCTTCTTGCGGCCAAGACAGAGAATAGACAAGGGATAACAACACTTTCACTCGATGCATTCCCACGCGGGGAATGTCCTGAAAAAGGGCCGGGGTGTGTTATGTTTGGAAGAAGGGGTCGGGCCGGCGGGTTTCCTCCAAAAGTCCACACCCATTTCCGGTCGATGGAAGCATGCTTGTCAATTTGTTGTAAAAGTCACGGGGTATATAGAGGAGCGCGTCGTCTTGCTCTACTCTGCTCTGCTGTCCCCTTTTCTAGTAGACCTTCTTCTTCTCGTCCATGCTCAATTGGCCAGGACCCATGTTGACCAGGAGAAGCAGACCACCACTATGACTCGTGAGTAAATGACAAAAGGCCAGATGGAGAGAGAGAGAAAACATACACAATCGACAAGATCTGGAAGAAGTCATACTTGGCGAAGTCCTTGTGGGGGTGGTGGGGGTGAAGCTAGTGAAAATAGTCAGTCAATTGAACAGGAAGACCGCGATTTAGGCGTGTAGAAACATACCGTCCAGAAGTTGTTGACCAGAACATTGAAAACACTCAGCAGAACCACCAAGATAATAGCGCTCCACTTAGCCTTGAAGCCAACAACGACCATCACACAAGCGACAAGACCAAACAGACTAACAATGACACGCCAGAAGCTCCACGCCCCAGCGAAGACGAATCCAACGAAGAGGAAGATGAGTAGGACGCGCCCGGCGAACTGCACATACATCTTACGGTCCTTCTCGTCAAGCTGGGGTAAACCGGCGGGAACGAACTTCTTGCGAACCCAGGAGTCGGAAATAACCATGAGCAGACCACCGACGACACTCAGGTTGCGGAGGAAGAAGTTGAGGTCAAAGATCAGGCCATATCCGAGACCCTGGGTAACGACCACGGCTAGTAATCCCGCGACGGCGTACTCGGTGCGCTTGCGGGCGATGACGAGGGTGGAACACACGGACATGGCGATAACATTGACGATGAGGAAGAGGTGTGTGATTCCCCAAGGAACTAGAATTGAACAAAACCGAGTTAGAAGAGTAGACCATTTTTGCCAATTTTTTGTTATCTGCCCTAGTGGCTTGGTCGGTGTTGAGCTTAGCTCCCTTCCTCGGCTGGTGTGGAGAGGGGGATGTGTGTGTGTGGGTAAGGGTCTCTCTTACTGCTCCGGAAATCATGCAGGTAGAGGAGCTGGTCGCTCCATTGTGTAAGAATGCGCAGTGAGTCCTCAATGAAGGTCACGACGATGAGAAAGCGGCCGATCGCGGGAAGGTAGCTGTAAAAGAGAACACCGTGTCAGTGGCATGCCTTGAAGATCCCTTGTTTTGGAGTTGGGGGCGACCCCGGAGAGACAAGAGAGAGAGAGGAAGGTAGTGGGCAGCGGTTCGTAGCGGCCAGCGGCCACCACAAGCTGTATCCAATCGGTCGGAGGTATAACATACGGCTTGACGGGGTCGGCCATGGTGTCTAGCCAGTCCTCGATCTTGCTAGTCTGCTCGCGAATCGCATCGAGCGGGCTAGGATCGCTGGTGGCATCTGCGCTGCCGGGTCCACCGAAAGGGTTCTGGTGGCCGAGGTTGTAGCCCGCAGTGCCACGGATTTGGGCCATGGCGAATGAGGGAGAATGAAAGAGCTGGAGGTGAGAAGGTGGAAGATCGAGGGTTCAAGGTTGAAGGAAGAGAGGAGTAACGATGCGAGCAAGGTAAATAATGGGTGGAGCCGGTTATACAAAGCGGTCCTCTTCAGGCCACGCTGCCCGGAACTCAACGCTAGTCCGTTTCAGGTAAAGTGACGACAATCGTGTTGACCCTGGAACGAAACTTGGTATTTGAGTACATTACTTATTTATAGTGACTCTTCTCATTTTTGGGAGGCCTAAGGGTTTCGAGTTTAAACCACTTTTCATACCGTCTCTTATACAAGGCGGTGGTTGGTTTCCAATTGCTTAATTGCTTCGATGCTTTCCATTGAAATTAGAAAGAGAAAGAAAGAGAGAGAGCTAGGGACCAAAAAGAAAAAGAAGTGAAAAGAAAAGAAAAAAAAAGTACACATTTTGAGCTACAAACACAGGCCCATTGGGTTTTGTTTCTCGCGAATCCCCCGTGTGAGGGGCTCGCATTTTGCGCGCGCTGTCTCTTCTCTCTGTCAAGCAGAGGGAAGGATGCTGGTATTATGGGGACACAACCGAAAACGCCAAAGCCATAATCAAGGGGGAGATAATAAGTACAAGTCACAGTGAAAGGGAGGATTGGCATAATGCGGCGGGATCGATGATCGATGATCGATGGTGAAGATCAGAGAGAGAGAGAAGGAGAGGGGGATCAGTCAATCAAGCTGCCCAGTCCGAGTCCAGGGGGTGGCCCTTCTCGCGGGAGCGCAAATCGGGCAGGTAGGTTGGGGTGATGGTAACCCGAGGCTTAACAGGAGCGGGAGCAGAAGTGACGGGGGTAGGCTTGGCCTCGGAGGCGCTGGTCTCGCTGACACTCTCGTCAGTCTTGCCACCCTTCTTGTTCTCCTTCTTGTTACCACCCTTCTTGGTCTTGACCTGGGTCCATGCGTCGTCGGCATCGGCGGCCTTGGCCATCTGCTCTTGGACTTCCTCGGTGGGAAGGCCCTGCTCCCACTCATTGGTGCCCGAAGCTTGAGGGGAGAAGGTATCCAGAAGCTGGACATTGCTGGCAGCGGGAGCGGGGGCGGGCTTGGAGACACCGTTGGTTGCGGTCTTGTTCTCCCAGGCGTTGTTGGCATGGGACTGAGACCAGGTTGCCTGGAGCTCAGGGATGTTGCGGCGGTGCTGCTCCAGCTTCTTCTGGCGATCCTGTTCATCCAGACGTGCTTGCTCCTTGCGCTCCTCATTCTTGCGCTGGTGGGCACGCGCCTTCTTGTTCTTCTCAGGCACAGCCTCCTTCTTGGTCTTCTTCTCGGCCTGGACAGGCAGGTCACCAGTAACACGGAGGACCTTGGCAGCTGCGGCAGCGGCGGGGGTCTCAATCATGTCGTCGACATCACCGGCGGAGGGAACGGTAGCGTTGACCTGGGGGGGAGACAGCGGGAGAAAGATCGTCATCGGCCTCAGCGCCGGTGGTGGAAGAGGCGTGGGAGCCAACCTCGAGCTGAGCGGCCTTCTTCTGCTGCTTCTTCTTCTTATTCTTGGTGCTGGAGGCGGTGGTCTGGGGGATACCGTTCTTGATGGCAGTCTGACGACGGGCCATCTCCCGGGGGTCGATCTCCTCCTCGGGCTGCTCATCCTCGGTGGTCGGTGGGGAGATGACAGTCTTCACCTCGGACTTCTTTGCCGGGGTGGGTTCGGAGGGCTTAGTCTTGCGCTTAGGCTTCTTGGGAGCCACCTGGGCCTTCTCGAGAGGCACCGGGGCGATGGCTTTGGCTTTCGGGGCTGCACCATTGGTGTAGTACCACCCGAGACCACCAGCCACGACCAAAAGGATGGCCCAGCTAAGATAGGGATTCATGGTCATCGAGCTATCACAGACGAAATAAGGTCAGTTTCTTTCATCCAATTATTTTTCCACCGAACCGATTTTGTGAATCCGCCTGTGTTTTCGGGAACGTACTATTGAGTGGCCTTTCGAGGTGAAATGGTTGTGGTTGTAGAAAAAGAATTACCGGAGAGAATTAGGTTCAGGGGGTGTGACAATTGCGCACGCGCACAATTAGGTCGACACGCGAAACTGTAAGACCGAAGAGGGAGAGAAAAGGTGGCCGATGGAGAAGATGGGGTTTAAAGGGCGAGACCACGCATCTGTCAAGGTTCTCAAAGAAATTGGGGTTTGCTTTGAGACTGAGCGGAGTCCACTAGGTTAAGACTAAGGACAGGAAGAGAGTCGAAGGGACGCGATTGCTGAAATCAGGTCCACGGGTGATGGTGATGAGATGATGCGTCGTTGAAGGTTGATCCGGGGGCGCGATGGGGGGTTGCGCTCGGACGACGGAGACGGAGGGGGGGGGGATGGGGAAAGAGGCGAGGCCAAACAACGCAGGATAGAGAGATCAATGGAAAGATCCAATTGATGGCGTGAATGAAGGCGTTAAACGAAGGAAAAGGAAAAAGCCTCGCAAAGGAAGAGACAGGAGAAGTCCAGGAGAAAAAGGACGGTTGGAAGAGGCCACCTTGAATCTCCGGTACGATACCGTAATGCGGTGACAATACGGGCACACCATTTCCATTTCCTCTGAAGGTTCCCTCAGGGTGAGTGTACACCTTGAAGCATTGTATACTGATATATTTTCAAGTGTTGCACAGATGATGATTTGTGCAAGTATAATCTGCAAAGTCTATACCTGAGGTAAGAGTCAAGTATTACTATCTTATTAAATTAGGCCAGCATCTCATGGGGTACATGGTCTTCCCAGTGTATATGATATGGGGTCAATGTGGTAATCATATTACCCCAAACGATACAACCAAGACTCCTGAGATCGAATGGTTTCTCTAGTTTCTCCAGTGGAGAGCTGTCGGTCGCGCGAACAGGCCACGTCTCCTCCAGATACCGGGGTCTCATTTCCACCTTTCCACCTCCGCGGTGGAACTCCCCCTCTCCCTAGTGTGCCTGGTTGCAAGGACCGTCTGGGCGTGTGTGTTCGAGATGCGCGTCGATCCGGCAGGGATTCGGCGCCATCCCTTACAGGCGGCTTCACGCCCGCCACGAGGGGCCGGAAGGTAAACCCGGGCATCTGCCGTGCCGAAGATAGTCTGATAGAGGAGTTAGGACAGAATATGGAGGACTATAGTAGTATACTAGTAGAGATAGATACGGAATATCCAGGTGAGTAAGAAGCACTATAAGTAGTCAATTATAACTGTATTTCGTACTAGTAGTACGAGTAGTGAGCGGATGAGAGGGCCGGGCCAAGCCGCAGCAAGCAGATTACTACTCTTAAGGCTACAATCAATTATCTTCAACTTTACAAACTTCCTTATATTCCATTTATTCATCTCCTACACCATGGCAAAGAAAATCATCATCGATACCGATCCTGTAGGTGTTTTTAATCCCTCTACTCATACCTAGGCATACATTCAAAAACTCACAATCACTAGGGTATCGATGACATCCTCGCTCTGCTGCTTGCTCTGTCCGCCAAGCCTGAGGAAGTCGAGGTCTTGCTGATTTCTTTGACCTTTGGTAACATCGAAGTCCAAAAGTGAGCCGTTATTCACCTTCTCCCTCCAACCAGAACTCGTCCTGATTATCTTATTAGCTGTCTTCGCAATGTGGTCTCCATGTTCCACATCCTCGAACGCGAGGCCCAGTGGCGTCGCGAAAATGGACGCCCCGAGGGCTTCGATGCCATGCGCGCCTCGCGCCCTATTGTAGCCGTGGGCGCTGAGGATCCTCTCGAGGACCAGAAGATGCTGGCAGACTATTTCCGTGTGTTCTATTTTTCTCTTCTCCCTCCCCTCTTCCAATTGCATACGGTACTTTGGCTAATCATTACCCCGCAGATGGCACCGATGGACTCGGAGGTATCCATGCTAGCGTATGTCTTCGATTGTTATCTCCGCAATCACATCTCTCTACTAGAACACACCCAGCTGATTGTTGCTCCATAGCACCCGCATCTTACTCCCAACCAGGAATGGGCCCATCTTTTTGACCCCATCCATGACTCCCATGGTATTCAATCCGCGGACGCGGACAACTGCTCGGGGGGGTCATTCGTTCATCCCCTCCAAGATCCCTGCGCACAAGGAGATCCTCCGTGCACTACGCGAGAATGAACCGGACTCAATCACTTTGGTGGCTGTCGGTCCCCTCACGAACCTGGCACTTGCAGCGGCCGAAGACCCAGAAACTTTCCTCCGCGTGAAGGAGGTGGTTGTGATGGGTGGTGCTGTCAACGAACCCGGCAATGTTAGTTCACTTTCTAATAGTCTCCTCTCCCCGCCCCGCCCCGCGTCACCAATGCAAGTTCAGAATTGACCCAAGACACTTCCGCAGGTTACTCCAGTTGGCGAGTTCAATGCTTACGCAGATGCCTTTGCCGCTGCGCGGGTCTTCGCTCTGACGTCGCCGAACCCGAACTCAACTTTGCCCCCCTCGACCATTTCACAGCTACCGCCTTACCCAGCTAAGTTGAGCAAGCAATTGGCATTGCGCCTCTTCCCACTGGATATCACCCTGCGCCACAACATCTCCCGTGGCCAGTTCCGCACTGCTGTCGCCCCGCTCCTGGAGAAAGGCTCTCCCCTCGCGGAATGGGTCAATGCGTTCATGGGACACACGTTCCGCACTTTAGAGCGCCTGCACCCGGGCCATGTCGGTGACGACGCTCAATTGAGTCTGCACGACCCTGTCTGCGTCTGGTATGCCCTGACGGCCGAGGATTCGCGCTGGGCACCCGCACCCAACTCGCCTGAAGATATCCGCATCGAAACGACTGGTCAGTGGACTCGTGGTATGTGTGTTGTTGATCGTCGTAATCGTCATCGTATTGAAGGTGAGGAGGAGACCTCGAGTGACCATGGTTTGTGGTTGAGTGCTCGCGCTGGAAACCGTATCTATCGGATGGACCAGTCGCCGGCGGAATCTACTTTTGGCCAGATCATTATGGACAAGCTGTTTGGTTAGATGTTTATGACTATAGAATTGATGATATAGATGGATGAATGAATATAATCATGTCTGATCAATTTGTTGACGTATTAGTATACCACCGTAGTGTAGGGAATTAGCTCCCTGCCTCGAAGAGTCACTGGGTTATCCAATTGTGTATCCGACTCAAAGCTATTGAACATGACTAGCTTAGGTGTATCTTTGCAGATGAAATCGCTCCACATTTTCTCTTCAGGGCGACAGCCTGCATCGTTCTTTTTCTCGGGGTGTGGATGATCCTAAAAATAACCCTTGTTTGTATAGCCGCGCGCTGTGTCCCACAACATGATTGGCCCGGTACATCATCGACCAGGCCAACCACTGGGAAGATCTGCAGATTGACCATTTCAGGACGTTTCGTCACACTTGGCATTAGCGCTGATAGCCATACCGTGTGGCTGGATCAAAACAATGTCATGTTTGGGAATTGCCGATTCGTTGCATGATGCGCTGACTAGTACTCCATATAACTTATTCGGCGCCCCCAATTTTCCCGATCACCTGTCTAGAGCATCAATCGACTGTCTTTATCTTCAAAGCTATCAATCTCCCTTTTTTGCTTTCTCCAAGGTTCTCTTTTTTTTTCTTTCTTTGGGTCATCATCACGAGAGTAATCTTTCGCAACCCCGAATATGCCAGGCATCGAAAATGTCGGTGTTTTTTCCACAGTCGGCACGCTACTCGACCAATCACTCCAGAATTACCAGAGAGCTTACGACTATCTCAAAGTGGCCGGAAATCTCTGGGGAACACTTGATGGGTCGATGGTCATGACCCGCGAAACGGCCCATGATTCCAAATGTCCCTCAAATGATACTTTGCCGGAAAACCTTTACTGGGAATTGAACAAGAAATTTGACGCCTGCGAGAAGAAGTCTCGTGCACTGCGAGAGGTCATAGCCAGAATAATCCCCCGAGAAAGCAATCGCTCATCGACATGCTACTCGACTTCTGGATCCGAGGGTATGGGCCGTGAGGTGGAGGTGTTCCAGGATGTTGAGGATTTGGCCAACAATGATATAATCCACACCACAAGGCCGGAGAAGAAGACTGAACGAGAAAAAAATATTCCTAAATTTTTCGATAATGGCCGAGAGGTCGAACTCCGCTGTGAGAATCAGGCATACGGGCTCCAGAACAACATATATGGACAGCAAAATATTGGTGGCATTCAACAATACAATTATGGTGAGTGTTCAGGAATCATCTTCGCGGCTTTCAATTGTGTACTCAATAATTTGGTACATTGTTGTTTTAATTGAGGAAGCCCGTGTTGATTAAATCATTGAATAGTAAACCAACCCGAGCTTGACTTCAGCTTCTACCACGGCGTCGGAATGAACCTCAGCCAAACAACATGCATCGACTCAAGTTATTTCAAAGGTCGCGACAATGAACTCGCAGCACTGACAAAGATTTTAAGCCCGCTTCAGAAGCCCCCAAGACAGCAATGTCTAGCAATTAATGGAAAGGGCGGCGTGGGGAAAACCCAGCTGTCTATCGCATACGCAAAGCTCTACTGCGAGCATGGCTTCCCAGCTTACGACTCGGTTATTCTGCTCAACGCATCGTCCAAGTCTAAACTGAAGGAGAGCTTTAGGCGAATCGCGAAAAGGATATTCAAAAAGATGCCGGAATGCGAAGATGCCGTACAGCATACGCTGCGGTGGTTATCGGACCCGAAGAATACGGGGTGGCTATTGGTATTTGACGAATACGATGACCCTGATCAATTCAGTATTAGCAACTATTTCCCCGGGGGAAATCATGGCTCAATCCTAATCACCACCCAGTCTCCGACTTCTGTGCCCGGTATCTCCTTTTGCTTGCGGTCGCTGGATGAGGAGGGTAGTCTGGCGGTCTTGAGAGCCCGGTCCGAACGAGCGAACAGTGTGACAGGTATGAATGACCCCCTTCACACAGATAAGCGCATGGAAAGCCCCAGCTAAAATTACTGTAGATCCAGCTGCGAAAGACATTGTCAAGCTGCTTGGGGGACTTCCCTTAGCGCTGGCTACAGCCGGGGCCTACAGCCGGGGCCTACATCCGGCGGAATAAATGCACCTTTGACTACTATCTCAAAGAGTATAAGGACCATTGGATCTTCAATTCTTACAACTACATGAGACTACCAGAGTACAGCAAGACACTGCATACAGTCTGGAACAAATCATATGCAAGGTTGAAATCAACCTGTCCCGAGGCGGCCAAATTACTCGCGTGGTTGGCTTATTTCGATAACCCGAAAGTCCAACATGAGCTCATACCGCCGGGGAGAGGGAATGTACCCGATTACTGGCAGCACCAGATGAAGACAAATGATAGGCATATTCGACATCTGATGGAGATCTTGGTGGAGTTTTGCTTCTTGGATGTCACTCCTGCAGAGGGAGGTATGACAATTTCACAATCTTGGACCATGCACAATTGTGTTCATGCTTGGACTTTGGCTGTGTTGAATAGAGAGGTTTATCCCGAGTTCCACTGGTATGCCTTTGATTGTGTTACCTCGTAACTTTGACGGATGGGGTATTTTGGGACGTTTGATTCAGCGACAGCGGTGATTTTGCAGCTGTAATGGAAAAGCGGCTCCGCTCGGCGGTAATTTAATGGCTAGGGTTAGCTTGTCTGCTAGATCAAACGAAATGTATCATATTTTCATTCATTCTGTACGGAGGCCTTAGCTCTTGTAATGGCACCCAAGGCCAAAGCTTATTTCATCCAAGCGCAGTTTAGGCATAATGGCAACAATTACTAGTATAGGTCTGCCAATCATCCCCGTCAGCAAGTTGGACTCATTGATCAAGTTGAATAGAACAATCATCAAAATGTATGCCTTGAAGTGGACTGACTGAAGGGATGCTTTCTTACTAGAGCTTCGTACAGTACTATCTGGCCAGAGCTTCTGTCATATTGGCAGGGCCCACTCCCACCAGGCGCTGTGACTCGTCCTGGCCCTAGCACAAAACCAAGACTTGCTTCAATTCCCCATGAGTGCTGTGATAGGATGCTTATACATTATCCGCGATGTGGAATGTGACGCAGGGCCGCGCCGACATGGTATACCAGCTACTAGTAATAGGTCAACAAGTGTTCGCCGTCACAATTTCGTACTGTAGCCATGCATCGAATGTTTCGGACAAAATAAAAATGAAATAAATGTCCTATTCTCTGTCATCAATTTTCCCAGCCTCTCACAATGAAGCCATACCCCGATGCGTCGTTCTAGAAAGCTTAACAGCCCCCGACTGGAATGTGGAATGCCGTAACCTAGAGATCGACACCTCCTATAGAGCAGTCCTGGTTACAGCTGCACAATCCAGGAGGCTTTTTTCAATTGCGACAGTCTGACACCCAGCCACTTGAAGGCTTTTGATCGAAGGGGGATGTTGATATAAAAGCGATGACCCGAGGGGTAGTTTCCACGATCCATTCTCATCTCCATTCACCATCTCGGTTATCACTTGGCACTGTCAATCTCACCGGATTATCCACCTCATTATCTACCCCTTGCAAACTATTCAAAATGCAACTCACCAACGTCCTGGGTCTTTGCCTCCTGGCCATGGCCGCCAATGCAGCCGTCCTTCCCCGATTCGCCGGCCCCTACCACGGCGGCCGCATCGCAGTGAATGTTCCTACCAATGGTACAACTCCCCATAAAGCGACCACTACTGGCACGATCACCAAAGCCAAAGGAGCACTGACGACGGGAGTGTCGAAGGTCAAGAATGGCAGTGGTCGTAATAAGCCTCACTCGTCGCATGGACCGCAAAAGGTCAATATCCCGCTGAACTCGAATATTCCCAACCACATCAAGCATATCAACCACTGCAATGAGCTGTGCTCGCTGGAGTCACAAACATGCACGATTGCGATGCCGGATGAGGATGAATACTGGTAAGTTAAGAAGGTTTCCGAGAGGTGTTTTCTGGATTCAAGGTCGTGAGGCTAATTTGCGGGGATTATAGTGGTGATGGGTACAAGCAGTGTATATCCAAGTGCCACCCGAGCGATTTTGAATAGAGAAAGATATCTTCTCAAGTTTCAATGGCATGGCCTGTGAAAGGGCGAGTAAAAATGGGTTGGGTTTCGGGGTTCTGGGTGTTATCTATGGGTTGTTTTCTAGCGTTTGTGATGTCGCCCTCGGAATTGTAAATTGCCGAGTCTCAATATAGTGAATACAGTGAACACGATGTGAATTTCAATTTGATGAACCATGGATGTAGAGAGGAGAGAAGAGAAGGGCACATGATATAATGGGTGATATCGGAGCGTGCGTAGATATCCACTTGTAGTAAGGAGTCGATCTGCCTCAATTTGGGCCAAGGCGGAAAATTGGTGACGACACGGGGTAAGTAGGGCGAGATCCAATAAGGAACGAAGAAACTGTGATCGACCACCGAAGTTGAACCTGAAAAGGAAGTGGAGGGAGTGACCATTTGCCACTGCACATGTTAATAGGGCCCGGTGAGTTGCCACCAACTCGCCCTGGCAAGCGCACGTGCTGAACTACCAGATCCCCTGGAGTGAAGTAACTACCAGGAGTAAAGTAATCCCCAAGGACAGAGTACACTGGACTGACTGGAGTATGACTGTAAGTCTACTTGTTAAGCTCAGGCCCCACTGTCTCTCCAGCAAATGCGCGTTGCTCATTGTGGCACGAGCTTGTCTCCACATCCAATGAGCATCCACCATTGCAACTCGTGGGCTCTGCAAGCACGCGACACTTTCTGAGGGAGAGAGTGAGGAAGATGATTGCGGAGGTAGAGTCTACATACAAGGGCAAGGGGCCCCTCCTTGACTCTGGACTTACTATCGTCTCTTACCTCTGTCGTCCTCTCTGTCCTCTACTCCCTCCTCTACCTCCTCCCCCCTAACTACACACCATGTCTCGTTCAAGATTCCCTCCTACGCCTGCCATGTCAGGCGAACTGATAATCAAGGACAAGCCTATGGACGGCACCGATGTCTTTGCTCTTCCACCTGCTGCCCTCAGTCCGGGCAAGGAAGATTCCTATAGTCGTTCTTCCTCTGCTTCAGATCCCTCCTATGAACCGGCCTCGCCAACCTCGCCTGATCTGATACCTCGTGGCCGTAATCCGCCTCATACTTCTTCGCGGTCGGGCACTGCCACAAAACGTCCTTTAGAAGACTTCGATCTACCCCCGCCGCCTACAAGGACTCGCAAGATCATTCAAATGAAACCCAAGACTCCAGCCGCCTCCAAGTCTCCTGCCAAACCTAAGGAGAACAGCAAGACCGGTCAGCCTGCCGATTCCGCCCAGGCTGGTCCGGCCTCCAAGAAGAAACCAAGTGCAACAAGTGCCGCAGGACGCAAAATTGCCCGCAAGACTGCACACAGTTTGATCGAGAGACGTCGCCGTTCCAAGATGAACGAGGAATTTGGTACATTGAAGGACATGATCCCAGCCTGCCGAGGACAGGAGATGCACAAGCTGGCCATCCTTCAGGTATGTTACTTATCCACCTTCCAGTCTGATTGCAAGTATACTCATTCTATTTCACAGGCCAGCATCGACTATGTCAACTACCTCGAGCAGATCATCCAGGATATCAAAACGGACGGGACTACCAAAACCACCGCGCCACCATCACCACCATCCCCAGACTTCATTGCCGAGGGAGTAGAAACTTTCAACCAGCCTCCGCAACGCCCTCCATCTTCCGTATATTCATACTCCGAGTCCGGCTCACCTGAGATCCTACCACCCAGCGGGCAGATGTCCGATGTATCTCCCTCATTCTCGCCCCGCACCCGTCTGCCCTCTGTACATACATTATCCGAGATCCCCTCCATCCTGCCCAGTCCGGCACTTGGCCCCTCGTATCATTCTATGGACAAGGTCCAAGATCTTCAGGGTATTGATCACGAGGCCTCGGCTGCTTTACTCATGCTGACGCGGGATCGCCGGGGTACCGCTGACTCGATCAGCGAGCATTTCCCTGCCAGCACGGCTCTTGGTCCCACACCCGAAAACTCTCACGCCGTGTCAGATTCTCAAAGGAGGAAAGGCATGAGTGTTCGCGATCTTCTTATTTCATGAATGGATGTGGGCTTTGTTTATAACGAATTGGTTACTTTATCGGGTCGGAGTTCTGGATGGGAGGTTAACATTGAGCGCTTTTCGCACTGTTCTTATTTGGGCTTATAGATAATTTGCGATAATTTTCTGATCATACTGTGATACAAATTTGGCAATTTTTTGGGATCTTGAATTTATGAGAAATCTTGAAAAGAGGAGGGTATATCTTCCTTATTGATAGTCTTGGTTTGTACAGAATGAAATAAATGATACCACATTTGCATACCGGTCAGCTTGTACGACTTCAAGAGATATCGATTACCTTAGTATCTATTCATTGAAATACCTAGGTAGTCTATTGTTCTCTATCGACTCGAAGCTACACCTCCCATCATGATCATCTTTGCGAGGGTCAAGACTAACTCCAACTTCCCCAACATTGATGGCCCCACTCCTCAGGGTGATGTTTTCATTGGTGGATCGTCTCGGGATTGGCAAAGACCGAACGACCGAACAACCGAACCCCGACAAATGATGACTTTCGCTCTGATACAATTTCCATGCATGCTACTTTTGCCATTGATGTGCTTCAACATATGCGCCAAATTCAATGGAAGGTATCCGCCGCTACAACGTAGAGCGGTCCTGCGTACGCTGCCACGAGCGTAAAGTCCGATGCGATAGGAAAGCACCATGCAGCAAATGCATGCGACAAGGGGAAGTCTGTGAATATCCTGGACCACGAAAAGTCAAGCGAAAACCTCCCAAGACGAGCGTCACAAATGTTGTATCTCGATTGGAGCAACTGGAGAGGTCTATTGCGACGCTAGCTGGCAATCCATCCACGGCGCAAGCGAAACTGCCGAGAACACAATGGCAGCACCAACTGCCCCGTCCCAGAGCTGCGCCCACATCTGAGGTGACTCCGACTGTGACAAATGGGCATGTCCCTTCGGCATACCACCGGCCGTCCGGAAAAACCAAAATGAACTATGGCTTCCTTATCAAGGATGGCGCTTATATCGACGAGCCGCTTCTTTCGCGAGTGATCGAAAAAGAACATGAATTACAGTCTGCCATCGGAACACCGAGTACACAGACTGGTGGCTCAGGAAAACCGCCACCTCTCAGAATGGACGGCATGCTCATCAACCCACTGTTGAAACAACTGGATTTCAAGGCTCTGTATCCCGATCGATACCAGGCCACGCAGCTCTGGCAGACTTTCCTTTGTCGCGTGGAACCGGTCATAAAAGTGCTGCATGTACCCACAACGGAGCCACGTATCTTCGCGGCCATAAATCGACCTGATTCCGTTAAACCTGACATTCATTGCCTTCTGTTTGCAGTCTATTTTGCGGCTACTACTGCTATGTTGAGCGATGACCCGACAAATGAGAATATTCGTGCAGATCTGCAGCAATATCAACATGGTATCGAGCTGAGTGTCTACAACTCCTCTTTCTTGGAATCGCCTACGATACCCTCCCTTCAGGCGATGTCCATATATCTGGTAAATACGACTGACTCTCCTTTTATACACTCTGCCCATCTAATCTGAGGTCTTATTTAATTAGAGGTGTTTACGCTACAGCAACAGCGGGCGGGCTGGGTTCACCCTACGCGGCTTGACTATCCGTGCTGCACAATCAATTGGGCTTCATCGCGATGGAGAAAAGTTCAAGCTCTCACCTCTGGAATGTGAGATTCGCCGACGAGTCTGGTGGGATCTATATGCTACCGATTCCCGTATGGCCGAAGACCACGGCATTATAATCGCCGACCAAGACTATGGGAGCGACACCAAACTTCCCGCCAACATCAATGATCAGAGCATAAGTGAACACACCACTAAACCAGTCGAGTCCGAACAGCGATGGACCGATTCGACGTTCATGCTTATAATCAACGAGGTCAACAAGATGTTCATCCCGATCGCCCGGTCTACAGACAGTTCTCCAGATGGAGCGCAGTCCCAGCTACTGAAAGAACTGAAAGAACGACTTCACAATCGATTCACCAAATACGCAGATATGGACATACCCATCCAGCGACAAGGAGTAATGCTCGCACACGTCCTAGTCGCCAAATTTGAAGTCCACGTGCTGCACAAGGTCCTCCAAAAACAAGGTGCCGCATCCTCAACCGTCGACACAGAAGCAGCAACCGAACTCCTCGCAATGGCCGTTCGAGCTCTAGACCTCGGACTCGAGATGTATACCGACGATCTACTACGCGGCTTCCGCTGGTTAACATCCACATGCCCACAACTCCACCTCCTCACCTACATCCTGTGGCACCTATGCGTATACCCAACCGGCCCACACAACGAACATGCCTGGAACAGCGTCAATAGCCACTTCGACCTAGTGGATAATGATCCCTCCTGGCCAGACCCGGGACCCAAATGGCCGATGCTGATTCAGCTCCGGGCAAAGGCGTCGCGCGTCCGACATGCGCATCTTGCGTCTAGTTCTAATGAGAACTTGTCGGATGGAGAAAGTGCTATCCAGACGGTTCCGGATGATCTACCAAGTGAAACTATTTTAGATATGGATAAATGGGATTTGAACTGGGTGGAATTTCCTGATTGGGATTATCTCGCACAGAGTATTTCGATGATGGGGCAGGATGGACATACCTACTAGTAAGTATATATTGGGACTTTCGTCAAATCATGATGTTCCAGTGTATATAGTTGTTGAGGGAACCGTGGAAGACGCGGACTACACATACCAGTGAATATAATTGGGCGAGTTTAATACCACATAGGTCAGCGTGCCCAGGTGGTTTGATTTCCAAAAATAAGGTAGATCTCGAATCAAGCATCTCTCTCGTGGCTTTTGCACTTTAATGTGGGGTAGTCAAAACCTGCGGGTCTTCAATGTCGTCACGAAGATTCTTATTGGCACGACAGCTCGAAAAATAATGCTCAGTGGCATAACTGCATGCACAAATGTGTTCCGACTTGGAAATCGGGTAGACGATGACAAATATCAACCCACCCATCCCACCGGAAGCCAAGTTTCAAGGTTAGATAGTGTTATTTAAAGGAATTGCCCTTTTCCGCTTCAAGGGTTTCCTTCTTTTATAAGTTTCCTGAAATTCACCACTTTTACAAACCCCAAAATGTCCGATAGGCAGAGGGTACTAGTTCTCGGAGCTACTGGTGAGACTGGGAGGTCGATTCTGAATGGGCTGCTTGAATCCAACGACTTTGTAAGTTGGAGTTGTTAAAGAACACCAGCTTTCTTTGTGACTGACGTTCAACCTTATTTTACCAATCTTATTAGGAAGTAGAAGTCCTAGTACGACCCGCTTCCGCGCAAAAGCCATCGGTCCAGAAACTGCGAGAGCAGGGCATTAAGATTTGGTCCATAGGTCTTGACCAGTCTAGTGAGCTCGTGACTGCACTGACCGGGGTAGATACCCTCATCAGCGCCATTGGACCAAATGATCTACTGCAGCAAAAGAAGCTCCTCCAATCTGCGAAGCTTGCAGGTGTCAAACGAATTGTTCCGTGTGCTTTCATCACGGTCGCACCTCCACAGGGTGCTATGCGGCTTCGCGACGAGGTATGTATGCCTAGATTGAGTTCATGACAATGGTCAAGTTGACTAACAAACATGAAAAAATAGAAAGAAGAGGTCTACAATGCCATCAAGTTCTTGGGTATCCCTTATACAGTGATTGATGTCGGCTTTTGGTATCAAATCTCGTACCCGTATCTCCCATCGGGTAGACTGGATTACGCACAAATCTTTCCGGTCAAAACCATCCACGGCGACGGAGAAGCTCCTAATATTCTGACCGATCTCCGAGACATCGGATGTTTCGTCGCTCGCATCATTCGCGATGATCGGACCCTCAACAAATACGTCTACACATCGGGAGATGTCCTTTCCGAGAACGAAATCTTCCGTATCGCAAAAGAACTCTCTGGGGAGGAGCTGGAGCCAACCATCGTGAGTCGTGTTTCGTGAAGAAAATCGTTTTTATACTTACTCAACTGTACTTTCTAGGACTCAAATGAAAATATCATAGCAAGTGCCGAACAAGCCAGAGCCACTCTTGCTCAGGATCCTCAAGATTTTATGAAGCTCAGAGGCGTTTATGTCGCCGATTACAATCATAGCAAGTACGTGCGTCGGGATAATACTCCTGCGTACGCCGACTATTTGGGTTATCTTAATGCCAGAGAGCTTTACCCAGAATTCACGCCATTAAGCTTCCGGGATTTCTTTGCGGAGCTACTTGCTGGGAAGGGCAGTAAGGTGTATTCTTAATCTTTTGTTATTTCATTCAAGTTTCATATCACATCCAAAAAAGAGGCTCAATATCGATATTTATTTCTGGGACAATCAAACTTAACAGACCCACTCAATATCTTCTCCAGAGTAAATCTAAGGCATTTATGATCAAAAGTGGGCAGTGCGGAGACATTTGTACTAGGCGACGTGGGGGCCGTGACTTCAAAGAGGGGCAACGGGATAAGCTCGCACCCACCACTCTCTCACTCTCCAGCCAGAACGTCAAGGCGCCACAGGACCAAAATGCAGGGCATCATGGATGGTTGAAATGGCTGAGGTCCTAGGAACCATTTCGGCGGCCCTACAAGTAGCCGAGCTTGGGGGTCGTCTCTCAGTCAAGCTGTGCACTTTCGCGCACAAGTTCAAGAATGCCGACAAGGCATTACGAAGTTTATCCAACGATGTGGCACTCACTTGTAGTGTGCTTCGTCAATTAGGCGACAGTATGCGACAGGATGATATGGTTTCTTTGTATTCCCCCGACGCCTTCGCCACTGCACAGGACGTGTTAGAAGAATGCAAGAAGGTTTTCAAGGACCTCGAGAATGAGATTGAGCAGCAGCGCCCAGATGCTTCATCCAAGTCTCGCATGGAACGGGCAACTCGCAAAATATGGTTTTTGATGAACGAGCCTCGTTTGGATGCGGTGGCTGGAAATTTGGAGCGACTGAAATCGACCATGCTTTTGATGCTCAATGTTGTCATTTATGCTGGACAGCTTCGCAGGTATTATATGATGACTTCTGCGGCTGGAATTGTTAACAACTAACCGATTCATAGTCGACATGAAGTGAATCTAGCGCAAGAGCAGCGCGAACTTCTGCAAATGCTAGCTGTGGAGAAGATTGAAAGTGAAAGGAAATTCGAGCAATTGACCGCGTCAATACAAGTTTTCACTTTGAATATTGAGAATCATGAAAATGGGATGCCAGCTCAAACACAAGATTATGATATAGCCAACGATGAGCTTCAGCACTACTACGATATGATAAAAGGTGTTCTAAATACCATAGATACCGCAGAGCGTTATTTGGATAAAAGTCGCTACCGAAGACTGAAGGCTGGATTCAGTGCCTTACATGAAGAGGAAGCTGTACGACTCAAGGAAGCTTATGGACCCAGAGCCTCTCATCTTCTCTCTCAGTTGAAAATAGCTCCGGCGCCCAACGAAGGTAGAACTATTCAGGAGATGCCTCAACCTCAAGGGCCGCCCTCGCGAGCAACACCATCAGAATTCCCCTCCAAAAAGAGGAAAAGCAAATCGAGACATCCTATCATGAGGACAACGCCATCACTAAAGAACCAAACAGAGTCATTGTATCCGGAAATGCCGACAATGATGGCTCATAAACCTCGCAAATCCGAATACAACGATCTAAGCATTCCCGATGTATGTTCTCGTTCACCAAAACTTCATAACAGTTGCGCGGAGCCCTAATAAAATGGTTAATAGACTGCCTTCAATCTCGACTTGGGTGATTTGGATAACCAAGACGCCCTGGAGAGTTTTGATTTTGATACCTTCCTCAACAATGACAAAGACGAGACCGGGTTCGGCTTTGATCCAAACATGCCCTCGGGGCTCGACATGAACTCGCTTGCGATGCAAGCGAAGCAGAAATGTGATGTCAAAGAGTCGTCCGCAATGGACGACACATCCCCGGAAACCCAGATGTCTGGATATTGCGCTGGACAACACTAGAAAAGACCGAGCTACGCCAATGAAATGTTTTCCTTAACAAGACCTATGTTTTCATCCTGAAATAAAATGCGCTATTTCAATTGTCAAAAGTATGAGATTATAATTATTTACTATAGTACTAGTAATGCAATGAATACGGCTTGAGCGACAGGCCAACAATTTATAGATCCAATTCCCTCAACGACCAGGTCATGCAAATGCAATTTTTTTCCAGCAAGCCCAAAAGAGAGGTTTGTCATTCATTCGTGATTTCAGAAAGTGGGAGATCATTATGCTTCTGCTTCTTGTGGCGTTCTGGCTCCGCTGGACTTGAGCAGATCCTCTTCCAACAGGCGCTGACAGAAAGCACTTTGCTTTCGAATCCAAGGTCCAAAATAAAGCAAAGCGAACGGGATAGGGATGCAGCCTAAGCTAGCGAATCCAAGAACCGATGTTCCCCATGCCACTCCGAGCTTTGCATAGAGGGGGTCGGCAGCTAGAGGGAACAGAGCGCCGGCAATACTTCGCAGGATCATCGAGGAGGCCAATGCGCTCGCAGAGTAGATTCGGTATGCATCAGTCACGTATGTGAGAAGCGAGATGAAAATACTCTGGTATCCGATACCAAAGACAAGTCCCGAGAGCACGGGGACAATCCAGTGAACGGAGGACTTGGCCGACCATGCCAGCCAGAATAGACTGATCGTGAGACAGGGGCCGGCGACACAAGATGTGGGAAGGCGATGATATTCAGGACTGGAGGCCCAGCGTTTTCCGGACTTTTTTGCTTTTTCGTAAAAGGCGTCGTAGAAGAGGGCGAATAGACAGGATGATGCGGCGCCAATTCCCACTGCAATGTATAAGTTTTTGGATAACTTCTCCAGATGAAGGCGTAATTTACTCACTTGGAATGTATGTAAGAGATGTTTTCGCAACATCGAAGTGGTATGTCTCTGCAGAAAATTAGTATTGGAAAATATTCTGATCATGATACGAAGACACTTACGCTGAAAAATGATAGGGTATGCTTGGAAGTAGAAGAATACCATGCTCCAGGCAAGTGAAATGAAGATGCCGGTGAAAAGCACGATGGGCTCGAAGACGAGCATTGTAAGAGGACGGGTGAATGTTTGAGTGAGGGTAAAAGCGGCATCAGACTTCAACTCTTGTGGAGCAATATAACGGTCGGATCCACTCTCCTTTCTCAATTTCCTGGAATGCTTTTTGAGTAAAGCAGGAGAGAAAGTTTCTTTGGGAATTGGATTAGCCGAATGAAGATTTGTGAATTTTGAATAAAGCTGGACTTACCCGATAGGAAGAGCAGTCCTATCCAAGTTAACCCACTGAGGATCAAGTCGATTCGAAAAGTCCAGCGCCAGCCATATTGAACTGAGCACCCGGAGATAATTGGACCGATGATGGGTCCGAAACTAGTGGCCTAAGAATGACGTTAGATTTCTATTATGTGTTGTGATGATCAACTTCGAGTATATCACCATACCGACATGTACATCGCCATTGCTCGACCACGAGCTCGCAGATCGGAAAACATGTCTGCATAAAGACCCCCGACAACAGTCTGAGGGGCAGCAGCCATGGTCCCACAGATGACCCGAAAAATCAACAGCGATGTCCAATTTGGTGCTAGAGCACAACCCAATGTGCCTAGCCAAAAGACAGTAAAAGTCCAAAAGATAACGGGCCTCCGTCCGATAGTTTCACTAAGAGGACTGAAAATGAGGGGCCCGATACAGTATCCAATCAGAAAAATGGCTGTTGGCAGGACTTTTTGCCCGCCGCCCGACAGGTTGAAATCCTGCATGATAGCGGGGACTGCATTACTAGGCAAAGAAGAAGATATTCCACTATTGAGCACAACAATAAGTGCAATAACTCCATTGTAGACTTTTTTATTCTATTGAGGATAACTGTTAGTATGGTCGAATGACTAGATATTTTGTGTATAACAGGAATATCATAGCATACAAGAGGCCAATTGTTTGGGTTTGCCTTCGAGTCCTCAGTGAACTCGACAAGTGTTTGATTGGTAGGCAAATCCACCAGTAAATAATCGTTATTATCCATTATGTCACCCCTGGACATTGTAGAGCCAGTTTCTTTCTCATTAGAAGTGGGTTTCTTATCTAGAAGCTGTTAGATGCCAAGGCAAGAGAAAGTGACCAGGGGCTGTCGTACTTGGAGAATGTTTGGCAAAGAAGGAATGGCCCGAATTCGAAATTATTACCATTTTGGATGTAGAGGGGCAAGCCCATGGAGATTCAGATACAGAAAGAGAAGGAAGTGAGCCTGTAGATCATGTCTATATCCAAATGTCTCCTAATTGTGCGGACGAGCTACTATATACTAAAGCTTTTGTCCACTATTTTATACGGTGGGGCAAAATCTCTGCGAAGAACTTGACTCACTACACCTAGAATTTGCAACCATGCATAGTGTTCCAAACTATTATGTTTGCGATCTTAGAAAGTATCCAATGAAAGGGGATGTATACTTCGAAATTTGAGTAAGTGGGTCGGAGACGGATCGGGGCCGGTCCCTAGGGCAAAACAGATCCGGCCCCGGTCAGGACCCGGTCCCTGACGGGCGTCTCCGAAGTCTAGATCCACCTCCGCTGCGTTATTTTTACTCATATTGTGGGTTACTTTGCCATCAACGCGCAATTTTTTGCGAATGTTCGGGGTCTGATACTGTATGGCGGCCCGAAATTTCGCTCTCAGCTGGACAAGTCCGTTGACTGATCGACGGACTATCAACATGAGACCGACTTTATGGTTTGAGAGGGCTAGCTACGACTTTCTAGGTTCATTCACGTCAATTCAAATTGCAAATGAATTGGTTCCATTCTCTCATTATCTCATTAATCTATTGTGGCATTGAAGGCATCATCGGGAGGAAATCGAATATATCGTTCTGTCCCTCCTCAAAAAGACCGAAGGAGTCCGCAATGGAGTTAGACATAGTCCAGTTGGGAGCTTCCATTGTATCTGGAAGTCTTGAAAGTGGCGGTCTAGCTGTAGCAGTTGTATCGTTGCTTGGAAGCGGGGCCATGCCTGAATCCTTGCTAACTGGAATGGAAGCCCCGGTTCTGTAGCGAGGATACTCTAGGGCTGTCGAAGGAGGGGGGTTCGGCATGGGACTATCGGCACCCCTGTATGAAGGCACGGACCCATCGCCTTGCTCCGATACATGTGGTCCTTCCCCGCTGTCATTGCTCTGTGGACACTGGCTTGCAATCAGAGCACGTGCATAGTTCACGAAGATAGAGACGGTGCGATGGATGTCCGGGTAGGGCGGCTGCTTCAAGAAATCGCAAATCTTTTCCGCTCTCTCCAAGAGAAGGTCTTGGTCTATCATATTTGGGCGCCAGCGTGCGATGCGAAGTGCAAAAGTCGCTGTTTGTTGATAAGCATGTCTGCCCAATACAAGTAGGTCTAGGTCCGAATGTCACACTTACTGACAAAGGCAATTGTCAGGGCCGGGTAAGTCGGCGCCCATGACAGCTGGCATCGGTAGGCTGGCTCATTGATCAGAAATGCCATCTGGTCCATAATCGTGGCAATGAGTGATTGCCACAAAGCCAGGACATCTTGATCGATGGTCTCAGTATCGGAATTAGATGAGGTAGGCTGTAGTTTCTGAATGCGGGCCAGTGAAGCACAAAAGACAAATATCCTAGCATATAAAAGCATAAGCTTCAAGCTACTCCGTTGAAAAGCCCCTGCATGGAATCCATTATCTTTCAAAGTAGTTAGCAGTTGAAGTATTGCGACATGGCAAACTGAAGTGCTCACTCATGTGGATTTCATCCCATGTGGTCCACCAGCTTTGTAATCTGGCCATTATGGCCGGTAGTTCTGTCGAAACAATGTCACGAATTTCTCCGCAGTTTTCGATCACCAAACGTGAATTTCCTTATACTTAGTTAGCCGAAGATTCACAATGATGAGTAATAGAGAGTTGTGGAGATTTCTTTACCTCGAAGTTGATGGAGTTCAACTATACATACTGTTCGCATGTCAGATGGAAGAGAAAGTGGATAATCAAGAAACCTTCGCAATTTCATGATGTCAACCTCTCCAATACGCGACTTTCGGCCTGTTCCAGAAGCCACATCTAGTTCTAGAGTGAAACTGATGAGCCATGTTCGTGTCTCCCACACTAGTTGACGATCTGCCATGGAAGCTGATAGCGAGCTTCTCGGGATTTCTTCTTGTGACAGTAGTCTGTCGAGCGACTTTTCGAGTCCAGAGTCTAATGCGGTTCTCAAGATGAGGGCAGTGGAGAACCAGGTCTTCTCCGAATATGCGGCCAACAGAATCATTCCCTGTACTGTCTCAAGCTTTGTAGGGCGCTCGAAGAAGCTATCTTCGGCCAATCTCTGAGCCTCGTCTTGTAGAACACGTTGCATGTGTGTGTCACTTCGGAGATCCACGACGGCGCGACTGGCCAAGTAAATTATCACGGTGAAGCAAAACAGAGAGCGTGACCGTATTGAATCAAATGTATCTCGGATCGGATCGAACAAACCCAAGAAATTCTTCATACCGCCGGTAAATCTAAATTACAGGATTAGGGATTGACTTCGGGTTGGTTTTAGGAGTCTCCTCTATGGGTCGGGTTGCATACCGATCATACATCACACGAGCACGTTCTTCCGTGATGATGTCGCGAGCAATGATGTCTCCTCGAGGATCACCCCCCGATGAATTCTCCATAAATATCTCAAGTATCTGTCAGCCAAGTCCAGCCTGTATCAAAAGATTCACAACTCACATCATCAGAACCGAGTAGATTCACAGACATCGAGTGAACTGCCGAAGCCGGGGCAACCATATCATTTGGACTTAGTTGCTGCGACTCCGGTCCATGATGATCTGCAGTTTGAGATCGTCTAGGTTCTCGGAAAGATGATGTCTCTGGTAGTAAGTCGATTGAAGCATCGAAAGAAGCATCATGACCAGCAGCTGGAGAGTACTCGCGTTCTCTTGATGCAGGTGTATGGAAGCCACTTCGGTGGTCCAACGGTGAAGCTACCGCCGAGGTTCTAAATCTAAACAAATCAGCACTGCGGGTTGTGAAATGAATTGAGATGTCCGCACCGTCCAGGGGTGGTTGTTTTTCGTCGGCGGTCACTGCCTCTCCTAGTGTCTTCAATAGGATCAAGAATGCAGTCGCGGCCCGTTGAGCGACAGCGGAAGCAAGGGACTTGATTCCGTGCGTCGCAGCGCATCTTCTGCCGACGACACCACCGGCATGCTTTGAAGAACCGGACCGGAATGTTCTCCGCTCGGAACACGATCTCCGAGCCTCTTTCACTCATAGCTGCGATCCAATCAATTCATAGCATTCCTGAAACGAGACCAAAGAGAGACGCGCTCAATAAACCTGTCTCGAGTCGAATTTCCCACAATGCTTCAAGTTATGCAGTGCGTGTTACTTTGCAGCTTCCGGTCGCGCTTGCGGGGAACGGCAATCTAGACCGGTCACGTGTGATGGGGGTATGTGAGAAATGCGCTAATCCAATTGGGATTTACGAAGTATAAGATTCGCCTAACTATGGGCAATACATGATTCCCAGGATTTAACTCTCGATATTGGTTGGAACTAACTCGGAATATAATCGTCCTGAGGCTCATCTTCTTCCTATGATTACAGTTTTGTCAAAATGCTAGCTATGATAGGACATGTGCTTCCCGCTGCCTCCACCATCATCTTCTGGCAACGTAATTGCGTAAATATCTTTACTAGCCGCCTACTCCTCATTGATCAGTCGAGCAGTCTGTAAGCCCTGGAGGCCTAGGAAATAGCAAAGCCTCCTTCTTCAAAGATGACATCGGAGAAGAGGAGCAGTAAGGAGACTTGAAATTCCGATCGAGTACAAATTTCCTCTGAAGCAACATTGCTCATTAAGCCCAGCGGCAATACGAACCAGAATAGTCACCCAGTGGCTGAGCTCTTTCTTGCCAGTGTCAAATGATTGACCTCGCGTATATTGCAATTCGCGGAGTAGCGCAGTGTACTGCATTATTCGAGAACAAACATATTAGGCGTAGTTCATAGCAAGGTCATGCGATTTGAACAAAAGCGGATGTATCCTTTCTTCGTCACGGTCCACAAATCCCGAGAAGGATTCGATTGGAAGTTCCTACTGCGGAAGTGTGGAATGCCATTCATCTAGCCTCCTAGATTCAGTTTTCAAAGATGCAAGGCACTTCTCAGCAGTAAGGCCTGAGAAATTTATCCCACTATGCCCTAGCTGTAGAAGAGCTATGTTATTGAGACGATATGATTCGCACGAAATCGACTTGACTATAGCTCACTGTGCAGAGTAGTTCATTCCAAGGTTTTGCTGTGAATATTGATGTATTCTATCTTGGTATTACTCCAATTATGCGGCTTCAAATATTGTTAAAATTGGGTCAAGAAGCATGGAATTTTTAGAAAGTTAGTTGTCATCCCAATTTCACCTGAACATATCAGTGAAAATACCCAACATGTCGTTCAGCCATGAAGCAGTGAACACAACGGAAGCCCCTCCTCCTCGGCCATTTTACAACCAAGCAGTCGTTGCAAATGGCTTTCTTTTCTGCTCGGATCAGCTTCCAAAGGACTCTACCGGCAGAATTGTCTCGGGGACTGTGTAGGACCGTGCGGTATAATCCCTTGTCTAAATTTCGTGTATTGGATGCAAATTTGTCCCAAGTCTGTCTGTTTCAGAATCAATGCATCAAAAACCTGAAGGCAGTACTTGAATCAGCTGTTTCCAGTCTAGAGAAAATGGTTGGGGTCAATGTCTTTCTAGCCGACATGGAAGATTTTGAGAAGATGAACGAAACGTACTTGCAGTGGTTTGGCGAGATAAAACCTGTCCGAACATAAGTAAACAGCCCCATTCCAAAGTTGCCACAAAAATAATTTCAAATAACATTTTGAATGAATGAATAGTTGCGTTGCGGCCAAATGAATTCCTGAATATACTGATTTTGAGATGAAGTGGGTTGCGCTCCTGTGATTTGAAGATACTATTGGTGCAGATCTAAATGGAAGTGCTGGATAGAATATCCTTTTCTCATTTCGCGAGTTTCTATAAGCTTTCCCCAAGTTCACCTCTGAGATAATGTGATCAATACCCTGGGCAATTCTAGACTTTCATTTCGGCTTTTAGAAGGCGGTGGCATTCTCAGTCTTCTGTAGTTAAGCGCCGACGGACCAAAGAGACGAGGAGAAGATGGAGTCGAACCCTTTGGGATTGCAGCCAAGATATTCCAAACTGGCGGTAGAGAGTTGACCCTATTAATAACTTCAACTTCTCTTTCGTCTCTGGCCTCCTTCGTCCTGATGGGCTTACTACTACTGCGTACTAGTAATACCAAACTCTCGATATGTTGAAAATCAGCTCGTCACCTTGGCCACCTGTGTTCTTGCAGATCCCTCATTCTGGAGTGATGTGTTGGGAAGATGCACTAAAAATAGAGTCATAGTTTGTTTCAACTCCAGGGAAGCCACTGAATGGGACGGCTCGGATTTTGCTAGCGAATATCATTCGTCGCCTACTTGATTATGTGTCCTGGGTGGTCCTCTCGAGCTTTTTTGGCCCCAATTTAGCGCCAAACAAGAGGCTCCCACCCCTTTGCAGTATGTGCGGGGCTCAAAGGGGATTTTTATTTAACAGGCTTAGAGTCCCGTCCTGATTCTCCTGAAATGTCGGCAAATCAAAAAGTTGCCGTTTCTCCCGCCGTCCAATATTAATTTCAATTCTTCATTCGACCATAAAGCCGCTGATACTCAACTTTCAACCATAAACAACCCAGGATGCAGATCATCAACAGCATTGTCCGGTTTTTCCAGGTTGGATATTTATGGTTCTGTGTTCTCGTTTAGGGACTAATCGTAATCCTAGGCCATATTTTCAATCGTTGTCCTAGCGCTTTCCATTTTACTTGCTCGTCAACAATATTATGGCAAAGTCCCGTCTCAAACAAACTATGCCGCTTTCACAGGTGCCCTGGGAATTGTTGCAGCTATAGTTGGGACTGCCTCAATGTTCATTGACCGTCTCAAGGGAATCATCTCGTGGGTTCTTGACGGGGTCACCGCAATTGCTCTATTGGCTGCTGGTATCGTATGTCATGCCCTTTACTCGTGCGATTTCGAGAAGAGGACTTCAAGACTTCTAGAGATTGAGGCTGATTTCATACACTAGGCTTATGCTGTGGCCTTGCGCGGTACTAATTGCGACGATGACAAAGTTGGTGGAAGTACCTGGGATAACCCGTTGATCAGCGGAGGTTGTTATTACGATGATGACGGCAATAAGTGGTGTCGTGACGGCGGAGTCGTTAAGAAGCGATGTACACGCGCCACTGCCGATACTGCATTCATGTTTCTTGCTTGTATTGCTTGCATTGGAGCACTGGTATCCTCTTACATCACCCGGCATCGTTGAGCATGTGATTTACGACTCGGGCTTTGATCGTAGACACGAACGATGCAACAGAAACTATCCAACTTTAATTTCTATAAGACTCTTCCGCCTTTTATCTAGGTATTCTGCGCGAACGTACCAATGAATACCATCGCGAAATAATCTTGCTTGTTTCGCGTTCTCTGGGGCTGGATCTTGCAAGTCCGGGTAGCCTTGAAAGAATTATGCTTTGAAATTGCTTTTGGCTCTCTGACACGAAACACCTGGGCAGTCATTGCCAATCAAAATTCAAAATGCCTTGGGGCATTTCTCACCCAAAAAGATATTTTGTTCGAATTCCGGAGCGCCTCTGTTGGTACTCAATTCAATTTTTTGACTTGCCATGGATCCGACACCGCCTGTCAGTGGCTGGCTACATAGACTACTCAAATTTCAGCTCTGCATAGTACTAGTATCTGTTGCATAGTAATTAATAGTATCTGTATCACGCAAGTCCACATTGAATCCGAGGAAGCAAAAGCATCTTCTGTATATCACGTTCACTTCCATTATGCCTTTCAAGATACATGCAAATCGCCTGGCATTCCAGCCGAGCTCGCCTCTCAACCCACCATAAGGAATCCCACATAGCCCCATACCAGTAGGCCATGATAAGGAGGGCGCGGGAATCCTTTTGATGTAACAAGACTCTAAAAGGGACTTTCATGAAGTTCAGGAATACAAGATAATTCTTCATGGTTGCCCTTGTACATTTGATCGGTAACAATTGTGACAGGGTGGAGACAGCTGAATAGTAGGGGTTGCGGTCGCAGGCCAATGGTTCGTCGAGGCGACAAAGTTCAACGAATTCGGGTAGCATATCTTGGACCTCTAAGATAGAAGGCTCAGTCGACATTGTCACGTATTCATCTTTCATGAAATGAAAGACGCTATCGGGTCGTAAAGGATCTGTGGCCTTCCAGAGAGCCATTTTACCTCGAGTCAGATGAAGCCATGTCAGATCAGACGGATCGGCTGGCTTCATTGGCCAGGCTTCCGTCGGGGTGGATGCCTCAAGAGAAGTGACGTTTGCAATGCCTAGCATAGCAGCAGAAGCCCAGAGAGCGTCACGGTCCTGGGGCCGTATTGGAGATGAAATCTTTTGATTCAGTGACGCAGCTCCCCGAGACCAGTGATAGGACTCGATCAGAGATCGCTGTGCGTTCCTTGGGCTGGCTAAGAATCTTTCATGTGTTGCAGTGATAACTTGAATGACGTGCATCAAAAACGGATACTTTGGAGCATTTAGTATGATTTGTATTTATTTGCCTGCAATAATGAGCTCGATGACTTACTTCCATGGCCATTCTGACGACCTCATTTTTGTATAGCTCGGTAGAACGCATTGTAGCAAAAGTATGTACTGTATGGGTTTGAAATCGGCTCAGACGAGCAAGTCCTTCCACTTCCAGTGTAAATGAGTCAGGTCCATCCCCTACAATTGCGAAGGATTGTAAAGAAGGCTTCAACGTTTGAGCCCCGAAGAATACGTGGCCGGGAGAGCTTTCGAGCTTATGCTCTGTAGCCAACTGAAGATCAGAGCCCGTAGGTAGAGTATAATTACATGCTACCCCATAATTCACACATTTCATGCAGTGTGGTTTGGCTTCGTCACACTTGCAATTTGCTATATTCAGATTCAGTTTTAGAGTTGTGGTGGTGATTAAGAACGTACTTTGACACGACGTATCTTGCAATTCCGGCATCCACGGCGAGACTTGGTATGCTTCCGACGTCTTCTATCGTCTTCCTCGGGAGGGGCTGATACCGAAGGCATATTGCCTCATACTGTATTGAGATGGGTCAATTCGGATCAGGATGCATGAGGGGTAAATTAAGGGAGATGTGAAGTTGGTGGCAGGGCCGGCGGGTCGATTGCGCCGACCGCAGCCTTACTCTGAGCTTACCTGATGCCGATTGGTCATTTTGGGAATTAAGTGGGTCGACGCTAACCACCTTTCGTATTTATATGACACTAATCCAATTTAGGAGGTCTACCATCCGGAGTTATCGAAAGCTCTTGAGTTAGGGACACGCAATGAACAATGGAAAATCAAGCCATGGGGTTATCAGTCTTATTTCCGTTGGAATTCGGGATTCGGGAGAATTCAAACCTCACCTAGGGTATAAAAGATCCCAGAAATCCATCTTAGTTGATGCATACTCAAGAAGAACTTCCTTTTCAACAACTTTCATTCTATACAAAGTTATCTCACTTCATACTCGATCTATCACTAAAATGCGAGTCTTCGTCACCGGTGCCACTGGCTTCATTGGTCAAGCAGTTGTCCAAGAGCTTCTTGACGCAGGCCATAAAGTCATTGGACTCGCTCGCTCGGAGGAATCGGCTACTGCACTGCAAGCGAAGGGTGTTGATGTCATCCGCGGATCTCTCGAAGACATCGAAAGTCTCAAGCGCGGAGCAAGAGAAGCCGATGGAGTCATCAATCTGGCCTTCAATCATGACTTTACCAAATATGAAGAAAACACCAACACCGAGTATGCAGCTATTCAGGCTATTGGCGCTACTCTGGTTGGGACCAACAAACCTTTCGTTATCACTATGGGTACCCTAATCTTGCCTAAGGGCAAATTGGGTGTCGAGGAATCGGTCATCGACTATGACGATGCCATGAACGTGCGCGCTAAAAGTGAGAAGGAGGTGGATATTCTTGCAGCCCAGGGTGTACGCGCCTCGGTAGTCCGGCTTTCGCCAACAGTACATGGCCCTGGCGACCTCGCGTTTATCAATATGCTTGCCCAGATTGCTCGTGGAAATGGCGAGGCGGCGTATATTGGCAATGGGCTCAACCGTTGGCCAGCTGTTCATCGTCTTGATGCTGCACGTCTATTTCGCCTGGCTACTGAGAAAGGTGTTGCAGGAGGGCGGTATCATGCGGCTGCGGAAGAGGGCATCCCATTCAAGAATATTGCGGAAGCTCTGGGTCAAAGTCTGGGTCTTCCAGTAGTGTCAAAGACACCTGAAGAGGCACCAGCATACTTCAGAGGCTTTATTGCCGCCCTTGCTGGTGTGGATAACCCTACTTCTAGCACGAAGACTCGGGAAACACTCGGATGGAAGCCTTCCGAGTCGACTCTCCTCGAAGATATCAAGTCAGGACTATACAATGATGCAAAGAGCACAAGCCTTTCCGTTTAGTTTAGTATACGCAGAGCTTGTCGGTTGATTCAGGGGTTGAGATTAGTGCAGAATTTTGAGAACTAAATGTATTGACTTTCCCCAAATTTGGTTTTATTGACTGATAGCCGTCGGCAGCTTTATTCAATACTGGTAGTCACTTTAGGGATATCAGAATCTAGCATCATCCTCATGTCCTCGACAAGCAATATTGAGTAATTTGGTAATCTCAGACAGCGTTGCCACATGCCGTCCATTTTAGTTGAACCTCTTTCGGATCCTTGACCGATAATGTCAACTTGGTCACGGTGTCTGTTATGGCCCTTTGAAGTCTGAGCGCCGGATCTTCGGGTTTGTCTCCAGGGACAGTGAGCGGCGAGCAGCGACAGTTTCGGAACAGGATTGCCATTGTCGCGACGAACTCTACCTGCGAGAACCTCAAGCCTGGGCATATCCGTGGTCCCCCTGACCAAGGGTAAAATGTACCTTTGTCGGGAGTGATGAGATCTCCCGAGTCATCAATCCATCGAGAAGGTCGAAAATCCATAACGTCGTCACCCCAAATTGCCGGGTCCAAGTGAATGATGGACTGCTCAACAAAAATATCCAAGGGAGGCATGAGAATATAAGTCTGGCCATCGGTTCCAGTACTAAGCGATGTGGGGTTGAAGATGGCACGGGTGGTGTGTTCCACTGGTGTATACAACCTCAATGTTTCAAACTATGGACAATACCATCAATATCTTTGCAATCAGATCGATCCAAGAAGGGTACGGAATACCATACCATCAAAGCCAGCGTGCGCTTGCATTTTGGAAAAGTATTTTCGTAATTCCAATTGGATCCTGCCATGTCTAAGCCGTGAATTTCATGCTGAATCCAGTCTTGCCATTCAGGATAAAGAGCTAGAAGTATCACTGCAAACCCCATAGTATTAGCAGTGGTTTCAAACCCAGCCGAAGTAAATACGAAAAGATTTCCGCTAATTTCCTCTTGTGTCAGTGAAGGTTTTGCCTCATGCTCGTTATTCTCTTCCTCCGAAAATTGAAGCATTAGGCTTAGAAAATTAGATTCGGTGTGTGTCTTGCCGCAATTTGATTCTCTTTCGTTTCGAAGGATTTCCTGAATATACCGAGGAGCCCGTTCCAGATGATACCCCATGCTTTGTAACGCGAGCGGCATGAAGGGTAGCTGCATAATCTTCCGGGGAAGAAATGCTGCTTCTAGAATCATAGTCGTCACCAAACCCAGCATTCCAAAGTAGGCTTCTTTTCCTGTTGCACTTTTTGGAGGAATGCCCAAGTTATTTGGTGACCATGGCTGTTGCCAGTTATATCCAGCTTTTCCGATGACGTTGATTGCTATACTGCGGAGGCCCTCCAGGGTCTCATTGCCTGGGTGATCCACGAGATAGTTGACCATGTCTTGTGCTTGCTGAAGTGTTTCAGTCCACACCACTCTGCTGATTCGCTCATCAAGGTTCTTATTGAACATTCTGCGATGTCGCTTCCTAAATTCCAGTTTGTGATCTTCAGAACGGCTTCTTGTCTAAGAAGGCGCCCGTCATGGAAACATACCATTCATCGCCATTTGTCTATTAGCCAAGCCTTGTTAAAAATCAAAACTGAGATCAAGATCGCATGTGAACTAAAGACTCACCATGAAGACATTAGACCCCAGAAATCCTAGGATGCTACTCACAATAGGGGCTTGTTGAAATTCGTTCCTATTTTGTAAAATTGCGGTGCCAATGGCTGGGTCTGCGCACCTGTTTTCAATAATCGAGTCAGCCCAGTCATGTATTGTAGTCGAATTTTTGAGTTCGTGGTTCGCGAAATATTTGTTTATGTTAACACTTACCATATCGTGAATTCATCCGGAGTTGCAACGGCGAAAATTGCCCCAAGACGATCGTGATACCATCTCTTCCGACGGGACTCCCATCCATGAATTGCTACATCAATCCGATCGTAAATCAAGCTCGGGAGATATTTTTCCAGATGAGGCTGCAGCATTGGTGCAAATACCACCCACAACGTGCTCTTGGTAAAAGCAGGTATGACATGTACCGGAAGCCCAGAGCGGCGAGCATGATAGTAGTTCTTGGCGAAACATCTAAGCTTGTAGATAACGAAAATCACAACCAAAGATTTGATCAAAATGAAGATTGAGAGCTTCATAGCTGGAGCATATGGGTTTTGTGACAGGAAGCGATCGGCAGCCAAAAAGCGTAGGGGGCACCAATTAATAATAGCTTCGGCACGGTGAGATCAATTTGGGGGCGCGCTGACATTGCTCCACTGGCATCATCATCACTGGCTCCCCCTTGGCTCAGCCCCTATCGCGACTGAGCCTAACGTTACTAGTCGATTTCACCATCCAATTGCTTAGCACTGCTTATTAACATGCTTTGTCATTGTAATCTTATGTTGAATAGTTTTCATGAGGAATTCTAAATCGAGCAGACTGATACCATTTTCCATACAATACTACATTTCCCCATAATGACCGATTCCAGGTCGTGAAAGCCCTTTTGGTCTGCATGGCCAATTAGGATTGACAACACGCCGCTCACTCTCAGAGGTTGCAAAAAAGCGTAATGGAATTCATACTAGTACGTTGGTTCTTCTGTCTGCCATGTTAATATCATGATGTCGAACGACAGTAGATGAAAAGAAAAGAAAAAAACAAGCATTTCCGACGTCATCTATCGCCGGTCACGTGGTTCGGCTTTAATGTTGGCGGCCTTACTTCTTCTTTCTTTCTCCTCTCCCATCATCAGATCTGAGAGAGAAAGATAATATGGAAAAATGGAACATAAACACTCTAGAGCTGAGGGGCCAGTCGAGTCATGTTCAAAGCCTGACACAAATTCGGTAAAAAGGCGAAGAGTCCGCAAAGGCACGTCCAGTTGCTGGGAATGCAAGCGTCGCAAACGACGTTGCGAACGCGATTTGAACTCCCCAATTTGTCTCTCCTGTCAGCGACATTGTGTTTCATGTGTCAGTCAGGAGTTACCCGACGCTACTCTGAAAGATTACCGAGAAATTGGACAACGCGTTAATCATGTTGAAGCCTTGGTCAACAAGCTCGTCCTGCAAAGAGAAGGGAGGCCAAGTCGAAGACAGCAATCCGATGCTTCGTCGGGTCAAACCGTGGCCAAAGGCGCAGAGGGATTCACATCTCTTCCAACTTTACGATCGGTTTGCCATGAAAGATTGTCGCGTGGTCGCTCCCTCAGTGGCTATCTTTTCTCCATCCTACCCCACCCTGCCACTTCGATTGTAATCCTGGGCAGCAGTGCTTTATTTTCTTCTCCTTTACAAAACTCTCAAGCACAAGAAGGTGTCAAATTCAATGTTAGGCACGCTGAACCAGAAATTGGTGGGCAGTCCACAGCTCATCCCTTGGTGCTCGCCCGAAGACTCGTCCAGCTCGCTCTTTGCCTGAAACAGTTCGATGCCTCATCTTCAAAGCAGCTGGAATCTCACTTGAATAACTCGATCGACAAAGCCTCTAGGAATTACCAGGAAATTGCCTCCCGCTTCGTCTTGTCCCAGGACTTTTTGGTTGATTCCCTCGACGGGGTAGAAACGCTCATTCTACAATCGTGTTACCATATCACAATTGGCGATACTCGAATGGCCTGGGCGGTTCAGTGCCGTGCCATAAATATTGCCCGCGCAATAGGCATCCAGAACCTAGCCGACATGGGGGACAAACGTGCTGAGCATATATGGTTTCGATTGGTTTATAGCGACCGATTTATGGCATTGATGCTTGGAATTCCATTCACCACCACCGATGCAGACTCGTCTTTAGAGACCCAGCTCCAGAATGGCACATCGTCGCAAAAGCTGGAGTGTCTCCATGTGACCATTGCTGGACGCATCATTACTCGCAATCTCCAAATGCAACAAGAAAGTCATCAAGAGGAGCTCAACAGTCGCGATATACGCTATAATTCTCATAGCGAGACTAAGAACATCGACGAGCAACTGAAGAAATCTGCCAAAATCCTCCAACCGACCTGGTGGCTAATGTTCTCTCTAGCAAACACAAATACAGGGATGGGTTCGGTTGGAGATACGGCAAAGCTCCTGATGCAGCTGCACCAGCATTACCTGGTTATACTTCTACATCAACCATATCTCATCCGGCTAATTACATGCGCACACGACTCGGTCTCCTTGGAACATAATTCAAGGGACTTCACCTACAGCAAGCTCGCTGCCGCATCCGCTGGCCGCGAGGGGCTTTTGCGGTACCTTGCCATCCGTGAACTACATCATTCGCCGACGTATCGTCTAACGGACGAGAAGATGTATACATGCGCCATTGCTCTTCTACTTGCCCATTTGGATGGTCATAGATACGGGAGTGCCAATGTTCTTGATCATCAGCGGCATCATGATCTTGGACTTATCAGCGAATCTATCAAGATGGTAGAGAAAGTTTCAAAGGCAAATAATGATCCAAGGGGTTTGGTGCTCATTCAAATTCTGAGAAAATTCATCTCTATCGAAGATGCAGCAGCAGAAGGCTCTACGTACCATGCATGGTGTGATAAAAGCACCCAGGCCAGCGACTATAACCCGGAGAGGCTTACAAAAGACTACTTATCACTATTGATACCATACTTTGGGGGAATCCACATCTCATGTCGAGAGCCATTCCTAACTCAGGAGCTGGCCATTCATAGTGTGTGCTTAGGAGATATGATACAAGAGCCTCAGCCAGGTCTGGACCACACGAACAAAACGGCCCAAGAGCTACTTGCGCTAAATCAAAGATGTGAGGAAGAAGAGGCACGTCAATTGTTCGAAAGTTGGACCCAAGCATCTCCAGGCACAGAAGAAGGATAAAAACATGCAAAATATGGATAAACAACTGCAAGCCCATGACCATCTCCTCTGGTGTCTATTCTTCAAGAGCCGGCGTGTCTCCAAACGAATACCCAGTGAGATTCTGAAATCTATCCCCAGCAATACCTTGCGCCAATTGCCGCATGTGAGCTTCCTCTTCCCTTGATAATGAAACCGAGAGACTTTCCAAGTTGGATTCCAGTCGATCGATTTTCGACGACCCAGGAATAGGAAAAATATCATCACCTTGCGCAAGCAACCAGGCAAGCGCTAGTTGAGGCAAAGTCGCATTCTTTGCCCTTGCGATCTCAGCAATCTGGTCGATTATCGCCACATTTTTTTCGAGGTTCCCCTCTTGTAGCCATGGCAAAACTCTTCGCTTATCTCCAGGGGTTTCCGCAATTTTGTGAATGCTTCCCGCGAGAATCCCATTTGCAAGAGGGCTGTATGCAACGATGGCGACCCCCAGCTCTCGAGCTGTCTCAAGCAGGTTCCGATGCGGAGATTCAATCTCCGTGCAGAATAGGCTATACTCGATCTCCACGCAGGTAATCGGATGAATTGCATGTGCGCGACGAAGAGACTCGGCACTGCACTCGCTCAATCCGATGTTCTTGATCTTCCCCGCGTTCTTGAGGGCCAACATCATCTCCATTGTCTTCTCGATCGGAGTGACTTTGTCGAGGCGGTGGACAAAGTATAGATCCACAAATGGTAGACCAAGTCGTTTGAGAGAGGATTCGATACAAGTTCGGCAATATTCGGGACTCGAGTCGATAGTGTATCCCGGTGCCGCGTCTGTATATTTGATGCCGAATTTGGTAGCCAGGAAGATATCTTTGCGCTTTTCAGGGTTCTCTATGAACCATTTCCCTACAATATCCTCGGAATCGCCGTATTTGTCGGCTTTTGACCATGATGAGCCAACAGGGTCTGAATCGGATTGACGAAACTGGGCGAAATACTAACCGGTATCCCAAAACCACTGGCCTCTTTCATAAGCCTCATCCAAGAAGCGTAGCCGTTCTGTTTCTGGCGCTGAGTATCCATATTGGCCACTCAACCCCATCAGGCCCAGTCCCAGGCGTGGAACCAGTGGTCCATTTCGGCTGAGGGGTCGTGCAGGCAAAGTCCTGAGTACGCTCATGATGCTGCACTTTGGGTGAATGTTTGACGATAAAAAATACTTGATTGAAATTGATCAGATTGAAAGTTATTATCAAGAATCAGTTGGGTATTTATGTCTAATGAAACCCGGTCTTTGCGGCGGACGAGTACACTCTGGCGCATCTCCGGCCAATCAGGATCTTCCGCCGCAATCTCCGCTTATCCCCGACTGGCACTGAACGCCTGACTATGGGGAAATAGTTACTATTCAACACGTTACAAAAACTTGAACTGTCCAGCCCTGGAGGTTGGAAAAAATACGGCAAATATTTAAGTAGCCAGTGTTAATTATAAGATCTATCAATTTCTTTATGCTATAGGTCGTTTCTATTCTCCATCTATTTAGATCTTGCTCGTTCTCTCCTCGTGTCGAGTACCATTTGAGAGACCAGTCTCGATAGCCTTGATTTGAAGGGCCAAGAATTTTGAATAGATACGGCAAAGGGCAAGGTTTCCTCCAAAATACCAGAAGCCAGGATGGCCACTGGGACGCCACATCTTCATAGCAGTCAGCATATTTACATTCAAGTCAATGATGAATCGCTACCAGGGTTTCTTACCGCACGAAGTTCTCCTTCCTCGTCCAAGTCCCACACGTCGGAGCAACGATCTGCAATTTTGTCGCCTAGAACCTTTCGCACGGTGGTTCTCATGTTATCGTAGCCGGTAGCCAATACAACAACATCGGTGGGTAGTGCAGTCCCGTCGGCCAGTTTTAGCTCTTGTGTGCCGAATCCATCGATGCCACGGGGACTATGCTTCACCTTGATCTTACCGTCGCTAATCAGCTGGCTGCATCCCACATCTATATAGTAGCCACCGCCAGCAGTATAGTAAGCACGTGCGATACCAGCTCCATCGGGCCCGAAGTCCAATTGAAAGCCCGCACGACGTAGTCCGTCCAGGGTATCCTTCTCGGCCTCAGCAAAGCGTCTTGTCCCATGCACGCTCAAAGCAAACTGAACTGGGAATGGCAGACTCTCGGATACAATGTCACATTGCTCAGTTGGGGGGGCTAGAGAGATCAGTGGTCAGAGATAGAGCCCAACTTGCATAGGGAACTATTTGCAAACTTACCCTCCATCTTCATGCAATCCCTCATGCATCATAAAAACACCCTTCTCGGCAGTGATAACATAAGTACCGCTGCGCTGCAGCATGGTCACATCTGCCCCATTTTCACAGTAATTCTGGGCGATATCATGACCACTATTGCCAGTTCCTACGACCACCACCTTCTTCCCACGGACATTCAACTCGGCCGCATCACGGTGTTGGCTGCCATGATATACAGTGCCCTGGAAGCTGTCTTGGCCAGGGAATTTGGGGACACGGGGCTCTCCTGAATGTCCAGTACACCAGACAACATGACGCGGGTTTAAGACACGCTGGGATCCATCGCCGCGAGTCACGGTAACTTTCCAATCACCTGTTGAGTCGTCATAGTCAGCAGAGGCGACTGAAGTTTGCGTCCAAACGTTCAATTCCATGATTTTGGCGTAGGCCTCAAACCAATCGCCTAATTTATCTTTCGGGGTGAACTGGGGCCAGTTCTGAGGGAAGGGAAGATAGGCCATGTGGGTGAATTCCGCAGGGTCGTGTGTGACCAAAGTCTAGTTTAAGTTTATTCAGCCTCTCTCCATATTTGAATCCATGGATCGCATTTTTAAGGAGGGGGGAATGGGGGTATTCACACGATAGCGCTTGCGCCAATTGTCGCCAATCCGCTCATGTTTATCAATAAGTAGACAAGAAAGACCGAGATTTTGCAATCGTGCTCCCATATTCAGACCAGCTTGGCCTATAGATGCTTTGTATTAGCAAATTCTCGAACCGTCCGCGCAAGCGATGAGCTTGAAAAGTTCTACTAGTAGAGTAGGACTTACCAGCTCCGATCACTAGAACAGTCGGGTCCTCATCCAGAAAGTCCTGTTGTCTCTGCCTTCTCTCAATCCAAGTTCCACCCTCCAATCCCCCAGGCATAGACTCTGTAGTTCCCTCCGGTCTACGTTTGCCAAGGGGCTCTTCTGCCCCCTTCAATTCCTGCAGCGAAGTATAAATGGCATAAGCCTTCCAACGCCCCTCAGTCGACTGCGTCAGACGAAGCATTCCCGAACCAGAGCCAACTGCCGTCTCGAAGAAGAACATGCTTGACACCCAACTCAACCCATCGACAACTTTATTCCAGGACGGCTTGAATTGGCCCTTATTCTGAAGTCTGAAATTGGACAGCACGGAGGGACCCTGGCGCTTGCGCAGGAAGGCTTCGATCTCGGTAGCCGTGTGAATGGTACGCATGTCCCAATCCAGGGCGAGCATGTCGCGCCACCAGGAGTCTTCATGGAAAAGCGATGCCAGATTGATGCTCTCGGGGCGAGCGAGTTGGACTTGCAGGTCTGTGAGCCATTGCTGGGCGATGGCCTGCGGTTCCGAGGGTGAATTCGAGGGCGTCGTGGGCAGCTGGATGATATGCGGGTTTCCACCCGTCAAAGTTGTCGCCATTATGGTGTATATCCTCAGAGTCAAATTTTTGTCTCCAAGTTGACCTAAATTCAGAGTGTGCTCTCTATCTTTATAGGTTAGTTCTTAGCGATGTGATCATGGTCAGCGGTCCTCAAGGCGGATCCGCATTAATAGACATTTTCCCATTGTACCGACAGTCACCATTCTCATGCTTGGGGTAAATTAACCGATTCTGGCGTACAGAGGGGCAGCGTGGAGAAACAAACGTCACAACACGCTCGTCAATTTCGCCAGTCGCGCCCTTCTCCCCGTGGGTTGCGGGGACCCTCGGAGTAAAACCGACCGAATTGCGGGGGGCAAGTTTGCCGAGGTCCCGAAGAGGGATATTCAAGCGCCTGGTTCGCCAATTCTACCTTTTCAGGAATCCCGAGCGCTCGAATTACTAGATTAGGTTGTGCGAGGATGCAAACGAGATAACTGTGTTAATTTGGGCTTTTCCACGTGTTATTGCGGCCTCGCGCTTAGCAAAGGCCCGCTTAGTACGGGCTTACTGCATGAACTGATTGAACTGATATCCGTTCTCTAAATTAGAAATAGACACTCAAGCTTCATTAAAACAGTGATTCAATTGACATCATGTTTCCAAAGATTGGTGGATAACGCTCGTCCTGTACGTCTCGCTGCACTGGACAAGTTCGTCATGAGTCCCTTGTTCAACACAGCGGCCTTCTTCAATGAGATAAATACAATCTGCTCGATGGATGGTATTCAGCCTGTGAGCAATCGCAATTATTGTCGTACGCCCGGCAAGCGTAGCCAACGCATCTTGGATCTTTTTTTCGGATTCCACGTCCAAAGCGCTGGTGGATTCATCAAGCAGCAGCATGCGCGGTTGACGGACCAGAGCACGAGCAATCGAAAGCCGTTGCCGCTGTCCACCGGAGAATTGTTTTCCGTCGTGGCTGCATTGTGTTTGATAGCCCTTCGGTAGGGCCTCGATAACTTCGTGAATGTTAGCCATGCGGCATGCCTTTTCAATCTCCTCTTGGGTGGGCTCGTGGCCAGGCCGAGCGCCAAGGCCAATGTTGAAGGCGACGGTGCCTTCGAACAACACGTTTTCTTGGGGTACTAAAGCGATATCGTCGCGAAATTTTGTTCCTAGCTGCCGCGTCACATCCACGCCATCAATGATCACGGCGCCTGATTCTGGTCGATAGAATCGCTCTAGCATTGCAAATGTTGTGGACTTGCCTGAGCCACTCGGGCCAACCAGGGCACAGAATTGGCCAGCTTTTATCCTGAGGCTCAGGCCGCAAAGCACTGGCTGACCTGGTCGTGACGGGTACTCAAAGTGAACGTTTTGCAGTTCGGCACCAATACCAGTCATTGCGGGGGGAGCACCTGGGGAGCTTGGGGCTCTCTCTTCGTGGTGTGCCGCTTCTGGGTCGGGTATCTTTTCATCCAAAAGATAAAGATCGTTGGCCATGGTCTTTGTCGAGATCTCAAACATCAATTCCTCGTCAGCCGACCGAGTGGTAAGCAACTCAGCGATATTTGAGGCAGCAATCCCTGCCTTCGAGATATCTGGGGCGAGAGCAAACATCTGTCCACAAGATTGAGTGCTGAATAGAAGAGCAGGTAACACGATGAAAAATTGCACCTGGGTATAGGCACCAGACGTGATCTGCTTAGTACCCCACCAATACGCCAATGCATAAACAAGATTACTAATGCTGAAGGCAAGGGCCAGAAAAACGTTACCAAATGCGATGGAACGAAGGGTCTCACGATAGGGAGCTTTCATTGCCCGCTCGAACGCAGCATAGGACTGTTTTTCCAGCGAGAATGCCGATACAGCTCGAATGTTGTCAACGGCCTCCACTGTGACCGCAGTCGCCCGTGCAAACGCCTTCTGGTGCCGCTCAGAAAAGTTGGCCTGTGTTCGGAGCTTCATCATACCAGCTAGCAGGAGAACTGGAATAGCTGGAACAAGAACGATGGCAATTTTCCATGCAAAGATAAAGGAAACGACGAGCCCAGCCACCAGGTTTACGGCTGTGGCTAGCAACAAACCTATAGTCGTTCCCGTGATGTTTCCTAGCGAAGTTGCGTCTCCCGTAATGAATGCGAGGAGAATTTCTGGGGTCCGGTCTTCCATTCCATGCCATGGAATGGTTTGGCCTAGCAGAGATCGCAGAGACAAAACGCGAATACGATAAAGGACCTTGTCAGCCGCCCAACCAAAGGCACATCCACCTATCACGTTGGCTGAGAGCTCGATAAGTGCCACGATGAAAAACAGAAGTCCATAGAGGTGACCGCCATGTCGGATACCATCTGCTCCAATGCAGGGGCTTAGACTACCGACTGTATGACCGAAGATGACAGCTTCCGCTGTATAACTCGCGCCAATGACAATAGACATGCCCAGGCCTAGCAGCACAAACTGCATATTGGGGCGAAGCAGCGTAAATGTGAATTTTGTGGTAAACCAGCCTGAGCGTTTCCGCTTCCTTTTTTCGCCCTTTTTTTGTGGCTTTCCCTTTTTGTTGGTCCCATTCCCGTTGGGAGCAGTAAATATCGTTTCATCCGTGACGTCGATTCCACGAGCTTCAAGAAGAGCTCCTTTCGTATCGATTGTGTGATTTTCGCTGTTTTCTGCTTCTCTTGCTTCACGAATCAAATCCGATTTTATTGATACTGCAGGACTTAGCTTTCCAAGGTTCTGGAGACGAACCATCTCAGCATAGGAGCCACCTTGGGCAACCAGATCAGTATGAGACCCCTCCTCAACAACAATCCCCTTTTGTATAACCACAATTTTATGAGCGTCTTTCGCAGTGGATAGGCGATGAGCAATTGACACCATAGTAACACGTTGGGCCACCTTCGCCAACGCGTCCTGGATCAAGCGTTCGCTGGTTGAATCCAGGGCCGCCGTCGCTTCATCAAGAATAAGAAGTGCGGGATCCCGGACAAGAGCCCGAGCAAGTGCAATACGCTGCTTTTGACCACCACTCAATTGGCTACCGGAGGATCCTACGCTGGTCGCAAAGCCATGCGGAAGAGCTTCGATGAAAGTGAGCGCATTTGAGCTAGATGCAGCTTCTCGGACCAGTCTCATAATCTCGGTAACTTCGGGGTCATGGTTCTCAAGTGCATTTTTCTCAGATAAGCCGATGCGCATCATTTCTGCTAGATCCGCTAGGCTTGAATTAAGAATAAAGGGAGCGAGAGCGATATGGGGTTCCGAGGCGGAGGTGACCAGACCGTATGCGATATTTTCCAAGATCGACCGATCAAGTAGGGATGGCTCTTGCTGCACGAAGCCAATATTTCCTCTCAGGTAGCGCACATTCAAGTCACGAAAATTTTGTTTTCCGATATAGATACCCCCCGACTCGGGGTCGTAGAAACGTTCAAGAAGGGCAACGATGGTTGATTTCCCTCCACCAGAAGGGCCGACTATCGCAGTATGTTTCCGGGGAGGAATGGCAAAATCGACTCCCTGTAAAACCGGTACCTCCGGGCGAGATGGATAGGTAAATTTGACATTCTGGAAAGTTATGTTCTCTGAATCAAATGGTGCTGTTTTATCACCAGAATCGGATGTTCCGTCAATCAGTGAGTCGCGGTTGATGACGGTCAGAAGTCTATCAGATGCTCCAGCGGCAGCTGCAAAGACATGGACAAATGGAGCGACTTGGCTGAGAATAAAAGAGGCATCAATAAGAACAAAGATCACAGTATAAACTGCACCGACGGATGTTCCAGAGCCACCTGCTTCGACGGAATCTGCAATCAAGCGAGAGCCTTCCCAGAAGGCTAAAGCATTTGAGCTGTAGGCGATGAAGTAGAGTAGACCTAGTTGGGCTGCATGCGTTCCTGCTTTTTTAAGTGCGTCCATTCTTGATCCGGCAAGATGGTCGGAATACAGCCTCTCCAAGCGGTCGTGGGAGTTGAAAGCATGCACAAGGGTCAGATGTGACAGACTAGATGAGGCAATAGACGTCGCAGCATTGACATGCTCTGCGATGCGACCCGCATACTTTTTAATGTAGTAGCCACCGACATATGACATGAGAAAATAGCACGGCACGACCGAGACTAGCATTCCAGCAATCTGCGGTACTTTGATGAAGGCCACGATATACGATGTGACAAAGTACGAGAGTGTGGAAATAACAAGTCCCACCTTCTCGGATGTCCCTGATTGTACCACCTCAATATCGCTGACCAGTCGGGAGATCACATCCCCTGCTGGAAGACCCTCGATATAGCCCGTTTCTTGTCTGATGATGCTTTCGAAATAACGTCGGCGAAATCTCCTTGCAATACGTTCACTGATGTAACTCCAGCAACTGCAATGGATGTATATGAAGCAGAAATTGGCAATTGTGATGTAAATCACATATAGCACCTTCTTCTGTACGCCATCTGCCACATTGGTATCGACATTCTCGGATGGCGAGCAAGTGGCCGTGTTGAGATCATTGATCAATTCGCCAAAGACGATTCCCAACAGTGGAAATGGAATTCCGGCGGCTATGGAAAAGAAGAAGCCGGCGAGAATTAGGAGGACATCGGTCTTGGTGTAGTCCAGCGAGAAGAGAAGGCGAGTATAAGCGAAGAATTTACCAATACCTTGCTTCGTTGGCATGCATTTTTTCAAATACCTAACCTATCGAATACATCAGTCGGGTCCATATCATACACAGATGTTTAGTTTCTAGCCAAGAGGGTAAACATACCAATCTGGCCCCGTTGTCTTCTTTCCTGTGGCTTCCTTCTTCTGGGTCACCCATAATGGTATTATGGAGATCCCTGATCTTGGTTTCAAATGACTAGAAACGTCTCCTGTCGTCCTTCCCAGCTAGGGTGTGGGGGTAATGGCACGGAACCGAAACGGGTTATTAGTACCAGCACGTTACGCCCAACCCCTTTGTGTATATTTGTCGGTGTTCATTCCATTCAAGACTTTTAGTAGATTGCAAAATAATGTCGGCTGCCTGGTTGTTAAGAAGGAATAGCCAGAAAGAGGCCATGCCGCCCCGAAAAGAAAATTCACTCCCAATCTGCACCGAACAGCATCGGCACAGACTCCTTGGACCCTGACGCCATCAGCACATACTTTGGAGGGGGACATGGTAGAGTGGAGCAAACTGGATACAACCCAGAAAGATCCAGCGGAGCGGCGTTTCCATTGAAAGGATTTTCAGGATGATCCCAGGGGAAATGACCAAGCGGAGAATAGAGAAATAAACCGGCACTCCACTCAGCGATGATCGATTACTATTATCAGTGACACACGTACCTCGTCAATCTTAATCATTCTGTGCCCGCATAATACGCCGACCAAGAAAAGGAAAAAGGCCAAAGGCCAACCGTTTGACGAGTTTACCGAGGGTGGTTGTGCGATGCCCCAATGATCGTGACGGATGGCGTGGACCCTGCACATGCCCAGGGTCTTCCCAAGGGTTGGGGATCCACCCAACACATCAGATAACCTCGTGAATATTCGAGGAACGCGCATCTACCCTCCCCAACTTACGCAAAGAGGAAGGCGTTAATCGTGAATGAGAGGGGGTGAGGTCCGAGAACATGTGCCATCTACTCCCACTGGCAGATCGGTACCAGGTTTCCTTCCGGTGAGTCGAAGCAAATTGCAGTCGCAGTTTCAAATTCGCTGGCACGTCCCTTGGCCTTGAAAGTTTCTTCTTCAAACTTGCTGAGAAAAGAAAGTTAGCCAATGCCGCTTGCCAAGAACTCAGGCTTGAAAGTGAAATCCTCTTCAAGCCACCAACCTTGGATAAACCGCGTCATTTATCTGATCGAATGAATCTAATCTGATCGATTGATAATCTCAGCCACCACCAACCAAGTTGTCCAGCTGGAATTAATTGAAATTTCTCATATTTTCGCAGCCGTGTGTGTCTCGAGATACAAACGCTTGGAAATTGTTTGGGAATATTCAGGCACCTTCAGGCATCCTCATCTTTCTCCACCATCACGAGGCGCGATCGCCCAACCATGCGTCGCCACCAACGGAGTCCTGCGGATGACCGCCCTCGCCGCGTTTACCCCTGGTGGATAAATCTCCCCAGCAGCGCTTGTTTGTAAAAACGTGTGATCTGATATGTACCTTTGTGGATTTGATGGGCTTTTTCCAGAAACACTTACCCTTAACTTACCTGTCGATCCTCAGAGCCCGCGAGTGCGGAACGCTCCTAATACAGCATGAGTTAATACAGCAGGGCTCTAGGCCTAGTTATAAACTGAAGCATAGTATTGACATACATGTTTAAAGTCTTTTGGCTAAGCTTTAACAGCCCTGCTGCATCTAGATGTGGCTTTTCTCCATCCATTTACAATAGGATATAGCCGTCAGCTCTCAAAGAAAGTGGGGTCAAGAATTCACAGGTGAGCTAAAGCCGGGGTGGATATTTTAACATGAAATAAACTTTGTTGATACATCTGGCCCCATGGATTGAAGTTCAAAATACACGAAAAGTGCAGTTTTCTTTACTTAGACAGAGGGTGCTGACATTACATTTCAGAAAGAGCCTTGGATAGTTCAAAGGCAGCCACTGTTCGCTAAAATCCTACGCAAAATCACGAGACAGTGTATGAAAGCTTTTTATTATGTACGGTTCCCTCAAAATGAGTGAGACCGACCTATTGTAAATACAGAATGACATTCGAAGGCAGTACAGCAGAATTAAAAGAAGATGAAGGTAAAAAGTCTATTTACAAGATCAGGTCCGAAAATATCAAGCTACCCGTTTGGCTTCATTGAGACCGGCGGGCCATGAAATAGGTGAGCAGGTTGAGTGATCCCTCCCCTGCCGGCTGGGTGAGCTTCTGAACACGTTCAAGTCCGAATTTCAGGTTCAGGAGGGTACACAGCTCGGTGGCTTGCTTGCGCACACCTGGTCTGGAGTGGTTGAGCTGTTGGCTAACCACATCTCCGATACTGGCGAGAACTTCGTCGGAGATTTCCTCACTTCCTTGGGCAAGGGCTTGATGCATGGTGGACAGTCCCAGAATGATTGATCGGTAAGCTCCCTCGCTGTTAGCATCTCCTCCCAGGTCCAGTCCCTGGAGAACACCTTTGATGGAGACTGAGGTCGGGATCAAGGTGACTAACTGCTCTGCAACTTCCTCTAGGCAAGTGACAAAGTGCGAGTTGGATTCGTAATGCTGGCGAGCCCGAATGAGGGAGGCCATGGCAGGGATGTCATATCGGTGGAACATCTCACTCGTACGAATAAGCATAGAGCGGATCGTGGCAAGGATCTGAGTTTTCACGTCGTGATCCTTGCGGTTCATTGGTGCAGACTCGAGTTCATGCAGAAGGGCCCCAAGTACGGCATAGTAATCCTTATCTTGAGAGATGAGCTCTTCGCCATGATATTGGAAAAGGCCTTGCAGTTTTCGGTAACCAGAAATATCCATTGTCTTTGTGCCGATTCGCTTGAGGGCCTTGGGAAGCATCTCTCTGGCATTAGCGGGGTCCTTCGATCGAGGACTTGGGCTCCGATGTCTTTCGGCCCACTTTCGACTGCGGCGCAACGTTTCCTCTCCCGTGGAGTGGGCCAAAGATTCAACGGATCTTTGCCTTGGCTCGACGCTTCTCGGCACTGACTCATTAGGAGATACCTCTTCCAGAGCACCGGGCTTGCCGGCAGACAGAGGTACTGCCGAATAGTCAGGAACTTTGTTTTGGGGCGCGACATTCTCATTATTGAGGTTCTTCTCGGCCATAGGCTCCCTTAGTGATTCCTGTGCTAGAGCAGGGCTCATCCCCATCCCCTTTTCAGGAGATGTAGATTGAAGGCGATTCCTTGAAGCGGAAGGACTACCTGGAAGGGGTGTTCTCCGAATTGGCGATTGAAAGTGGGGTTCATTGGCCACAGTATCTTTGGTTGGTCCCTGTTGGGCCTGTTGGGGACTCAATTCAATAGAGAAATTCTTGGTCGGCGTCTCCAGGCCAGCCGGGGCTTGTGCTACGATTTCCTCAGCCAGGGCCGGTTCGTAATGAGGATGGCGCGGCGTTCTCACAGGAGATCTCGTCGGGGATCTTGTTGGGGACTTTCGTGGCGTAAGATGCTCAACAGGTGCCATATCAGGGGCGTCGACTTCAACAGCAACGGGGGTATCAGGGTCCTCATATATGACCATTTCGTCGGGTTGGATCTTGGGAGGAGATTCTGGTTCGGCCTCCAGGTCGGAATGGTGTGGCACTGTGGGATCCAGTCTGGGTGTGCTCGGCGAGGGCACAGTAACAGCCTCTTCTAGGGAAAGAGGCTGCGGTTCTTCAACAGGCTCTGGAGCTGCTTCTTGACTAGGCCCAGGTAGCCGGTGGCTGCGGAGGGGTGGTTGGGATGCTGGAAGGGGAGGGCTCTCCAATACAACATAGGCCGGCTCATCTGGTTCTTGCGATGCACGCAGTAAATCCCCCCTGTGAGGTGTGGAGAGAATTCTGATTTGCGACGCTATCTTCAGAGTTGCTACGTGCATGACTCGCAGCTGCGAGGTCCCCGTGGGACTTAGATTTGGAAAGATCCAGCTTCTTAGGCTTGCCTCTGGTTGTTCCTGTTTGGCCTGCCTCATGAGGTCGGAGACGGGGAGCGGATATTGTTTTGGATGACGGTGTGGTGGCCTTGGATCTCACTGATCTTGGAGAGCTGACCGGCGTCTTGCTAGATGATTGGGCCGCTCTAGAGCTTGGCCGAGATGCATACGGGTCTGCGGTTGCCGGACGGTTTATTTCAGCTCGTCGTGGTTTCATGGCAGGGCGCATCGGGGCGGAGGACAGGGAAGAAAGAGGTGCACCAGTAGGAACTGTTCTCGCCGTCGGTCTAGAGGACTCTGGCGCCTTGGTATCATTGAAAGTTGGCTGGGCAGACTCAGGGCGGGAGGCCATGTTAGCAGCTCTCCTTTTGGCGGCAATGGCCTCTTTTAATGCAGAACGAGCAGCGGGGCCGCTGGCACTCTTGCCAGCAGAGGCGGGCGCCGCTTGACTCGCGTTAGGATTCGACGGGTCCTTCTCCAACAGGTTGCGTGACTTGGCGTCGAGATCAAACAAGATCAGGTTGGCCCTCTCGGGCCATACGCCAAAGAAAGTCCAGAAGGTACTGCGTACTGCCTCTCGAACACCGGGGTTTGCGTCAGCAAGGCCCTTCCTGAGAGACTTATCGATGAGGTCCAGGCCGCCACCATGTTCGACTGTGCTTTTATGGTGGGATTGGCGAGAAATCAAGGTTCGTAGCCATCCAGGGGCAGAAAGACGTAGCTGCACATTCTTATCTTGAGAAGCCCAATGAACGTGTTGCAGAATTCGTATGTTGAATGTCACATTTCCAATGACAGCGTCGACTGTAGCGCATCCATTCTGTGCTGCGATTTTCTTTAAAGATCCACAGAGCTTCATCAAGTTCTGCATCATGATCTCGACCATGCCGTCAATCTTGGGGCCACAGATCTGCGCGATATCTTGGATCAAGAGGCAGCCAGCACTGCAAAGAGTAGTTCTCAGGGAATGCACAACTTTGAAAATTCCATCCAGAAGGGATTTGATGCCCTGAAGGAAAGACTGTAAGAAATCATGGGGCGCATTACCGCGAGTGAGTCTTCGGAGATGGATAGCGCTTTTTTCACGTTTCATCCAATTATCCTCAGATTCTTTGCCTTCAAACCAATAAGCCATATCCCGTACGGTATCTTCAACGTCTCGAGACGATGAAACTAGCAAGGGCTCAACGCCATCCTCCTCTGAAAGAGGCTTCTGGACGTGAGGTATCTCGGCAGGGGTCTTGGGTCGACTGGGGGCTTCTGGGGGACCAGGGGTCGAGCGATCTTGATGGCCTCTTGATAGGGCCGGTCGGGTTCGCGATTCGTGTTCTGCGATGCTTTCGTATTAGTTGCTATAAATTATGTATGGTTCGGGATAGTAAACTGACCATCATCATGTACTTGGACAGCATGTGAGCGGGACGACATGACTGAGATCGGCCGCTCGACGCGGGAGACAGGTCTATTTGAGCTCTCCGGCTCTCCAGAGCCAAGGCCAATGCTCGACAAGATAGCGCTTGCGATCGACTTCCTCACCCCACGAGCCACAATCTGTTTTTGTAGATCTGACTTGGCCCTCGCAGAACCATTTCTAGGCGATGCCGTTAGTCTCACCCAGCCCGTCCATCATATGGAACTTTTTGCATACCTAAACAATTCCACAACAGTTGATCTCGCCGTATCTCGAACAGAGCTGTCGGCATCTTCTAAGCACGCAACCAGTGAGGGCACGTACTGTCGGAATAACAAACCGTGGTTCTTCGTCATCTGGTAGATTTCTGGATTAGAGTGTATGCTGGGCATTAAGAAGCCTATGAACGTACAGATGATAACCATAGCATGCTCGTTTCTTTGGCCCTTGGGTTCTTACCCACTAGGGCACACTGTAGCACATAGTATTCGGCTTCGCTGTTTGCCTGTAACCAAAGTTCGGTGAAGATAGATGCGGATTGGGCGCGCACGCGTTCCTTATGATCACCCAGTCGCTCCAGCAGGATAGGATAGAAGTTGGATGCTTGGCTGAGGATCCATTGTTGCTGATCTTGGATTGAAAGACGCTTCAAGAAATGGCCCAGGGTGGAGAAGCCGGCGCTGGCCACTGAGTAATGCTGAGAACTGATAGCAAGTCGCAGGGTATCAAAGATGATTACAATCGCACTTTCGGGGACGTTTTTTTGCTTGATATCGGATTTGATGGCGGTCAGGTGGGCGACGCGAGAGTCAATAGAGACGTTGGGGTTCTTGAAGACCGCCAGAAGCTCTGCAGCCTTTGCCTCCATATTGGGCACGGATGAGAGAAACTTGGCTTATGTTACAGACAAAACATAAGAGGCAGTATCTGCGACGGCGGAATCAATGGAGCTGGGCAGCAGTCGGGGGATTTTGAGGGTCAAAGACAGTTGTGATGCGGACACTGGGAACAGAGCGAGAGGAATCAATCAAATTGGAGTTTCGCCGTTGTCTGTTACAAGATATTAGCTCCCTGGTAGCGATGTATTGTCAGGGCTGAATTCCGACAGCGATAGATCAGCAGGAGATGTCCGATCCACGGGGATCGCGACGGTCAGGATGTGGCCACAGCGCAAGTCAACATGGGAAGACAGGCAACCGACTTTGGAGTGGAGAGAAAAGAGAGCAGAAGTGGACACAGCTGCACGACAATAGGATGTTCTGGGGGGGAATGGAATGGGACCTACCAAGGCAACTTGAATGTTATGGTGAAAGAGCGGGCGCGAACCGTGGACTAGGATGGTGGGATGTGTTGACGAAGGCGAGGGAAAGTCGGAGAGCAAGGGGCGATAAGCGCGGATAAGCGCGAGTGATCTCCACTGATGCGACAAGGATTTGACCAAAGCGAGATGAAGGGGTAATCCTAGTCAAAAAGTGCGAGTGCTAAGTATTCTGTTAAGTACTCCGTAGTAATTGAATAAATGTGGTTGTATTGCAATCCAATCAGAGGTGATTTGTTTTCATCCTACTAGTTGGGCACAGTGTGGCCCAATCCCCGCATTGGTTTGTTTACCTGTTGGTATCACGGTCGCAAAGGGCAACCATGGAGTGTGAGGTGTCACCAGTTACACAATCACTTTAATACCGGTTATGATACTACTAGTAGTACATTCAAGATAGAAATAATCGAAATTTATATACTGGTTTCCTTCAAATTCTACTATTACTACCAGTATAGTATTTATCCAGAGCTTCTCAAGAGTTCAAGAGTTCAAGAGTCTATGCCATGTCATGTGACCCAGTACATAAATAAGGAAGTCAAGGTTGAACCGGTATTTTTATCTTCAACCTTCCAAGCTTCGCTGGTCACAGTTCAGATCGTTAAATACTACTCGTGCCTACCTACCTAGGTAGGTAATTGCGGTTGTAGTACACATGAAGTTCTTTCAACATCACCTGCCGGTGCTGAACTTCAAGTGTACTGATATAAAAACCGAGTCGGAGTTTGATACTACATAAGCAGAAGTAGTACTTGTAGGACTACTCCTAGGTGTGCTTGCAGCACACGGATCATTAAGGCTTAATAGATACCTAGGCTAGTACTAGTAGAGCTACATTCATATAATCACTTTGGAAATTACCTACTACTACTACTACCTACGTAGTAGTGCGTGGTAATTAGTAGATATCTCCGAGTCGGCGAACTGATGGGGTCGAGGCCGAAGTGGAGCGCACCAGCTCCCCACCTTTCCATTCGTCTTGTCGATCAATGTTTCAACACTGCCAGTGTCAGCTTCCTCGAGGGTCATTGACAATCGGACTTGATTGATCACCTTCTCCGCTGCTCTTACTTCTACTTGAAGATCTAAGATTGCCCAGCAATGACAGAACTCACCACGACAACCCCACCCCCCGCAGCTGCATCTGCATCTGCATCTGCAATCCCCAAACATCCCGCGGGGTCCGATGCAGAGCCTAGCACCCAGCAGATGGAGGGACACGAGCAGTCAAAAGACACAGCAGGCTTTAAAGGAAAGGCCACGAAACCGAAGATACGTCTGCATGCCGAAGAACTTCGTCACCCATCCTCGGTCTCGTTCTTTACTCTCGTTCCTGATGTCACCTCGAAGCTCGACACAGCCCTCGACAACATCATCAAATACCTATACACGTCGCCAGCAACAAAATCGGAAGATGTTGAGAGCTGCAAAAAGAGAACTTGGCCTTCTTTCGACCCCTCCGTACCCCCCACGCGCTCTGTCACCCTCTTCCTCCGTGATTTCAGCGGCGTCGCTTACACGACCGGCACTGAGCTCGACAATGATCATAAGGAAATCCACCTCTCCTTACCGTACATTAAACATTGTACTACCCTCGCAGATCCGGTTCGAGAATTAGCGGGTGTGCTCACCCATGAGCTTGTACATTGCTATCAGCATACAGCACCACCCAAGACTGATGATGAGCCCGAAAGAAAGATCCCTCATCCGCCAGGAGGTCTGATTGAAGGCATTGCGGATTTTGTCCGGTTAAAGGCACGCCTAGATCCTCCGCATTGGAAGAAGCCCCAGTCCGCATCGGAGCGGGAATCTAAATGGGACGCTGGATACCAGCACACTGCTTACTTCTTGGCCTGGATTGAGGATGTTCGGGTGGGCGAGGGGGCGATTGGCATGTTGAATGACCGATTGTTAAGAGTGGGATATGTAGGGGAGGATGAGGATAAGGAAAAGTCGTTGACCGCTGAAATTGGATTTTGGCGGGGACTTTTTGGTATGGAGGTTGCTGAGTTGTGGGCGGAGTATGGCCAATTTCTCGATGCTGATGGCAGAAAGGAATGATTAGAGTAGTATCTAGGAGCAACCAGAATCGGGAGCACTACTATGGCTATCTGAACACCCTATCCTGCTTATTTAGAAAAGATGCTGTGTATGTATTACCACAAGCTACAGTAAGAGGCCAGAATTCTACTTTCTTACCGCCAGGTAGGTAACTGAGTATGTACCAATATCATCTCAGTAGTAACGACTAATAATATGTTATTTTGGAGCCGGAATAGGTACCTACCTAGGTAGGCATCCGACGGTCCTACTGGCAAAGGCCACAAAACTAGATATCTCTACTACGTTACCCAGGTTTATACTAGCTTCCAGCGTTTTGACCAAAAAGTGTGTATCAATTACCTACCTAGGTAGGTACTACAATATTTTGATTAGGACTGACCCTCGTGGTAAACACATACAGCACCTTTCCGAATAGACAAGACTATCCGTTAGGGTGTTCAGATATCCAAAGCGGGCGTCCACTTAGTGGTGCTCAGAATCGGGAATGGCTACAATACGGAGATCAAGTTAAGATCTAGAAAGATTTTCATTGTTGTAGTACATGTGTTAATAGGAGGGCACCTCTATATACCAGTGTGTGTCGAGGCCAGTGGCATCGATCAACCCTCATTTTGACCAAGAGAGGGGCGTGGCCGAATAAGACAGGAGAAAATGCGACGAGACAAATAGATAGGAGAAAAAGGAAAAAATTCCAGGAAAAGAAGACACCAGATGAATCGAAGGAACCGGAATTCCCATACTGTACAGTATCCAGTCATGCAAAGGACAGAGGAAATGATCATTTCCTCTCTGGCCTGTTTCCCATGCGAAACCATAGCACACCGGAAAAGATAGCAAAAGTGGGACAATAAAAAGGACATGAAAGAAGATGCGTTTCACGCATCTTCGGTCGGAAGTAGCTTTTATCGCCAGCTTTTATTTAGACAATCACCTCGCCCAAGTCGATATGGGCGGGCTTCCATGGCGCAGCTCCCTCCTCCTCCATGGAGCTGGGGACACGCGGGTTGAGTGGGGTGTACAGGTACCACCCCTTCAGGGCAGAGAGAGCTGCACGCTCACGTGCCTCCATCAGGCTGGAACCAGAGCCCTCGCCCAGCTTATCTTGGCCGGAGAAGATACCGACAACGAAGACGGGGGATCTACTCTTGCGACCAGTCTCGCTAACGATCTTGGCGACGGGTGCCTCGAAGTTCTCACGGGCACATAGTCGGGCCAGGTCACGGGCGGGTTGAGAGAAGTTGAAAAGTTCGGAGACGTTAAGGTGTCGGGAGAGAATGTGTTGCTCGAAGAATCGCTTAGCGGCAGGGCGACCGGCGTGCAGGTAGATAGCACCGAGGACAGCACGGACGAAGGTGGCCCTAGCAGTCTCCTCGGTCACACCTTGACCCAAAGCCACGGACCCCTTGATCGCGTCACCAAACTCATCATCATAGAAGATCTTCGAGGAGACAGTCATCCTCCACTTCTTTTGGTCGGCATAGGGACGCGAGGACTTGAGTTGTGAGATGTCCTCCACGGCCGTTCCGGGAGCGACTCTTTGAAACTGCAGGAAACCGGGATCTACTTCACCACCGGGCACTGTAGCATTGTCGATACCCCATTCCTTGGAGATGGCGGCGAGGGTCTTGGGGCCAACATAGGCATACATGGCGGCGAATGTTACACTCAATGGCAGACGGGGGTAGGTGCAAATGAGGTGCTCGGAGGTGTAGTTGGCAAGGAGGTCGTGACCGAGGGTAGCGAGCGATTCGTTGTTGAAATCGACATTAGAGTCAGCTGAGGCATCAACCAATGTCCGCGCAAGGGTTTGGAGAGGTAGTCGGGAGGGGAGGTAAAGTCGAGCATGAAGGGCAGCGAGTTTGGCGGACTGAGTCGCGGCTTCGACCGGAGGGGAGGGATATTGCAATTGTGTCTTGCGCTTGTGAGCACGTCGAATGTGGCGCATCGCATCCGGATCTTGGAAGGTCGCATCTTCTACATTCCCTGCGATGATAGACTCGGATTGCAGTGGAGATACAGTGGATTGGAGTCGCAGTCCGGTCAGATAGAGTTGTTGATGCAGTCTGTTAGTCCGAACCCGCGGCGAAAGAGCAGTGCTGCTCCATCGTTGGAGCTGCAGCCTCTTCATCTGGGCGACTGTCGAATAAAACGCAAAAGCAACTCGAAGGGAATAAAAAGGAGAGACCGCGCTGTGTTAATGGCAATGGGATCGGAGTCGGGCGGCCAATTTTACGGGGAGCGTGAGTCTCAACTCAAGACAGAAATTAATCTGTCGGCGGTCACGGGATTCGCTGAGTCGTGTGAGCAGACGCTAGCCCATATTAGGCACTAGTGGTATCTTGGCACTCGACTTCGTGAAGCCGCTTCAGCCCGCGCTTTACGAGAACAGCCCAGCCCTTCCTTCATTTAAACTCCCACAGCTCTCTCAATTACATCTCAATCACAATGGGTGGAGGTGGAAAGATCCCGTGAGTCCAATATTTTCAGGAATTTGATATTGGAGGTGGATGCTAACAGATTTCCCTACGCAGGTACCCCAAGGAAGTCTGGTCCCCCGCTGGTGGTTGGTACGCCCAGCCAGGCAACTGGAGGGCCAACACTGCCATCATGGGCGCCTTCGTCGTTGGTATTGCCGCCATTGCCTTCAGCATCAGTGCCGACCGAGAGCACCGCGATAAGATGCCCGAACCTGGCAGATTCTTCCCCAGCCGATAGTCAGTCATTCCCGATCCGTGCGTCCCTCTTGCGAATTCCATACTGACCTCATGTCACTCAAATTTAGCTGGAGCCGAGAGATCCGCGAGCACGAGAAGCAACAGGCCGCCCAGAACCCGCAATAGGGGACACCCCGCGTCCCAGGTGGCCGTTAGTGGAGGATTCCTGGTGTGATGGAACATCTTCATACTGTGTTTTTACTATCATCTTCTCATTTCCCGATTGTACGACAATAGAAGGGCGTTCCTCAATCAACCATTGATCAATTGGTCAACAGGTGTCTCTGGGGAGATTCTTCCAACGTTCTAAATAGTCGATGCGTGTACAGGCGGACTCGTTCCGTGAATTCAGACTCATTCCACAATTCTTTACCTTCCTTCGCTTTCGAAATCTGCGGCACACCAATCTGCTCCACGACAAACCCAGCTGCAACAGTTGCGCAGATCAGCGCTTTGGGTAGATCTTGACGCCCGTCCCAGTAAACCATGCCCTCTTGCCATGCCCTGGAGTGTGATAGAACGGAGTCAATAACGCTAAAGGGCTCTCGACCGGCAGATATCATTCCTTGGGCCAGTGCGCCGAGGAACGAGTTGCCTGCACCTGTGGGGTCGATTACCAGCGTAGCGCCTGAAGTATCAGGTTGATGATAGGCTGGAAGCCAGATTTCCTGGTCTCTCGAGTAGGCGTAACTCCCATCTTTCCCAGCTCGGATTACCAGGCAGCCATTGCCAGTGGGGCCGATGCCGGCTTCAATGATCTTCTTCGCCAGTCCTTGGCTTGCTTCATCATTCGTAGTCCATCCAGGCTGTTCAAACATCATGCCCAACTCAAGGTGATTAGGACTAACAATATCCACCACGCGGTTTGCAGCGAGGAACTTGTCTTGCTCTTCTGGTGTGCAGAGATCAGGCACTGGTTCCCACACGAAGAAGGGACGGTCCAGTGCATGTGGATTGGAAGGGGTTTGACCTGCTCGTTGCAGCTCACCCCGTCGTTCGAGGATATCATGAACAATTGATATGCATCGCGAGGGCGAGCAGACCATGTGAAAAGTCCGTGACCACACCTGCATGTCAGAGAGCATATGAGGCTCTAGCCTCAATTTAGGAGTAAGGTACTTAAAATCTGAAATCATCGTTAATCATGTTCGGTTCGTTCTAGGCACCGGCATAGAGGCTATCTATCATACCTCGCTTCTCGTTCGGATGGTACCCGTTCCAGGCCTTTGTTGTCAGCCTGCTAGAATCCTCTCTGATGACACAATCTGTGTCCCATGACTGAATGGCAGCTAGAGTTTCCGGCGGAAAATCGGATCCAACATCCACGATCCAACTGACAGCACGTCCATGCGCGGAGCCCGCCACTAAACGAGCCCCTACAACAGCAAAAGATGCGGCTCCTCCAAGGATATTCTTGACGCCTGGTCTTAGGTCACCAAAATCAATATCATCTGTAAGGTGGTGAGTAATTTGGAACAGACATGAGGCCATGCGGGGTTTTGATTATCGGGATGGGGAAAAGCATACCAAGAATAAACATTCCTAAAGTACAGAAGTCGACCTGGTCCGGCCGGGTGGCAACATCACGACTGCTAGCCATAGCCTAGTAGTGAAAATGATTCTGAAGGCTCCAATGGCTAGGGAAGAAACAAAAAAACACATGTATCAAATCTATCGGGTCAGCCATGGAAGTTGGGGAGTGGATCAAAGGCGGGTAACCGTAATACCAAATATACTCAACAACGTCATCTGATTTCCGCTTGTACCCGCGTAACGTACGTACCGGTGCGGGTCGTAGCTCCTGAATGTCGGCCGGGCACCTCAGTCAACCGTCTTCTACTCCTACTTTCTTCCCCCAATCTGCTGATTTGCTGAGAGGGACACGGCGCTGCTGAAGTACTGTCTAACTCAGTCCTATAATTCTTGTTCAACCCGGGATAACCCCCTTTTCCTTTCGTCTCCTACTCTTTCAGCTCCCTTGAGCAACGTGTTGCCTGTCATGGCGAGCGGAAGCCACATGCATAATTTCACCACCCTCATCAAGCGGTACGTATTCTCCTTGCTGGTCGCTGTGCTCCCAGCAGTACTACGACTGGCATTTCAAACCAGTCTAAACTGTACTATGTGTACCCCCGGTGAACTTGGGCTGACGGTAGACTGTCAACAGGCTGGAGGCGGCGACCTCCCGGTTGGAGGACATGGCCATGTCCGTGGAAGAGCCCAACATCTCCAAGAACCTCAGTGGTACCGCTACTGCTGCACCTGCGACCCCGGAGCCCCCCAAGCCCTCTCCACCCCCGCCCGCACCTCCCGCGGCGCCGCAAATCCCGCCACAGATTCAAGACTTCGATGCGTTGATCAAGGGAGATGTCCAGAACTTCGTGAAGCTGGGTGCGAAGATCGGCGGTTTAGTGGAGGAACAGGTGAGATTCACGAGCGTGGGAATTGATCTAAAATCAGACTAACAAGAGACTTCTTAATAGTCCAAAGCCGTACTGCAAGCATTCGAGGCTGAGCGTACCTACCTTTTCGTCGCAACCAAGGCCAAGAAGCCCGAACATCAACCCATTGAACTCATGACGGATCTGCATAAGGCATCGGACTGCATCAACAATATTCGCGAGTCGAACCGTGCCTCGCCGCTGTTTAACCATCTGAGTGCTGTTGCGGAGGGCATTGTCGCTTTGGGATGGTTCTTCGAGACCAAGCCCGCCAGCTTTGTCGAGGAGATGATTGGTGGTATTCAGTACTACGGCAATAAGGTTCTGAAGGACTTCAAGGAGAAGTGAGTTTGCCTAGCGTGCGAGCAAATATGCCGACCTTCAATTAACCTGTAGGCAGGGACCGAACACACGTCGAGTACATTCAAGCCTACTACCAAAACTTCAAGGGCCTCTCTGCCTTCCTGAAGAAGCACTATCCCACAGGATTGACCTGGAACAATGAGTCCGGTGTCGATGCCTTGGAGGCGCTCAAGCAGATCAAGGGTGGCCCTGCCCCAGCCGGCGCTGGCGCCGTTCCTCCTCCTCCTCCCCTCCCCCCTCCCGTCCCATCTGTGAATGTTCCCGGTGCCGGTGCCCCTCCACCACCTCCTCCCCCAGGTGTTCCTGGTGTACCTCCTCCACCTCCTCCCCCGGCTGCCCCGGGTGCGGACATGTCTGCTGTCTTTGACCAGCTGAACCAAGGCGAGGCCATCACCTCTGGTCTGCGTAAGGTCGATAAGTCGGAGATGACCCACAAAAACCCCGGTCTCCGTGCCAACTCTACTGTGCCCGAGGGCTCCAGCGCTTCCCGGAGCAAGTCACCAGCGCCAAACAAGAAGCCCAAGCCCGAGAGCATGCGTGCTCGCAAGCCGCCGCGCAAGGAACTGGAAGGTACCAAGTGGATGGTGGAGAACTTCGACAGCGCGGAGGATATCATTGAGATTCCTGCGCAGAAGAACCAATCTATCCTCATCTCGCGTGTCAACAAGTCTATCATCAAGGTCCCCGGCAAGGCGAATGCCATTGCCATTGACAACTGCACTGGTCTTTCCATCATTGTTGATTCCTTGGTGAGCAGTATCGACGTTGTCAAGTCACCCAAGTTCGCTCTGCAGATCGACGGTGTCGTTCCTACCATTCTGCTCGACCAGGTTGATGGCGCTACTATCTATCTGGGCCAGCAGAGCCTTGCCACTGAGATCTTCACTAGCAAGTCTTCGGCCGTCAACATCAACCTTCCTCCCAAGGAAGGCACCGATGATGACACCAAGGAGTGCCCTGTCCCTGAGCAGTTCAAGAGCTACATCAAGGACGGAGTCCTTGTTACCGAGATCGTCGAGCACGCTGGCTAAATCTTTGTATTTTCATTTGCATGACCCGGGTGTTTTGAAGGCCCGACTTGAGCTTAAGTTCTGGGAGTTGATGATTTTCCTCGCTTGGGGGATATTTTATCTTTTCTCCCAACTTCTTTTTAATCTTTGTGTGCTGTACCTAGCGCCCTTCTGTAGATATACACTGCGAGAATACAGGTTTAACTTGTTCCTATGCTATTGCTGGTTGCCAAAGGAGATCCATAATAGTCATATCACCCGTAGATTAATTTGTAGTATTCGATGTAGCTTATTCACTACCTAGGTATCAGTTTGGTTGAAGGAATGCCTAGTTGGTCATTTGTCCGGATGGAGGATAGAAAGGAAAGTTTAATTCGCATGGAAGGCAGACTACGCAGTCAAACCTGAAGTAACTGGAACGTGAATAGTATGCCATTGTCTTTGATGAATGGATGTAACGAAAGGCCCTGCAATCGGACGAAAAAAAGAGAAGGGTATATGTACTATCTGGAAACCCATGCGCCCAGCACCTTGAAGCAAGAAAGGACTCGGATAGAAAATCAAAGGCCGAAACAAAGAGAGACATTTACTCGCTAATGGAAAATTTCGGAGTGCTAGAGTTGGAGTTTCTAATATGTTAGTGATGTTGTGGATGTCCAACAAGCTCACAGTTTGCTTTGATTATTCCGAGTCACAGTTGATAGAGCAGCGAAGCCAAAAACTCAAATCAAGAGTAGAACTCTCCAGAACCAAGTAGAGTTGGTGGTTGTCACGAATTTGAAGTTGCTTATACAGGGCAGTATGTGATGTGCTGCGGTGGTGGGTAGATAAAGGCGGGCCCTTTGGCCACGGCGTGAGAGAGGAATGAATCAAGAGCCGGCTCAATTATTGTCAAACTTCTCTCTCCGCTGTACATCCAAGGCACGAAGTCTCTTGGCGAGCAGACTTTCGCCGTTCTCGGACGCGGCCGGGCTGGATGGGCAAGGATACCTTCCATATCCAAAATCGGCTTTGTTTAGTTTATTATACACACCCGTATCGAGTTGGGCAGAATCGGACGGAGATGGCATATCCAAGGTCTGCCCTGGGCTCCAATGCGGCGAGAACTGGCTGGGGGAAGTAGCGTGCGGTCGCAGGAGTGGAATTGTGTCTTGGCCGACGCTCCGTCTCCGTGAAGCCTTGTCAATCGCTAGCCGTGCCCCAGCAGAAGTCGAAATAGTAGGATCGCGGCATGGCTTGTATGGACTGTACCGGGGTTCTGGTAGTTGGATCTCGTTACGTAGTTTCTCTTTGCCGTCCGGCACTCGGTTTGCGAACACCACGCGAATGCTCGAGTGAAGGTAAAAGCGACCTCGTGCTGGGCAGCATATGTTGAGGTGGATTAGATATCGCAAGGTTGGTTTATCCTGGGGATCTTCAGTGCTGTTCAAAGATGCCTCAGGTCGATCGGTTCCATAGTTTTTTCGTGCACTCAACGGCATATCGAGGACCGGTCCTGCGGAGTAGCTGCGCTGCCGAATGAATGTCTTGGTTCCGGGTTCCATGTCATCCAGGTCGTATGGTACGAGGAAGAGCTTGACAGCAGTCTTGTGTGGATTTTTGATTATAATCTGTAATTGGCCTTGCTGAGGGATTCGATAGCACCCGCCTGGGGGGGCTCTTGGGAGATTCCGCTCGGCGGCTCTTCTTTTCTCGACGACGCTGGATATCTGCACTGGGCATTCGAGTGGCGATCGTCTCCTCAGGAATATTGCCTTCGCGGAATTTGGCTGGACTGACGTGTCGCCGACGACGTCGGGCCGCACTTACATCATCTTTAGACAGTGAGTTTTCAAGGTCGATGTGGCCGACATAAGGACTTGGACTGTCATCGGAAATGGATCGACCATTCCCTGATGTAGGATAGCTGTAAAAGAAAGCCGGAAATGGCACGGTCACATGAGGAGGGCATTTGAGATGCCCTTTGCATTTTCCTTTGCCGAGAACACCGATCTGAGCGGTGAAATCCAGCGGTTTGGAGGGGTTCATCGACATCCGCCCACGCAAAATAGACTCTTCGTAAGAGCCAACCATTGGGGCATGGGGCTTTGGAGAGATATCGGAGGCGAGGGAGGGCCTTCTTGCCCGGTACGCAGGCGTGGTATTTACAGTGGATGCAAGTTGAAGGCTATATGCCGAAGTCAAAGACCGACGAGGCGAGGAAGGGAAATTATAAAAACCATCTTGTTGGCGAGATGGGCAAGGACTGTGTATATTGACAAACTCAGCAGTTGGAGACCCTTGGAGCTGTCGGAAGGTTTCCGGTGGTAGCGTTCGGCGGCGACTAGCCCTGTCGAAAGGCGTTGAGTCTGCCGGCGATATCTGTGGGGAAAAATCTAGGTCGGTGTTGTTCGCCTGGTGTACAAGAGGGCTTGTTGGCGCTTTCAAAACATAGCTTGATGAAAATGACCCCAGCGACGGTGCTCTTGCGCGATTTCCAAGCATTGCAAGTGGTTCGCGATGATCGCGCAAGGTACTTAAATCGCGACTGGGGTCCCCAAAAGCCGGCGCCGCAAACCATGGGGTAGTCGGCGAGGTCCCAAGGCTAGGAAATGTGGCACCCGGGTTTCGTTCGGCAAAGGGAGTCCGTGGAGAGTGTGAGGCGTCATGAGTTATGCCTTCTCTAAAGTCACCAGAGTGCAACGCAGATCGAGGTCTTTGAATATCGGCCGGCGATCCCAAATCGTCCATTTGCTGCGTATCTTCCGTGCTTCTTGAAGGCTGCTGTTCTGTTCTTTCTGTTCTTTGACTCACCTCCTCCGGGGAGTTATGAGACAAAGACTGCTCACTACTGTCGCTTGTTTGCGGCTTGAGGGAGTTAGTAAGAGTGCAGGCCGAGTAATATAAATAGCAAGTGGATTTTGTAAAGGGTCTAGGGCTAAGACGACGCGTTAAAAGAAATCGCTCACCATATACTGACGCCTCCAGGGCGACGATTCTTTGATTCGATGTATAATTTGCTGGCGGTCGTTGGTCCAAATTTTGGTCGGATATAGGTCCGTAGGGGTTGAGTCCAAATGAAGGCCGTTTAAACTTGCCCTGTCAAGTCCAGGTTCGCTATCTTGATATGGCTCGCCGTGAGGAGACTCCCCGGCAGGCTGCTCATGTTCTCCCCGGTCCCCAGACAGGCAGTACTGGCGCTGGCGATGGGGATCATGGAATAGAGGCATATTGACGAGGGAGAATACAGACTAGGAGGTCTGAAACTCACACCCGGACATCGCAGGAGCTCGCCAATGTGGCGAGCAAGTTCGAAACGAGACCCGGCACAGCCGTGGTGGGGTGGTTGGGATGCGGTGTGAGAGGATGGGTCGATATCCCGCCAGTGGTTCCAGTAGTGATTGGTAGGGAAGAGTACGGTATGTTGAGAATGAGAATAGATGTATCTAAATTGTGTTGAAGCGGTTGACACGGACACAAAGTCCGGGAGAGTTGAGGTTGAAACTTGAGAAATGGAGGCCGATCTTCCTTTGGGTCATGTCATGTCATCTCGTGGGTCCCTCAGATGATTCATCGGGCGCCCAAGCGTTTTCAGCGGGCCTGATCCGGAATCGGGCTCTGTCGATATTTTGGATTTTAGACTTGTAGTTGATAGTAAAAGCAGCTCAAGATTCAAGTGAAATATATCGATATCAATAGTTCAAATGGAGAGAGAAAAGCCGGGGTAGGTGTAGAGGCGTTGCTCTTGCTTAGTTCCAGACCGTCGGCGATCGGCCGAGGTTCCGCCGCCTTTTTTTTTCCATTGCGTCTCCGCACTTCTTCAACTTTTTACCACCGAACACCAACCACTCTACAAAGAAACAGGACAGAAGAATACATATTGAATACATAAAGCCATGGCACCCAAAAGACCCCGCGACTCGGAAAATGGCCCTGGAGGCAAGGCAGGTCCTTCGGAGAAGAAGAGCAAGGGTTTCAGCGTTGGTCCAGCCAACCTGCCCGATGGAACATATCGTCGCAAGAGTTAGTATTTGATTGATTTTGCTATCTTGGATTTCATAGGCGCTAACTATATTTCTCTGTAGCCCAAAAAATCAAGTCCGACTTGATCCAAAAAGCCAAGGTCAAGAAGGCCTACGCCAAGATTAAAGCTCAAGAACTCGCCTCCGGAAAACCCAAGTCCGTCTACGATAAATACCAAGAAGAGGATGGAGAAATCAAGGACGAGGATGAAGAGAAGACGACAGAACTTCACCCGGCCCGCGTCGCCATGTTGAACAAGCCATCCTCCCCATCTCCGGAGCCAGCACCAAGGCCAGAGCGACGTCCCCGAGACAACGATACGAAGCGAAGGGAGCGCAAGCCTAGACCATCGGCTTTCTCCAAGGAGATGGAAATTGCAGAGCAACGGAAAAAGGCTGCCGAAGCACGCCGAAAGGAGCGTGAGGCTAAGCAGAAGGAGCGAGAGGACATGACACGGGCTAAGCGTCCAGATCAGTTTGGAAAGCGCCGATTGGGACGAGAGAGCACTGCGCTCCTGACTCGGATACAGCGCATGGTCGGTTGAGAACCTACAATCACCGTTGGACGTTGGGTTCGAAAAAAAAATAGGCAAAAAGAGCCTGTGGAGGAAAGGGGAAAAAGGCTACGGCCATTGTTTATGATACCCGGTTCTTACTGAGTTTTATCCAGGACAAAAATGTTCACATATTTCATGATACGCTTCTTATTAAGATCAATGATATCGTATAATTATCGATTCTATGCTGAGGTTGATGGCTTGGAGCCACCACTTCTAGGCTTCTTGAAGCAAGCAAATTCTCCCTTGGTTCGATCCCTCAGTCGTTTCAAGACAACCCTCATCTCTCCCAACTCTGCTTGGAGTTTTGTGCGGGCTTCATTCGTAGTGCGGCGATCCAGCTCTACATAGACCTGGCTCTGTATATCTGATGCTTGGTCGGTGGAGTATTGAGACAGGGTCTGGGCGATGAACTCGGTATCCAAGGTAGCCTGCATCAAAGCAGCCAGGGAAAAGGAAGGCCGAGAGCGGAAAGCATTGAGAAGGGATGAGGAGACATTCACAAGGAGATGCGTCAATATGGTGGCCAATAAGGATGACGGGGCGTTTGAGGATGAACGACTGGAACTCGGTTTCACAGTAGACGGTATGGTAGTAGAAATTTCGGTATGCACCAACACCAGAGTCAACATGGTGTTGTAAACATATGGTCGAACCTGTTCGGGTCGATCAGTTGATGGCTCCCAGTCTGCTGCAGTGATACCGGCGCTGATGGTCTCATCTAGCGCAGCAATGGTAGGTTTTGTATACGACTGGAAAAGCCGATCCTCGATCTGACTGAGGACATCGCGAACAGTCTTCCCTTCCTCGGTCAGTTTGACAGAAAAGGATGTTTCAAAGTTCGCGATCAACTGTGGAACATGTTCGGCTTGTAGAGCTTTAAGATTAGAAAGCGTGAGAAGAATTCGCACATTCTGCATGGAAATGTTAGTTAATTGAGTCGAGCTTAACATCACATATAGACTTACCCTGTTCGAAGAGTCCACAGAGTCGGCACTCAAGACAGACAAAGCAGCATCAATTGCTTGGCTGGTCATGACTGGCCTAGATATAACCCACTCATTTTCTTCGTCTGAAGCAGCCAGGCGTTCCGCGTTCTCAACCAGTCCACTCAATGCCTTGTAAACACTTGATACGAATTGGGTGCGTACCATCTGAAGCATTTTTGCAGGAGGCTGAGTGACAACATCCACCGATCCAGACTTCGCCGTGGCATCAGATATATACAAAATCTTCTGCATGCCACTGAGAATGGCGCCTTCAAAAGCAGCAAATAAGCCTGGCATCTTTGTCAGGTCTCGTTTCTCCGAGTCGCGCGTCCAGTCTTCCAGCAGCTTGCAGGTCTCAGCGTCCTGGCTCCAAGCGTCGCATGCTACGCGTGCCGCACGCTCGCGAACAACGCTCACAAGCGACTTTAAAAGATCATGCGTGGGACCCGCGCTTCCCGCAGGACGCAACGCTGCCATCTCGCTAGCAGCTGTACCAACGGTCGTGAGGAATTTGCTCAGATAGTGCACTCCGCTGAGAGAGTTAGAAAAGGGAGGCCAGAACGCGAAGTCTTCCCAGTGTTCTCCTCGCTTGGGTACTGGAATTGGGAGGTTCTTGGGATCCAGTTTGAAGCGGGATTCGGTCGGAGTGATGCCTCTGGAGGCCGGACTGGTCGGACTCGGTGGAATGGGAGAGGAGAGAAGGGATATGTCTTCAGTCGGGGGGTCGTTGAATAGTGAGAGAACGTTTTGTCGAATCAGATTGATGATTTCTACGATGCCCTTCTCGAGCTGCTGCACGTTCTCAGGGGTCAACTTATGATGCTTGCGACTCTCCCCTTCAAATCCGACGGGTAGGAGTCTTTGACGATTGCCGTCAATGAACGACTGCGTAACTTCCCAGAAATCAAGTGCTTCGCCAAGTAATCCATTCTGTGAAGAAAGGAGACGGCTGAGGAACGCTTGAATGCAATCCCACAGCTCAATGACATGGTCAGAATCCAGTCTCTCTGCGAATTCTGAGGAACCATCGCGAGGTGCCAGACGCAGGTACGATGCCGTAGTATCTGCGCTTGGCTGTTCTCCATTGGCAAGTCGCCGCCTCAAGATCTCGATTTCGACTTTGCACCGCTCGCAGAAAGAAGTGATCTTGAGTTTAAGGAAACCATAGCGGCTGTGAAGCCATGTCCAGATAGGGTTATTTTCGACACCTAGCTCTAGCAACGCGCCAATCAGCTCCATATGCTCTTCGACAGGACCTGAAGCCGTGCTAGTGGTTGAGGTGGTTGGCGCGTCGCTGAGGCGTCTCCAGAGATCGCGCTTAAAGGCTTGAATTTGCTGGTCAACATCCGTCCACATTCGTCCCATGGCGAGAATGGTATGCGCTTCATGGTCGGCTAATTGTCGGTTGGCGCCGGAGGCCTGCTCCACAATATTCTGTGCTCTGTTTGCCAAAGTTCGAGCCCTAGTATATTGCTCAAAGACCGAGTCGTAGTCGCGTTGCTGGATGGATTTAAATAAATGGCTTCCAATTTCATAGACATCACGGTGTTTCTCCATCGAGTCAACAACCGACTTCAACATCTGCTCACGATCACGACCTCCAAGGGCAGGGCCCCAGACCTCTTCTGCCTTGACCGATGCCTCTACCAATGGCCCACGGATTCCTTTCATACCATATTCGCTCTCCTTGGTTAACGCATTCTTCCGGGTTCCCGTCACCACCGGAGCAGGAGCAGGTGATGGTCCCCGATGTTGACCTGAATAACTCCGAAAGTGCCCGGACCGACGAGCAGACAATGTTTGATCCTTTGTTACGCCTTGATCTCTCATCTCTTTGTATACACTATCGATTGTTGCTTTGGCCCGGACGAAGCGTTCGAAGTTAGCTTCAACCAGTACCTTCAGGGATGCTGACTTTTGATCGATGGATTGTGACAAGTGGTCTAGGCCGTCTATAAGCGATTCGATGGAGTCCGAGTGGTGCGCCTGGGAAAGAAATAGGGCTGGCGAGAACGAGGTCGATGAGAGGAGGAACCGTGATCGTTTACCCCCTTCATCCTCCATGCGCAACCCTCTCTGCTTCAGGATGCGCATGACACTATCGCCGGCTCCAAGCGGGTCAGGTTCGTCATTCTGAGGATTTTCTCTGTTCTCTTTTCCCCGGTGTGACCCAAAGTTGCTCCTCCAATCACTTGGGGTGCGTTCTAGTGCAAAGTAACGCGACTTGCGAGGGCGAGACTTGGTTCGTTGAACGGGTTCCTCCTCGGACTGGTCGGCCTCATCTAGTGCTGCTGGCCACTCTTCGGGAAATTCGGAGGGGAGGTTGTAATGACTGGCGACATCAAGGTCAGACATGATTGCCAGTGGCCAGTAGCCAGTAGCCAGATGTACTGAACTGGGCTGGGATGTATTTGTGTTCGAGTTGAACTGGAACCGGGGGAAGCTCGAGGAATGGGGCAATCAATGGGGAACGTTGCCGGCACCGCCTACGGATGCGGGGCGGTGTACATTCAGACGGCTCTGCGGACTTGTAGTTCTATATTTACTACTACAGGTACCCAGTTAGCATACTTTCTACTACTTAAGTCGTTAAGAATATTTCCAACAAGGTAGCTATTAGTAGGACTTTTGCTCATGCTAGCCATGGTTTATCACTTCTGAGTCCTGACTATTATAATCATAATGCTAAATGGGGGAGCTGTTGTGATGTATTGTCGCCCGATTGAGTCTAGCGCTCAGGCTGCAAGCCTAAGGTAGCTTAGATAACTTGAGTCACATGCAGCTGCCTCTCCTCGGACTTAGTATCGACAAGTACACTTATTTCACGATATCCAGGCCATTATTCCGAAGATGACGCTAACTACGGCGTGAGAAGTTTGGAGTCAAAAGAATTTGCAATTTTCCATATTGCCTCTTCCTGACTCTCCTGTTACTGCTGGACCCTGATGATTCAGTAGATGAGAAGGCACCATCCAAAATGGCCATGCCCGTCTTACCCGATGACATCCTGCTACTCATCTGTGACAACCTTCTCCAACATAACTTTGCTACTCGAAATGAAATTTCCTCCCTCTTGCGAGTCTGCCGCCATTGGCACTCATTGTTTTTTCTCTGCGGCTTGGAGATCTATTGATGTACAAGAGGGTTGGCAGATTTACCCACTTGTCTGCACTGTCCGAACGAATCCCAAAATCGGCCATGCCATTCGTTCCCTGAATGTTGCCTGGGATTTCTTTAGCGAGGAGACCGTGGACGATATTGAAATGTTCAGAAGTCTTGTGGAAGAAAGCAGTCATTCTTCGGAGCACTCCAAGGAGTGGATCAAATATTTGCAAGAAGGATGCCCAGATGCATGGCTCGCCCTGCTCATTCCATCATTAAAAAATGTCACAAGTCTGTGCCTTCAATTCCCTCATTCGCCGACCTTCTTTATGCCCATGGTGGCGCGGGTAGCAGCCGGAGAAAAGCCATTTGACCTGAAGCCAGCCTTCCAGAAATTGGAACATGTAACAGTCAAAATGGAAGACAATCCTAAAGCAGCTTACCGGGCGCAAGACCTCCTTCCTTTCTTTTCTTTACCAGCGATGCAGAGCTTCTCCGGGAACGCGATATGTGAAGAAGAAGGTTGGACGTACCATGAGTATCCAAAGCCAGCACCCGGGACATCTGGAATCAAGAAGCTTGATCTCGGTAGCTGGGGTACAAACAACGGCCAGAACGGATTTCTGAATCTTCTCAAATTGTGCAAGGGTCTGGAGAGCTTTGAATTCCAGCACGATGATCAGGCAATCTGGGGCGAATCCTTTTGTCCCTTCCGACCTGGACAATTCTATACATCGTTGTCCACCCAAAAGCACAGTCTACGGGAGATTCGATTGAACAATCAGGGAACACATCCCTGGGATCCTGAGGTTGACTTCGACGAGGATTTGGAATTGGGTACATTCGGGTCGATGATGGAGTTCCATCAACTGCGTGAGCTTCGGATACCATGGGCCACACTCTTGCAAGTTGATTCCAGGAATCAGCCAACAGCCAGTTTTTCGGAGATTCTTCCGGCGAGCCTGGAGTATCTTAGCTTGGCTGATTGCCGTAAGGAGCACTTCACGATGATAATTGAAGCTCTTCGGGACCTACTGAAGCACCGGGAGAAACGGTTTGCAAGTCTCCGAATACTTGAAATACAGCCTTATACCGTATACCGTAAACCCGGTGCAAACTATGTCTTGTGGGCAGACTGTCTCGGAGTTCCCCAGTCGACAATCGATATGTTTGCAGCAGTGGAGATAGAGTGCCAGAAGATGGGAATCCATTTCAGGTTTTGCCAAGATGGAACCCATGAAATAATTGGGATGTAATTTTCATGAATGATGAATGATACCAGTACTATATACCTAGGTACTATTAATATTAGGTATTATAGACTAATGCAGCATGTCCATAGATTGCATAGATTGATAACATTTCCCATGTGTCCCACTCGGCAGGGAACTTAACTCGGGTAGCCGGGGACATCAAACCACCAATGCGGTCTGCGTCCCGTTCGGATCGGGCGGGCGCCGAGACTAAACGTTTTCACTTCTCTCTCTTCTCTTCCCTTTCCCTCCCCTCCGACCCCCCCACCATCAATTCTTTAGACCCTCTTACCTGACGGGATCTATTCACGATGCTTGCCGCCAGAAACTTCTCTGCTGCTCGTCAGTGCCTGCGGTCCGTCCGTGTGACCCCCAGCTTCGTCGCCCCCATCTACCAGGTACATCCAGCCCCCCCCAATCTCCAAACTCAACCTCCCCTTTCTACCAAAAGAACTCCCAATTTGACTAACTCTCATAATCGCTGTTCAGGTCCGTGGCTTCGCTGCTCCTGCCGATGATGCCGTCGCCAAGTTCAAGGGCCAGAAGGGTCCTGATGTACGTGAACAACACCCAATCTCGTTTTTTCCTCTGGGCCGCCGCCAGCCGCGCTGAGCCTGTCGCGGCCAAACCGTCCGCGCCGAGTGCCAATACACCATCGCGATAATACTAACACTATTTTCTTGGATATATAGGGCAAGTACACTGTCACCATGATTGAGGGTGATGGTATCGGTCCTGAGATCGCCCAGTCCGTCAAGGACATCTTCGAGGCCGCCAAGGTAACGATCCGTCGCAAACTCGATCTCGCGATAACAAAAGCGGTACTAACACTATTTACAGGCCCCCATCAAGTGGGAGCCCGTCGATGTCGGCCCCATTCTGAAGGACGGCAAGACCGCTATTCCTGACGAAGCCATTGCCAGCGTAAAGAAGAATTACGTTGCCCTCAAGGGTCCCCTGGCTGTACGTGCCAACCTCGTCTCGTCGCATCGGCTCGCCATACTGATCTCTATTCCCTAGACCCCCGTCGGTAAGGGTCACGTCTCCCTGAACCTGACTCTGCGCCGTACTTTCAACCTGTTCGCCAACGTCCGTCCTTGTCGCTCCATCGCCGGCTACAAGACCCCCTACGACGGTGTCGACACTGTCCTGATCCGTGAGAACACCGAGGGTGAATACTCCGGTATCGAGCACGTTGTTGTCGACGGTGTTGTCCAGAGCATCAAGCTCATCACTAAGGAGGCCTCCGAGCGCGTCCTGCGTTTCGCTTTCCAGTACGCCGAGTCTATCAACAAGAAGAAGGTCCGGGTTGTGCACAAGGCCACCATCATGAAGATGTCCGACGGTCTGTTCCTCAACACTGCCCGCGACATCTCCAAGGACTTCCCCGGTGTTGAGTTCGACGCTGAGCTGCTGGACAACTCATGCCTGAAGATCGTCACCGACCCCACCCCCTACAACGACAAGGTTCTTGTCATGCCCAACCTGTACGGTGACATTCTGTCCGATATGTGCGCCGGTCTGATCGGTGGTCTTGGCCTGACCCCCTCGGGTAACATCGGTGACGAGTGCTCCATCTTCGAGGCCGTCCACGGTTCCGCCCCCGATATTGCTGGCCAGGGTCTTGCCAACCCCACTGCTCTGCTTCTGAGCAGTATCATGATGCTGCAGCACATGGGTCTCCACGACCACGCCAACCGCATCCAGAAGGCTATCTTCGACACCCTGGCTGAGGGCAAGGTGAGTTTTATTGCCATTTACCAAGAACCAGATTAGAACCATGCTAATATATGATCCATTTAGGCCCTTACTGGTGACCTTGGTGGTAAGGCCAAGACCCACGAGTACGCCGATGCTATCATGAAGCGTCTGTAAGCTTCTTGCTACTCGGAATTATTGTACTATGACCTTTTGATCTATTTTTTGTACCCCCCTCGAACGACATTAGACTTCCTATAGCGATCGAAATATCCCTATTTGTGTACCTAGGTGGTCATTCCTACTTTTTCGCGCACACCTCTTTTGATTGTAGAGTAATTCATCAAATTGTGATGATCAGATTTATGGATAACCTCAATACTATTTGGTTCATCGCTCGATATAAAACAAGACAAAAAAAATCCAACGCCAATCCGTAAGTCCGAAGGTATCAAAGCTGGTAGAAAATTGAATGCAAAAAGAGAGGTCACTTCATATCAGCGGCGACGAGCGGTCCTGCGAGTTGCCGTGCTTGTTGGAGTTTTCGTTTCCTTTTGCTTGGATCGCGAGGTCTTTGCGCGGGTGCTTCGCGATCCACCTTTCCCTTCACTATCATCCTCCTCGTCGCCATCACTGTCCTTTCCTCCATCCGAACCTTCTCCATCTTCCTCTTCTTCCTCTTCGACGTCGCCCTCGCCCTCGTCGTTGGCAGCTGATTCTTCGGCGGACTCAACATCCTCCATATCTTCGTCGGAGGCCTTTCCTTGGCTACCAGTTCCAATTTCAATCTGTAGCCTGGTAGATCGTGTTGCTCGCCCGCCTTGGCGAGTACCGTGGTCTGATTTGCGACCTCGCGATGGTGCGGGGGAGGAGCGTGGTTCTGTCAACCAATTGGGTTAATTTCTTAGGTCACGGGCTTGCCAGTCGGGATAAGATCTTACCATCTGTATCAGCAACGGTGCTCCCTCGTCGGGATTCAGGATGGGGACTGGTAATAGGTGAAGAAGAACCCTCCAAGGCGAGTCGTTTCTCGAACATCATGTCGCCATATTCATCATACGGAAGTTCGAACGGACAGTACATCTCACTCGGTTCTTCGTCATCTTCGTTCGCATCTGTAATCACAGAATCCTCCTAGTTCACGAATAGAGAATTAGCAAAGCTTGCGTCAAGTAGATGAATGTATGCGGCTGTAGAATACCCGTTCGTCGAGAGCTTCGAGGTTATACAAGGAGCCCAATTTCTTCCATATCCCAGGAATGCGCATATGGTCCGCACTATAGGGTGCATATCCTTGACTTCGCAAGTATTCTGAGATCGCGAGCATACGAAAATGCTTGTGTACACCTGGAAATGGGACGAGATCATGAATCAGTCAAGAGCTCCGACCACGGCCCACGCGGAGATACCGATCCATTGAAGCTTACCGACTGGCTTCCATTTTATTATTGCCTTCAACAATGCAGTTTCTTGCTCATCTGTCCAAGGATCGCTGATCAGGTCGTACTCGGGTTCATCGGGTTTCTCGGCGCTGTCGCTTGAACCGGGGGTATTGGCGCTGGATTGTGGCGCGGTATCTTCGGGGGGAGAGTTGGAGTGTGCGCGCTTCGTTTTCTTACGAGGAGGCATTGTGTGATCGGAATTGGAGGTGGAAAGGCGACGAGGGGAAAGTGTCATGACGAGCGCGGAGTGAAGAGACGCCGCCGTCGTCTTTTGTTATCGAACTGGCCCGTGCACGCGATAGGCAGGCGCATCGCGGGACCGTCGTGATCCTTGGACCTTTTGACATTCGCGCTTCTCGTACCAAAACAAACGCGTTTAACATTTTTCGGTGTCCGCTCCGGCGATGGACTCATAATGGACATCGGTGACTATGATCACGATCCTTTTTCCAGTGAATGCCTCTGGAGGCTTTCCAGGTTCAGCATAGAGGCTCTACAGCCCTTGGAGTCTCTTCCATGGAACGCAGACTTGCCAGGTATGTATGCAGCTTAACGAATTGGAGCGTTGAAGACGCCGATTGCTGATTTTTTGTGTCTGCAGCTATCCCAAAAGCTTGCTTTCGAGGCGTACCGGAATCTATAGAGAAGATCGATCCGATATGGAAGCTCAACGTCTTCACGAACGACCTCCAACCTTCAGAGTCCGCGGACTCCAGCATCCATCATTCAATAGATGACCTGTCTGAAGTACCAAGTGAATCATTGCATGATACAGAAGAAGAAGAGGGTGATGATTTGTGGTCATTGAAGCACCTGCAACAAGACGCTGATTACATCGCACCATTGAAGTCCTGGGAGAAGTACGCGGATCGCGCGTTCGACGAACCTATTTCCGCATATTTCAGTGAATCGGGTGCTCAGGGCTTTGATGCTGCAATTTCACACCAAGAGGAAGTAAAAGCTCACGCTTCTACGCGCCTTGTTCGAGATGACCTTTTCATTCAATCTCTCTTGCGTCTTGGGTTAGGATGGAACTCCCTATTCTTCCGGTATAACAAGGAGAACAAGTTATTCGAGAAGTCCATGACAAATATTCGGGTCTCTGGGCTGTCTTCCTCGGTGATGGATAGTGTCATCTCCGAGGTACTGCAGTGCGGTACGCTCATGCAGTGGGTTCGTGCCTTTGCAAAAGCTCCAGTGACAAAGTCTAAGGGCTTATCTTCCGTATTTACCTTACGAGGTGCTATGGCTGTGATAATATTCAACCTCGAGAAGCAAGTTCTCGCTAATTGTGGCAACGTCGTCTCGGTCCTGCAAGTTGCCATACTCTTCGACCGATGTCGAGAATTGCTAGGAGCCCTGGCTGACATTGTCGCTGCCGTGGAAAAGGCTGTGTCGGATTCTGAAATTATCTCCACAGTGATAGACCGGGCGGCATATTTCGCCCATAAATTCGGCTGGATGGAGAACCTTTTGCACGAAATCGTGGTTCAGATAACGGTCCCTTGGCTCGGTTTCATTGAGGGTTGGATTGGTCTCCGGCCTGAGGAGGCATCCCTCAATGAGCTTTTAGCTAGCGGTAGAACCTTTGTTCAACTTGACCGCTATGATGATCCCAACAAGTTCAGAAATGCCCCGACGCGTTTTGAATACAGTTATCTGGAACACCACATGCCTTCTTTCATCCCTCGCGAGCAAGCAGAGTTGATTTTTGAAAGTGGTAGAAGTTTACGCCTACTCAAAAAGTCACACCCACACCATCCTCTTGCTAGACATGACGCCCTCACTAGGGCTGGCTGTCTTAATCTGCAGTGTGCCACCGCCTGGACAGATATCGAGCGAATCCAAGCAAGGGCCGACGAATATGAAAGGAAACTTCGAGCTGAGATCTTGAAATATCACAAGGGTAAATCGACGATTCAGTCGATGAATCAAATTCCCTCTGCGCGAAAGACCGATGATAGTCCGGAAGAGGTCACCGAAAAGACCTTTCAGCTATTCGATATTGACGACAAAGAACGTATCTCGTCTTCTGCGATGGATCGCTCTGCTTATTCAAATGAAAATGTCGACCAGATGCTTCAAACTGCCCGGGACCTGGATTCCGATCCTCTCAATACTGTTCACCGATTTGGCCCGGACTTAAAATCTGCGCTTTATTTATCGCTTGCGCCTGTGGTGTCATCCCAGGCACAGCTGATTGATTTCTCCTGTCTTCATCACCTTTTCAAAGAGCACAAACTACGCCACCATCTGAACATGCAATGGCGATTCCAATTACTAGGCGATGGTTCATTCACTGCCAGTCTTACAAGTTCTTTATTCGCGCCTGAGATGGAGAGCGGAGAGCGGAAGGCCGGCGTGGTACGGAGTGGAGTCCATACTGGACTAAGGTTAGGCAATCGTGAAACCTGGCCTCCAGCCAGCTCTGAGCTGCGATTGGTTTTGATTGGCCTTCTTGGTGACTGTTATTTTGGAAATACCGAGCCGGAAGACCCAGAGAACGCGCAACTGAGAGACAACGAGCTTCCCGGAGGACTCAGCTTCTCGATTCGAGACCTAACACCCGAAGAGATCAAACGATGCCAGGATCCAAATGCAATCGAGGCTTTGGATTTTCTCCGTCTCCAATACAAACCCCCCGAGACTCTGGAGACCCTCATTACCATGAAGTCCTTGGAAAAATATGATCAGCTATTCAAACATCTACTACGTCTTATCCGCATGGTAACTGTTGTCAAAGGTCTGATTCGTGACTCCAACGCCCGAAATTCCCTCGCAGGGGACATACGAAATGTATTTCAAAAATTCCGAATTGATGCTCAGCACTTCGTCCTTGCGGTCAGCGATTATTGCTTTCATATCGGAGTCGGCTCTACCTGGAGTCGCTTCCAAGAGACCCTTGCCAAAATTGAACGTTGTCTCGATCGCGACGACATTGATGGCACGATCGAGACCGCCCATTCTGTCACTCATCTTCGTCACTTCCACGTCGACATCTTGGACCAAATGTTGTTTGCACTCTTCCTAAGTAAGAGACATACCCCGGCTGCGAAATTGCTTGACGGCATCTTTGGCACAATCCTTGCCTTCAGTTCGCTGTCAAAAGCCGACGGCTTGAACGGGCTCCGACATGGAAATGAAGGTACCGTGCACCACTTGTACAGCGTGTTCAAAAAACAAACATCCACTTTTGTCAGCTATCTACGAGGACTGGATACCGGCACAACCTCCTCGAAATCCATGTCAAACTCAGGCGCATCCTTCTCTCTACAGAATGAGCCTACTAGTGTTTTCGAGCATCTCCGAGTCAGACTGGAGGTGCGGGATTACTACTAAGTGCGAAGCCACGGTTTCACGACTATAAATTATGAAAATTCACGATTAACGACAAAGGAAATTATAATGGCATCCCAACAAAAACAATGACATGTATAACCCTAGCCAGTGGCTTCATATTCTCTATCGCTGTAAACAAAAATGACTCGATCTAAATGCCAACAACTCCTTTCAATGCTTAACATCAGACTGCCAGTGCTCGGTAGGTTACTAGTATTAAAAAAAATGCAAATCTGATTCGGACCAACCCTGAGCAAGCAGAAGTTTCTTCGCGGATTTCTCCAATGCTTCGGGTCCACAGAGAAGAACCATGCTGGCATCTTCCGGAGTAGCGAACTCTTTCAGCAGGTCCTCGGAAATTCGGCCCCGGCGACCCTTCCAAGACTCTGATGCCTTGGACAAAGTATGAACAACAGTACACTTCACCTTGTCTTCTGCAACATATGCATCAAGCTCGGATCGACAGAGAATATCCTCTTCCAAGCGATTACCATCTAATACCACACAAGTAGTTGGATCTTGAGCGTCTTGCATGACAGCGCGAAGAACTTGAAATACAGGAGTGATACCTGTTCCCCCGCAGATCATCTTGAAAGAACGAAGATTTCTCTCCTTTCCGCTGATGAGGACTCGTCCGTTTCCAAGATATTCAAATCGACCTGTCGGTCCCTTGCAGTCGATTTGAGATCCCAAGGACAGCGTGTCCAATGCCATAGTCATCTTGCCACCCGGAATCTCCTTCGTCGGGAAATAAATCTTGACGAGTAGCTCCATACGTCCCTCCATATTCGTTTCAGAAATCGGCGTGTACGAGCGGATGATTGCTTCTTTCTGGTTCTCCGGATCTTGCACTTTGATCATCAAGTGCTGGCCAATTGGTAGACCCAAAGTCTGCTTATCGTGCTCCAATTCGAATACGAATATTCGGGTATCCCAGGAGACATCGTTCTTCTCAACCAATGTCATTTTGGCCCAGGCTCTCGATTGAAGGAAGTGTGGGCGTGGCTCATTTGAAACAGTCGTGTCGCTGCTATTCAGCGCCTCGAGAGATGCCTTATCCAGGGTGCCGATGTGGTAATCCGGCATCATGAGTTTGGCAGTTTCGCTGTCTGTATTGCAACTTAGCATACTGGTCTAGAGTAAATACTGTTAACAGACTCACGAATTGCATTGAAGTCCTCCGAAACATCAATCCCCGCGGACGAAGTGATGCTGATTGCTCCTCCAGGATGTCCTTCTAGGAACCCTGTGCCATCATACACCTCTCCATTCACCACGAACCAAGGCTTCTCACTGCTGCTGTTTTCTTTCAGTTCTTTCAGATCAATCTGGCGATTTAATCCTTCTTTTTTCATATTAATCTCCTTCGCGGGCTCCGGTTCAAGGGGTTGTTCGCCTTCGTGTCGCTCGCCCCAATTACCATTAAGCAGATCTCCACCGGCCTTTTTGGCCTTCTCCATCCATCCACCACTTCTGGCTGGATGTGTAGGGTGCTCAAACTTCAGCGAATTACCCTCCTTTGTGATTGTCACGCGAAACCATGGGTTATTCATCATACCCAAAACCGACCAGTACATATCTCGGGGCTGAGCTGCCAAGGCTTCATCGACGGCCCTCACAAGCAGGGCATCACTACTTTCCAAGTCTGGAACAGGGATATTCAATGACCAGAAAGACCAACAGAAACAAGTTTCTCGCTTCCACATGTCGACTTTGCCGTCAAAGAGGTTGCCTTCCCATTCTCGATACTTGTCTTCTGCGTATTCGATATCGGCGAGTCGCCAGGCTAAAAAGGAATTTTGTTAGTTTTTTTGCGTCAATCGATCTTTTTAGCAACAAATATCATACATTTTCCCTTGTTCAATGATATCTCAACTCTGGTAATCCGTCGACCCCCGCCGGCATATGCGTAGCCCTTTGCAGTATAAGTCGGACCAGCCGTGGCCAGGTCTAGCACTTCTTCATGTTCTGGGAATGCGGCAACGGAGTTGACATTCAGGTCATAAATGGCATATCTTTCGTCTCTCCACCATTTCTTATCTTCGGCAGCCATCTCAGGTGTCACCGTTGTTCTAGAATAGAGTTAGCACCCGGGCATGTTCTTCAAACCTTCTGTCACACAAACTCACGGCAATACTCGGTTATCATTAATGTGGTACCAATTGTCACTCGGGGCGTCGGTAATAATGAGCTTCTTAAGCCACTTAACACTTCGTCCTCCAATTTGACCTGGCACCACGGCTCTCAGGGGTCGCCCGTGATCGGGTCGAAGCGGCTCTCCATTCATCTTATGCGCTAACATGATACCTCGATTATAATCCATAGCCCAATTCAACTTCACGGACGTTCCATAAAACCCATTAGGCTATATCACAGTCAGTTGAATTGTCTAGAGATTTCATGATAACAGAACTTACCAATTTATCGGCACCTTCCATACAAACATACTTTGCTCCACGGAGTGGCTTTGCACTGCGGATTAAATCCGCCATCATTGGTCCCGTAAAAAGTGCCGTAGAGAGTCCGGCTGGACCCCATGAGAATCCTTTGGATTTCCTGACTGTATTCTGTTCTTTCCGCCGATTGCCTGCGCAGACGAGTGTGATAGGGGTGGTGATCTGATCATATTTTTGGAGAATCTCGCGGAAGTTCAGGACTATCGGGTTTTCCACTAGTCTATAGGATGCATTAGTTTTGTTAAATCGCAGATTGTTGTGGACGTCTCGTTGTAGTCAACTACTGACCCTTCAATACTCAGCTCCCATGTTGGGATATCTTCATCATGTACCTCGGGTACTGGGCCGTGGTTTCGAACATAAAATAGTTCAGGCGAGGTAAGAAATCCTTCAAAAATTAGTATTGGGCACTTTGTTTCCCAATGAGTAGGCATTTCCATACCTTCTTTGTATAACGCCGTGAGGGGTGGCTCTACATTGAAAGGATGTACACCTGTCAACCTAATGAGACGCGGATCGCGAGGAACATGGCTATCCGGAGTGCCCTTGTCAACCTCTAATACACTAGTCGGATTGATGGATGGAGGAGGCAATGGAATATCTGGCTCTTCCGGCGTTGGCAGGTCATGAAATGTGACATTTGATCCCTTGATTGGGAACTCTGATTGCTCGAGGACTGTTTGCGTGATGGTCGCCATGTTGCTTATGCCACCAGTCCCCCACTTTCTTCGAATTGGACTGTTATATGGTAATAGAATGAATCAATTCAACACGTTTTTAAAAATTCAAATGCAAAGTGGATCAATTTTCTAGACCACATCGCTCAAGTCTCATCGGCTATGGCATTCCTCGGTAAGAACAGGCCCGGCATTCATCCGCGAATCTATCGACAGCATCTCCGCGGGTGGGTAAACCCGTGAAGGCCTGACGTGAGCACATCAGAATGAATAACATAAATCAAAAGTGATATGTTTGGGCAATGACAAAAATCTGGGGGGGTTGTTGGTAGAGTCCTTATCTCTTTGCTTCATTACGGTGCGGTCGCTTAGCCAATCAGCGTGCAATTGTTATTATCAGTTCTATCTCACCCCAACAGCCACTCAGGGTTTGGCAAAGTGGATTACCCGTTGTCTAAAACAGATCTTTTCATAGGATCTCCGCGGAGCACTGTAGGACAGAGTTCTGTTATCGTACGATCGCCCTATTTCCCCCGGCTCTGTATTCCGTATCACACTGCGGCCATCGCGGCCATGGCCATGATTGTGAATCTGAGTGAATTACCCATTTCCTTAAAACTGCTCAACAGCCGTAGTTGAACATAGTGTAGCGTAATTTTACTTGCATCTATATCCCATCATCCATTATTTGCTCCCCCAGCAATGCCGTCGCTGGTGGAGCTACAACAGGCCGAGGGTTTAGGATCTGAATCCAACCCTCATTATGTCCAACGTCAGAAGATCGTGATTGTGGGACTGGGGATGGTAGCAATTTCACTGATGTATGAAGCCCATCTAACTTTTCAGTCTTCTGGTCGTATCCTAATTTTTGCAGTGAGAAAATTATCAAGCAAGACACAGCCAAACGATACGATATCCTAGTCATCGGCGAGGAGCCGCATGTCGCTTATAACCGTGTTGGACTCTCATCATACTTTGAGCATCGCAAAATCGAGGATCTTTATCTTGAACCGGAAGAATGGGTGAGTGAAGGAAGAACGAATACAATTATGCTTTGGAAGCGATCTCTAATATACTCGAGTAGTATGGGTCTTTCAAAGAGCGAGGATTCGATCACCACTTGAACACCCGCGTCACCAGCGTCGACCCGGTCAACAAAACAGTTAGCACATGTACCGGAGATGTCATTTCCTACAATATTCTCGTTCTCGCTACCGGTTCCGATGCTGTTCTTCCCACACGCACACCAGGCTACGATGCCAAGGGAATCTTCGTTTATCGAACTATTAACGACTTAGAACGACTCATCGATTTTGCAGCCGATCACAAAGGTGAAACCGCAGTCACTGTTGGTGGAGGTCTACTTGGGCTCGAGGCTGCCAAGGCGATGACCGATTTGGAAGATTTCGGCAATGTCAAGCTCATCGATCGCAATGAGTGGGTTTTGGCGAGACAACTTGATGGAGATGCGGGCTCTTTGGTCACTCGGAAGATTCGCGAGTTGGGCCTCGAAGTTCTGCATCAGAAACGGGTTAAGGCTGTAACAACGGATGATGACAATAACGTCACTGGTGTCACGTTTGAAGATGGCCAACATATTGAATGCTGTTGCATTTGCTTTGCAGTATGTTGCGCTGTATTTTCTGAAAATAAGAGCGCCGCTGACAGACTCATTTAGATTGGCGTGAGACCGAGAGATGAACTAGGGGAATCGGCTGGTATTCTATCCGGTGCGAGGGGCGGCTTCATAATCGACGAAAGGTTTGTTTATTGGTTTCCTCTGCACGATTGATTCTAACAATTGATTGATGCAGCCTTCGGACCTCTGTGCCAGACATATACGCTGTTGGCGAATGTGCCAGTTGGG